GAACGTGGAGATATTCATTCAATTGAATGGCATAACTCAGTGTTGCAGATGTGCTCATTATGTTTAACTTATTTATATTCACATTAAATATATCATTCTATCCCAAGCATAAATGTGTCCTCCAGAAGTACTAAGTATCATTGTTAGCCGTCAGGATACGATGAGTCAGTATAGATAGTGATGCGATTTCCACATAAGATCTTACAGACTAGGCAATCAAACGATTAATTTATCGTCATCGGACAACGTCTATTATCAAAGTAGTATTAGTATCAAACTAGACTATACACATAATAAAACAATTTAAGGTACGAAAAACTAGTTATATTTATATTATATATAGATAACTTATTAGATGAATAAACGAGGTAGTAGTCAAAAACACAGTTATCGTCAATGTGTAAATTGTTTCTCCTCATAAACTTCCATATTAAGAAACTCTACAAGTTGTTCGCCTGCATATACTTGATTATTACACAGATTTGAGCCTTTCAATTAGTTGACAGGAGTCATAAGTTGTATAACAAAAAGAAATGGATAACTTGCTCAATGCAATTCTGAAAAACAACAAATCAACCGTGAGAGAAAAGATTCAAACTCGTTATAAGTATCAAATTCAATAAGTAAATGAAATAGCAATTGATAGGATGTACCTGTAGGTGTTTTACTTGTTGTAAACAGTGCTCTTCATTTTCTAACCTTCCTACAATTTCATCTAGTTATTCGGTATTAACAAACAAACTTTAGGCACTAAATGAAAGGACTCACAAACTGTAATTAGTTACATGAAATTTGAGAAAAATCCAATTACAACGTTCATAAACTGTTTGCAGTTCACTGTTTACATACAATAATGAAATAGCTGGTAAGCACTATTTAGCGACTACTCGTCAACATGCATTAACACTTTGTTTATGATTTGGTCAGTGAGTTCGGATTATATTAACAGAAATTTGTATTTTAACCCTATACGAGACATCGTAAAGTAGTATTATCTACGACGTGTTTTAGTTACCATGCTCATAACAAACACACATCGCTTTACTTAAGAAGAGTATTTGGCTAACTTATGTGTGACTTACAGTAATGTTCTACACGATTCCTGTATAAATTCAGAAAGCGGGCAGAAATATCTATCAACGCCAATTGTTACTTACATAATTTTTCTTTCTCACATTACGTAATAATATATCAGTCCAGTTGACAACGATGATACTTATCATGGATAAAACTGCTTACGGCTATATATTAATAGTTCATATCGTAATGTAGCACGTTATATATTGACGTCCACTTGAAAGCAGGAGCGATCTGAAACAACAACACTACAGTCAGGACCGGTAAGTGCCGTTGAAGTAAGAACACAGTGTACTGGCACAACAGATATATTTTTAAAATTGTAAGACAAGGTTCGAGTACAAAAAGGGAAACTTACTACAAAGTAGTTTTATTCATTGTTCTGCTCGTTCAGACCGCGTAGTGCTTCTTCATCTTTTTCAGTGCATTTACTCTTTGTTGCCCTGTAATAGAAAAACGAACTCGCATTAGACACTTCGCATGAAGTGATTATTACTACCATTACAAGATTCCTTAAATAGTTTGACTCTCAATTACCTCAATCTACAATTTATAAACAACTACCAACACCCATGTTCATCACTACCATAAAAAGGGAGGTGAGTCATATGGAAATTATTTTACAGCTCGTTTTTGCTTGAAACTATAATTTCGGTCTATTTTTGACTTGATAAATGATGAATTACGCTTGCCTGAATTTCCATTGTTACAAATTACCAAATTAGGCTGACTAAACATTCATCCAGGTTGTCAGCTCAAAATACGTCAAACAACCGATAGAATTCAATAAACGCCATGTAACAAGCGTAAATATTACAAAAATTAACATGTGACGGAAAGATGATGTGATTAGCCGATAAAAAACGACATTAAAAATCCGCGACAACATGTGACATGTGAGCGAGAATCAATGACATGACCTTTCGACCATGCCGAATAAATTATTATCATTCAAATCGCGAAACGGAACAGTAGGAGCTCAAGTTTATCTTTATCGAATACACAATGTTTCCAACGTTTAATTTGAATCAGTAGGAAATATAATGCCGACACAAAATAAGTGTGTAGACGAATACTTGAGCCATGATGTTTTGAAATTACCTAGTTTTTTTCGACAAACTCATAGCCAACTAACCTAAGTCTTTGCACACTCTTTGCATCTTCTGTACTTATTACACGTTCCATCGTGTCTGATCCTGTCACCGTTGGATTAATACCTCACTCCATATGCTCTTTGAATTCTATCTTTAAATGACCTCATACTTATTGACTCACAGATATATATTTGTTTCTGACAATCTTTTTAAAAATCTAATTCCTTCCGTCATCGATATCAATTGACTGATAATATATCATACCTCAACGTTGCATCCTAATACAAATATGGTTGGAAGCAGCTGATGAAAAACCACGAAACATAATAAATTTGCGTTATTCTGCTTTAGTCGTTGTTTTGGCATGGTTGGAAAGCGTTAACCGATCGCATAGAATCTTTGAACGAAACAATTGTCCGTTCATTTTTCCAAGTCACCCATTCCTTTAATGTCAATCCGTTGCAGAAAATCGGGGTAAGTAACGAGATCAAAAAATCTTAAACGGTGCCTGAATGATGGCTGTTTTCCCTGTCGTCTTTGAAACCGCACGGACATGATCAGTGTCTGCATCATTGAAAAATTAACGTCTCAAAAGACTCAAATCGGGTGGGTCATGTGCCGTATCTCTAGACTCTAAACAAGGCCTCTTCTTTTTGAGAAAGTTGTCATGGAATAAACACAACTAATTTGTAGAATGACGGTCTACTTCGTCACCAGTACTGCGCTAATAATAGACCTAATCCTTAAATTTTAGATTTGTCATGATGCGACTTCCTGATCTATAAGATCTTAGGTGGAAGTCAAACCACTGTCTACACTGAATTGTCCTACTTCTCGAGAACACATTTAGGCTCGAGATAGAACAATATATTAAACATGAATGACAGAGATAAGCTACACAAGAATGACCACGCTTGCAAGGCTGAGCCATGACATCCGATTGGACTTTGTACGAATATTCCCGCCTTCTCCATAGATAGCCTTTTCTTCGTGCTAGTTGTAGGATATGCATTTTCCCTGTTATTTCATGTTCAGCTTTGAGGATTGTGTGGCTAGGAACAATACCAATACAAGTTGACGATTTTAAGCCTCAGTTGTTGTTTAAGGTTTGTTCAGATTAGTAAAGGGGATCGACTGCTTTTAGGGTTTCGTTGCTCCTACTTTCGCATACAGCTGAATGAAGCTCTACTTCTAGCCATGGATGCATTCCTCGAATTTTTTCGAATGAGACTACTGGAGACTTGGCTTACAATGTCATTTGGTGATATCACTTTCAGTGCATAGTCGTTCGTGAAACAAACTTAATTTATATTTTAAAGAACAGTTCTTGTGTTCATTCTCTGCTTCTGTTATCATACTTGATGATCCGTGTTAGCCTTTCGTCTTGCTTTCCCTAGCTTCAAATATATTTCTAACCTCAATGTGTTCTGACAGACTGTTGGAATAAACAAACTGACACAACTCATGTAACTCAAAGGAAATACGAATATCAAACTGGTGCGAACTTCAATCAACAAGCTGAAGCAATTGGGGGGAATAAGGGAACACTCACAGAATCTCAGGTTAATTACATAAGGTGATGAATCTCAAATGAAAGAATGAGACCAGGAAAAAGCGTAATTCACAGCTGGTTACTTTTGGACGGGCTACATTCATGATCGTTTCCTTGACAAGGGACTAACCCCGAGACAGTTATTCATCGCAAACGTCTAGCGCGACGACGAATTGAAGGCACTAATTTTTTATAGGATCGAATGAGCTACTTTCTTAAATACCGAAAGAGGTTGTAACACATTGCTACTCCATTAAGTAAGATATTTAGTGCATCTTTCAGCCGGGACGAAGTGCCTGTAAATTGGAACAGTAAAGTTTCCACAACTATTCACAAGGTGTGATCAAAACAACTTTTGTTTTACCAAGGACTTGTCACTCATATCACTGTCATGGTTAAGATATCGAGAATGCAGGTTAGTATGACAGTTGAGGAAATAAGCAACTTTTGAAACGATGAACAAAACAGTATGGTAGTCATTCCTGATTGTACTAAGCAAATAATGTTAAATAAAGCCATTAATAATAAAGGAGACAATCATGGTCCGTGACAAACCGTTAGGAAGAATTAGATGAAAGTAGTTGCCTTAGAATGGAAAATTAGTGAATGCTATTTGTGTTGACTTCATTGAAGTAACTCGCCATGCACCACACAGCAGGATCCTAATAAAGCCGATAAATCTAGGAATATAAGATTACAAATATGTCCACCATGGTGTACGGTCTCATTCAAACCCAAAATTAAAAACACTATTCCGTGAGTCCCCCTTTCAAAAAGATGTCTTGTGGAAGCAAGAAAAAACAGCTACATAGAATTAAGGGGTTCGCCATGCTTAATGCAGCCCGAGATCTTAAACGGCTTTATACTATCTTGCCGCTGACTAATAGTTGACCTGATTTTAATGTAAACGGTACTAAGAAATGATTTTGAACCTGACATATTTCTCTAGTTTCCTTGAACTGGGTCAGAACATAGAGCATAGCAGTTAAGTTCAAAATTCATGGAAACGGAACATCTTTTAGTTGTACAGGATATCCAAACGAGTAACCTAGCGTTGGAACGAACTACAGGAAGTAGTGGAATATTTGCCTTTTGCTAACCTGTCTAAGAGAATAATAAACAACTATAGATGCCTTATAGAAAAGACCTAACGTGAACTGTCAGGACTCTGTCCTTAATACACATATTTGATTTTGATACAGAATTCGCTAAAATTTAATTTGTTCTTTAGTACATTTTCGCGCCTTATTAGAAGATCCACGTTTCTACAGGTCCCGATGAAGGTCAAAAGTAGTAAGGTAATATCTTCGTTATTGTGAGGTCCTGCTAGCCTCTCACGGCTTCCATTTGCAGGAAAAAAATTTCGAAATCAAAAAAGCATGATAAGACTAAGGTGAGGTGACGTATAATTTACAACTTGAAAATAGCGATTTCATAAACTGCTGCAGTCCAAAGTAGGACTTTCTAAGAATCAGAATGAAACTATTCAGGTAAGGGTAAGACAATAATATTTCTAGTTATCCCTATTTAGGCCATTATTTTACATTTTTCGACCCATTATAATCACTTTATTTCATATCATTATTCTTAGAGAACCGTTCAAATAAAATGTTGTCAGCACCAACTAATTCACGACCGTATTCCTGCACTTACGTTATTGCACTGGGACTCAGTGTGCGATATACTCACTGATTACTTAGTCAGGTGTGGACTCCCAAGAAAACTACCAAAATTCTATAACACTTAATTCATTAAATTATGTTTTTTCGAATTATATCTTCGATACCTAATCCTTTCACTCACTGCTCATACTGTTGCTTTCTCTACTATTCTGAAAATTTTATTTCTGTGTTTATGGTATATGGCAACTTGAACCAATTTACATACATATCCAAAACTTTCCTCTGATAGTCAATTACCAGTCTTCGGACATCAGACATGCCCTATTTTTAGTCCTATCGTTCTCTCAAACAGCTATTGTGATCAAAAGTTCGTCGTAGACACCTAAATGTGTCAATTTCCAACATCCAGTTTCGGCTGCTTTTAAAATATTCTACATATATGCCAAGCATAAATTTATACACTTGACCCTAAACTACATCAACAGATAAACAAGAGTAAGAGAGGATTTGAACACTGGTCCCAGTGGTTAGAAATCCTATTTTGAACTGGTAAGCTGTCTTCCTAAGTTACCAACCGACTGCGCCATAAGACCTCACGAACTAAACGTCTCAGTTGATAAAATTTGTCAGTTTCACTAACCAAACACATCAGAACAGGTATCACTCTTAGGGCTTTCAAAGTACGAAACATCTCCGATATTTCTTCACTCAGAACACTCAACCTCTTCAAGTAACTGTTAAATCCTGTTTCAATTAGATATCTTCCAATGATACTTAGATTTATAGTCCTTGCACATATGTATCCGGTGCCCTTTGTACCAATATATATGTGATTAAATAAAATAAAATAAATGCACTCAAAAACATTTCATCTAGTTAATCAGTTTTCATTTGATAATAGTCACTTGTTGCGTCTGACTCCGTATCAATGGATGAATTTGGAATTTCTCTGAATACACCAGGTGCACGTGATCAACTACCGATGGCTGTAAGTAGAAGGGAGCTTAATGAAGAACTAAACTTGGACGATATAATGCCAAAGAATTATCCTTCTGGGAACATTAAGTTGGTAAGCTCTATCTTCTTAGTTACAGACACCTTTTTATTATTATGACCTTGCTTAGTACTATAGAATGTCAAGAAATACCTCATATGTGAAAAAGCAACCACATTATGGTTAAACGGAATAATGACAGTCATAAAAATACGTAGATATTAAAAGGTCTCAACCCAGCGTCCAACCAAGATTAGTCTCAGTAAGTTGACAAATGCATCTTACTATTTCCGATGAGTATAATAAAAAACAATACCATTATCGTTGGTTTCTGTCTTAAACCATATCTGATAGTATATGGAGCTACTGAGTTACATATTTTATAGGTATTTTCCCTACTCACTGCCTTCTTGCGGCAGGGGTGTTGTTTATAAAGTTGAGAGGGCGAAAAGCGAATTTCCGGTGCTCTAACCGGATTGGTGAATACGTAGGATCCACCAAAGGGAGTTGGAAAACCCTGATTCCAAACCAATGGTGCTCATGGGCTCCAGCACTCCGAGGGAACAAATTGCGTATGAACCAATTGTTGGTCACTGGCTATCATGGGACTGTATCTCCTCACGATGCTCCACTGCCTTGTGGATCAAACCTTTAGGTCAAAGGCTCCGGGTGTGGCTTCCTAAGAAAACCACCTGCTTCGGTCTGGGCAACCGAGCAGTATCATAGCCCTCACACAACTGTGTGGTGCATATATGTATGGTGCTCTGTGCCAATATTTATGTGTTCAAACAAATAAATAAAATTATGTTTAGTAGTGAGGTACTTCCTATGTTTCTATAAATTGGGCATGTTTTGCATACAGTTTAGTCATGTTTGTTCTTGGATCCCACTCATGCTCTTATTTTAAACTACTATTGTCTTCTAATAGGTAGATGCAAAATGCACTGAAAAGCTAACAAAGTCCCAAAGAAAACGACACAAAAGGCAAGAAAAGTTAAAACTGAGAAAAGCTGCCAAAGCATCCATTCCTAAGCCAGAACCAAAGGTATTGATAACTAACTCTTCAGTATTTGTCGATATTCATTGTTGAACTTTTTATATTTTCCATACTTGGATTTGTACATTTATTAAGTGTTAGTTATTGCTCTATTAGATAAACGATCAGTTTGTTATATCCATCCACTCCACTCGCCAGTGTTATCATTAGTTCTACAAATTACAATAAACAGATTCGATAAGTTGAAGTCGAGCATTTTAACTAGTGTCATTCTACATTTCTCATCAATTACAGTATTTGTTGTGTCTTGATCAGTCAATGTGACCTAGTAAGTGACCTCTAAGTTTTAAACTTTTCAGCGTTTACACGTGATTCGGAATTTTATTATACTGGTTAATAACATTGATATTTTACTACTGGTCTCACACTTTTAGCTTTTTATATAATTTCCAATCTTCAGATTATATGATAGAATGCTTATAATGATATGTTCCTGAATGGGCTAAGACAAGTTTAAAGTGTGTCACGCTTGATGGAGTAAGGTCATAATTAATTTGAGTTAAACCATGGCACTAATCTGTTTGAGAGTTCATGGAAAATAACTTAATATCAATTGCAGTAGTACTTTTGTGTCAATATCAGTATGCTTCACATACATCTGGGAATTCTGAAGTTCTTTTATCTTGTTTTATATCTTTTGTGCTGTTGGTGTCATTTTAATCTCCTTGATTTTCCCGTTATTGATTTATACTCTATGTGCTCATACAGTGTCGGGGCACACTAAAATACTACCAAATCTATATCCTACTTCACCTCTGTGATACTAAAAACTCAGACTATTCCTAGTAAATCTGTAAGTTGTGGCAATCTTATAGCATACAAACCATAATAAGGGTTTCAACAACAGCATAGCCCTTTGAAAAATTTCTAAGATATTTGAATTAATTATATATTATGTCCCACATTTAACAGTAAAGTCACTCGGATTACTGAAATATCTACAACCGTTTTATAGAGAAATCATACATTAAATTAAATTATTTTTGTCCTGACCACGCTTCTATTTTAGGAACCCCGTACGTCATCAAGTGTCGTACTTCCAGAACGTAAAGCTTATGTACCATCTTTGGATACAGATGAAAAACTCTTAGATGCTATTCGGAATCGTTTAGGTAATCGTTATTATTAGGCTTTGTTGTTAGAATAATGTTTCATGTACCTATTATTCACAGTGTATTGAAGTAATCTTGAATAATCTATTTTATCACGTTCTTACTTGTCATTTATACATGTGTTTTCTAGTTATTTGAAATTCTTAACTTGAAATCGATCACAAAACACATGATAAGTGACCAGGCTAATAGCTCTTCAGTAATCAATCTTTGTTGATATGCCTGACCAGTATTGTTTGGATGTGCTACGGAAGGTAGTTAATTTCATTTGTGGGATTTTCGCATCCTTATTACCGGTACTAACTGAGTGGAGACCAGATGTTGTTCATCGTAAGGTTGTCAATCCTTCCAAAACAAAAATCGAAGGCACTTTTTGTAGATTTGTGTAATGCATTAGCTGTGAGAGCGTGTTTTTTTTACCTGGAGTAGTGGCGATTTTCAAAAACAGCCGATATAATGTAACATGTTTTCTTCGGAATAAAAAACTTGAATTATATGTAAGAGAAACTAACCGCTTTCACCTATTTTGCTGCTTTGCTTAATTGTTATTTTTACCACTGAATTGTTTGTCTTATTCAATTTTGATTAGAAACTTCAAGTTATGTGTTGGTATTCTCCACTTACTGGTAAGTTTAAGTCAGCTGCAACGTAGAACCAGGCACATATATGCATCGGTTCAAGTTCCCATACCTCATTAGCACAACAAGATGAACACCAAATTCATAGACATAGTTACTTCAATAGTAGTAATATATAAAAGGATTGTGTATAAGGATATAAAAATTAGTTCGTAGAAATAAAGGTATAGAGTAATTTTAATCTCATGGTTTAAGGGAAGACAAAGAGTGTATACACCTACGCCATCGTACAGTACTATTAATTTCCACAATTTGCTTTCTTGTGTATATAAAGTTGAAATGTACCAACACACTCTAACAATACGTCCGTTGCCAAGAAGTTGTCCTGTAAGTCTGATCAAGGATCTTTTCCCGTCATCAGTCAATGTTCGTATCCCACAGAAATGTAATTCTCGGTAAGAAAGTCTTTTGATTTATCATATTTCGTGGTCATGCTATCTAATTTTTGTATTAACATGTAATAATGTCTCATTTTTTGAAGTAATATATCAGGGGATCCTTTGTGTAAACTATTATTGTTTGCACGTCGATGCGTTATCATAATGAAGTTACTTCTTACATAATTGGGTAATTGTTATAAATAGCAATTCGTACATGAACAACATATAACTTCAAGTCTTCTGGAAATATATTTCCGGATATCAAACTAATAGGAAAGACTTGTAATGAAAAATTAATCAAATATATTCAAAATTTCATACATTATATATATATATATATATATATATATATATATATATATAACAATCTAAGTTCGCAAAATTAAATATGGTTAATGATTTCAAGGAATATCATTGATTTTCAAAATTTACAGTTATTTACGCATTTGTTTCTTTTCGGTGAACGAAATTAACCTAAGAATATTTGGATAGCCCGTTGAGATTACTAGACACTGCGTAATAATTATGATTGAAATCTAACTTTATGGAATTAAAATGGGAGAATTTTTCCAAAAGACAGGTTTCTACTCGAGAGCAACTGTATTTTCTCCACGCGTGTCTTTGTCAACATGTTCTACCAGCAAGTATAAGATACAGACCTCCAATCAGTTTCCCAGTGGGATGGAAAATAGCTGAGCAAAGTGGAAGAAAAATGAAATTAAAAGGATTTTCTGAGCTTTTGACATTATAAGGTATTAGCGTTATAAGATCAACTTTGTAATAATGTAGAATATTAACATCAGGGTTATATCCCGACAATAATAATGAATGGTATCTGTTGGGATCTATTTATAGACTAATACTATACATATATTTTTGTATAATTGCTAATTAACTAAACTATGTATATTAATATTCCTTTTATTATAAGTACATGATTCATATCTCAGAGGCTGTTACTGGTGTTCTGGACTCAACAGGTAGGGCTGGGTAGGAAGAAGAGCCGATAAGGACTCTAAACTGTTCATATGGGTTTATGAATAATTGGTGCAATCAATAAGTCACTGTTCTTTAACTAGCGGTATCATTACGTTATATATTGATAGGGCGCAAGGCCACAAGTTATAACAATCAGGAAAAAGTTTGAATGTTGCACCTCACTAGAACGGTTAGGTTCAAAATATTGCCTTTGTAAATCAAACTCGTCCTAGTCAAATTTCGGTGTTATTTATTTTATCTCTATCTCAACTTATTAGATTTGCTTTTGCGAAATTTCGAAATCACGATGAACTGGTTGCAGCTCAAAAATCTGTTTCTGGTAAACTGCTAAACGGTAAAGAAATTAAAACTGAAATTTGCTCACTACACGGACCTGATAATGTTGATAAAAATAAATGGACTGAACCCCTACAAAGAAAACTGTCAGATTTCGATATGCGTTCTCTTCATGTTCTTCATTTGCCTCGGGCGACCACTCGTTTTGACTTGGCTCAAGTATTTCCGAAAGCTGTAGGTATTCGTATGCCGACATATGATGATGGATCGTGTCGAGGGTAAGAATAAGTACTAACCTTGTTTAAGAATTTATATAAATTCCAGTTGAGATGAAAACTGTCGTGTATATTTTCTGTCATATTGTTTATTTTGTTGTGCGAAGAGGGTTGCTAACAGTGTTTCAAGACGGCATGACAGGTATGGGATCCTGTTAGTCAATACCAAATATGTTCATGCTAAAAGAAGGTTTTACTTCAAATTGAAATATTACGCAAAATAATTTATTTACCTGGAACTCGAAGAATTTACATAATATTACTGGGTATTCAGATAATGTCCCTCACTTTCTTACGAAAATATCCATGTTATCCAAAAGTTGTTTTCTTGCCGTTTCTCATATTTCTTGTATTTGTAAAATAGACAGTACTGAATCTACTACTGATAGCAACACGCAATGTCTGATGGATTGAAACTCTTGACCGTCTTACTTCAGCTGTTGCTTATTAACTTATTCATCAAATAAATATTACTTGTTGATTGACATCCATTTTACATTCACTACCAGTTATAAACTGAATGTTATATATGTTTCTATTTTATAAACTGAAAACTAGATCTGTCTCACCATTCATTACTTCTATTTATTTCACAGACTTAAAAATCAAAGTGGTTAGTAGTCCTGATTTGTACGGTACTTTTGATAGATAATTAGCTTGAATCGTATAATTTTGGTGAATATTGCATGTTTAACATTAAAATATCCGAATTTCTGATTCTACTGATGTTTCTTTATCAAGGTATTGCACTTTAACTTACCATTCACGTCACACTGCATTAAAAGATTTTGAATTGAAACATGGAACATTTATTCACGGAGAATCTATCTATGTTATGTTCCTACTTAAAAATCCAAAGAAAGTAAGTTTCGTTTTTTTTAAAATCTGAATTTATTGAATAAAAAATAGTCTATAGACTACTATTCTTCCAAGGTATTAGTCTTTCCTAATTTATTTAGATTTCTTAAAATCTGCTTTGGCACTCTACATACTACACAGTTATATCACGTGCATGTCTTCTCATTCAATTCCAGCAATTAGATTTGCTAACGATTCGAAGAGTTCAACATCCATCAGGCATCAAAAATCCGAATTTGTTGGTCATTAAAATTGTCTTACAGTTTCATCATTTCTTGTAGACCGCTGGATAACGAAACCCCATCCGTCTTTTCGCCTTTTCAATTTCATGAACGCAGCCGGGTCACATGAAGACTATGAGTAGGACCTCCATAACAGAGGCTATAAACTCATGTTCATATGAAAGAATTTCGAATTATTTTCTATCCCCTACCGCGATAGGCCATTTGCGAATACTGTTTATTGTGAGGCACAACAGAAATATATTTTTATTCACCTTTTAATATTAAAGTTGGCACTTTATCTTCGGCTTTTATTAATCTGACTGATCCGTCTAGGTAAAGTGTTCGTCGAAAATTTTGTTACATTTCCATTCTTTTGGTGTTTCTCATGTATTTAATCTGAACATTATCAGAAGTGGTTATCAATGTAAAAAGTTGTCAGTTGATTTTAATTGATTAGACTTTTTATATTCTCTATGTTTTGTTTAGATATTTATAAGAAATGCAAAACGTCAAGCCTCTGATATTTACCAGATGGATGTAGACAGTACTCCAACACCTCATAAAGACAAAGGTGCTAAGGCAGTAGTTGATCATCCCATGCCTATGTCTATTGAATCATTTGATCCTGAATTTAAAATTGCTAAATCACCAGCGAAATCTGGTAAACCATTGAAAAAGAAGTCCAAAGTTGCAACAGTTCATCGTGACATTCCGGATCCGCTAGTAAATATAAAATACCAGTTGGAAGAAAAGAGTGTCAAGAGAAAGTCATCATCCAAAAGTATCTTTGATTCTTTATTTCAGCCTTCAACTGGAGCAAATGACAAGAAACAAAAGAAAAAGACCAAGTCTAACATAAGAAACGGCAGAAAGTTCAAAAAATAGCATTTTAAGAAAGCTGTTGTAGTATATTATTGACAGCACTAAAGGTGAATTTTAATTGCTTTATGTGAAACAGTAAACACACTATATATTATAGCTTCATTTCAGTTATGTTAAACAACACAAGTACCAAGGAATATAAGCTAATCTCGCTACGGGTAAAATGCACTCATAATTATTTACTAGATTGAGTACCTGGGCGTTCTTCAAATCTTCCAGTATCTTCAGTGTCATGCCTTTTTAGCTGTCACCACTATGTATCCTCTGATTGGTAAAAGACTTGATTAGCGTTGAGAAGCAAAAAATAATCTTGCTCAAAGTATCCCGATCATATAACTTTATTTGGTTTCTTATGCTCTCCATGTTAACAGATTTCATATTGTCTGATATTCCCCACTAATCATAATCGCTACAATGCCAAATGTACCGAAACAATCGTAGCTCTTAATTGATGAGATTAGGTTCGATTTGAGTTTAGCTTTTCGGTCACCATCAACAAAATATATCATGTAAAAATCTTGATCAAGACAGTATTACACTTAAAAATTATGTGATTTTTGTCTTTAAATGGCATTACTTACGGGATTAGACGTCTGAATGGAATATGGACGTGGTTACCAAGTCAACGATCTGTCTTTTTGTTTTGAGAATTATTTCTCGTCAGCATATTGTTGTATCTTGAGAAAAAGGGCTGCTACGAATTTATCAAGTCTGGAGAATCCCTAACCCATATCACATGCTATATTGGCAGTCGGATCAGTTACAATGTCACCGACCAATAAATGACAACCAAGATTCTAATGCTTATTGGTCTTCAAGACCCTTTCCAACCCAGTGGTCAATCAGAAGACGATGGTGGAAGGCAGACTACTTTTCTATTGAACCTAATTCGTTCATGACCAAAAACTCATAAATTAGTATACCATAAATAAATGCCTGACTATACAAATAAAGAAACCAATTAGAGCGTAATCATGTCATAAGTGGTAGAAGTTGAAGCAGACATTACATAATCATTTAATAATGATTAAGCAATAGTAAAATGCATAAGAATAGTTAATAAATTCACTGGAACCTTGCAATAAGTGAGATATAGAGATGTAACAATGTAGTTATCTACTAATTATACAATAAATTATACAAAGTAAATAATAGTAATCTGGAAAATAGCACCGAGAGTTTCAACTGTCCCAATATTCGTTCTGTAATAATACATACTATCCAAACAATAATTTTAATATTTCGGTTCATAGTTTGAGTACGTCATTCATAATTATTAGACCATAGTTTCACTGAACACTTTATGTTGTTCATTTTGGATGGGTGGGTGGTAATTTTGACTATCAAAAAGTAATTAGGATGTGGTTAGTGGATTGGTTTATTTAGTATTATTTATTGGGTTGATGCTCGTTCGAATAAATTTCTGTCGACTTTTAATAATGGTAATTTATTGTTTCTTATTTTGTAGGTTATGTAATTTGGACTCTACTTATCCTGTCCATCTACATTCCTCTTATATATATAATTATTATTTTGATAAATTTTTTCTTATTAATTGTTTTAAACATGGGTTAAGCTGTATATTATCACTCAGTCCCTGCACTTATTCATTATCTTTTAAGCTGTTTATTAATTTACTAATTAAAGATTTTACTAAGATTCAATCGATCGTATGAAATATGGAAGGTGGACTAACTAATATTTTTACTCACGCAACTGATTCTCGAATACCAAACAAGTAGAACGGAATCATTAGCTAACTCGTCGAGTATATAAACCAATAATAGAGAATGAAAGGTATTATTTCCATGCAAAATACTCAACTATCAGATATTTTTCAGTAGTGATAAAGCTGAAGGTTACCCAAACAACTTATGACAATTCACTACAGTCTGTTTTAACCGAAAGTAAACATGAAAAACACTAGATAATGATTTTCTCTAAAAATCTAAGGAATCAGTTATGCAATTAATAATGTCAGTCTAAAAAAGAATGAACAAATTCGGCATGTATAAGAAATAAATTCTCCCGTTAGCAAACATGTTCTGGTAGACTATTGAGCATAAAAAAGCATTGCTAGTTTTACTGCGTTGGTTAGGAATACAAGATCTCTGTTGCAACTGGGAAAATTCGGATCTCTTATTTGCCGTTTTTCAATTATTTAATTTCTTTATGACTCACCAAGAATCTACAATCTTGACACGGCGATCTAAACTTCTGTTTGATGGTCGTGGTTCAGCGTTTATTATTTGCTTTATAGTTCATTTCCTAAAAGATTCCGAACCTAACTTATAAGCAACCAGCCAATAATGACAAAACTAATAATAATGAGGAGGTTTAGTATTTGATTAATTGTAATAGTAATGACAATAGATGTATCGATAATCAAGTATGAAGCGTATAGAAATGAGAAGAATTTTAAATTGCATGTCATTCATGTCTACCATAGCTGTCATTCACACTGTATCCAGAATCGTCTACTAATGTTCGTAGAATTTAAAAGTTTTTAGCAAGTTTGCTTAACAACTAGAATCGGCGTACATAGTATCTTTTTAATGAACGTTTAGAGTGAACCGTAACAGCAGCACTGGAATTTACCGGAAAAAATCCATATTACAGTGGCGCGATAATAGTTGACTAATTCAATGTCATGGTAGATTTATACCTTCCTAATTTACTGTTGGAATGGCGTTGAAATTATTATTGATGTTAGTTTATGTTAAACCTTAAGTACCACAGAAAATCCCCATATCTATAATTTTCATAATCCAATTCAGCGTTGATAAGTGACATCTATTACTAACTTTATTGATCATTCAGATAGCTTTGAAAGACCTGCCATCCTTTAAAAGTATACTACACCCCGGATACTGAAAACGCTTATCAAGTAAAATGGTTAAGTGGGAAATAATATTTTGTGTCACTAACCCTGAGTATATGAAGAGCTATACTATGGGGTCGGTTTGCGTGATTGCAGTAATATAGTACGGTAGATGATGACTTACTACGTGAACGAACTGTTGGAGACAGAAAGAGATAGACTAACACAATAATACATCCACTACTAAACAACATCAGTCTTAAACAGGAATGCCATTCATCTTATAATGACTAACTCATCGTTAGACAAAATATATTTTAAGTCTAATGGAAAAAATAATAATCCCCAGTTTGATACTGTCAAGGTTATGGTTGTTGAAATACGATTGGTTAGTGAGATTTAAGTTAAACAATTTAGAAAGAAAAATTAGGGGAGAAAACGAGCGATGGCTAAACAGAGACCCGTTGTCGAAAGCGATCAATATGCATTATTATCATTCGACATTACTTACGTCTGTTACTAACAGTGGAGCATAGGCCGCCGACCAGCTTCCTCCAACCCACTCTATCCTGGGCCTTCCTTTCTAGTTCTATCCATTTTTTGTTCATTCTCATATCTGTCTCTATTTCACGGCGTAATGTGTTCTTTGGCCTTCAGGATTCCATGTGAGAGCTTGTCTTGTGACGCAATTAGCTGATTTCCTCAAGGTGTGCCCAATCCACTTCCTCCGCTGGAATCTGATTTGTTGTCCCCCACAGTAACTTGTTGCTGATAGTATCTGGCCATCGGATCCGAAGTATCTTGCGTAGACAGCTGTTAATAAACACTTGTATCTTCTGGATAATGGTTTTCCTAGTTCTCCAGGTTTCCGTCTCATACAGTAGAACTGTCTTGACATTTGTATTGAAAATTCTAACCTTGGTGTTGGTTGACAATTGTTTTGAATTCCAGATGTTCTTCAGTTGTAAATATGCCGCTCTTGCCTTGCCGATCCGCGTCTTCACATCTGCATCTGATCTACCGTGTTCATTGATGATGATGCCCAGACATGTAAAGATTTCCACATCCTCCAAAGCTTCTCCGTCAAGTGTAATTTGATTGGTGCATGTTGTATTGTATCAGAGAGTCTTGCTTTTCCCTTTGTTTGCATTGAGACCTACTTCTGCTGAGGCTACTGCTACATTGAACGTATTCTCCTGCATTTGTTGTTGCGTTTGTGATAGAAGAGCCAGATCATCTGTGAAGTCTAAATCGTCCAGCTGTATCCCGTGCTTTCCTCTAGATGTTGACGTCTTCATGATGCAGTCGATCACCAGGAGAAAGAGAAACGGTGAGAGTAAGCAACAATGCCTAACAACGGTCTTTACCTCTAATGAGTCGGTGAGTTATCCTCCGTGAACTATTTGGCAGTTTAATCCATCATAGGAGTTCCGTATGATATTGACTATCTTCTCAGGTACGCCGTAGTGTCGAAGAAGCCTCCATAGTGTTGTTCTGTCCACTCTATCAAATGCTTTCTCGTAGTCAATGAAGTTGATGTAGAGTGATGAATTCCATTCGGTTGATTGTCACACAATGTTACGTAGAGTTGCAATTTGATCTGTACACGATCTATCCTTACGAAATCCAGCTTGTTGATCTTGCAGTTGGGCTTCTACGGAATCCTTCATCCTGTTTAACAATACTCTGTTGAAGACTTTTCCTGGTATTGAGAGAAGAGTGATGCCCCTGTAGTTATCGCACTTGCTGAGATTGTCTGTCTTTGGTATCTTGATCAGAAGTCCTTTTTTCCAGTCTATTGGTACTTGTTCTTCGTCCCAAATCTTACTGAAGAGGATGTGGAGTATCATTGCAGTTGCTGCCTCAATTGCTTTCAGTGCCTCTGCCGAGATGTTGTCTGATCCCGCTGCTTAGCCGCTCTTGATTTGTCTAATGGCCATGCTGATTTCTTCGATTGTTGTTGGGCCAACATCGATTGGGAGGTCCGCAGGTACTGCTCCTATGTTGGCTGGGTTCAATGGGGCTGATCTATCTAAGAGTTCCTTAAAGTGCTCTACCTACCTGTTTCGTTGTTCTTCAATGTTGGTGATTACCTTGCCTTCCTTGCTTTCCGCTGGTCGTTCTGGTTTGCGGTATTTTCCAGTGAGTTTCTTTTTTGTATCATACAGTTATCTCATGTTTCCCTCTCTTGCAGCCTTTTCCGCTGTCGTTGCTAAATCTTCCACATATTTACGTTTGTCGGTTCTGATGCTCCTCTTCACTTGCTTGTTTGCCTCTGTGTATTCGGCTTGTGCCTTGGCTTTTTCCGCTCTGGTTCGGCTGGTGTTGATTGCTGCCTTCTTGTTCCTCCTTGCTTCAATCTTATCCAGTGTACCAACAGTGATCCATTCCTTGTGATGGTGCTTCTTTTGGCCCAGAACCTCTTGACATGTTGAAACGATTTCCTCCTTGATACCTTTCCAGTTGCTCTCCATGGTAGTCCCCTCTCCATTGAGTAGATCATAAAAGGCCTGGAACCTGTTGCTGAGGGCTATGTTGAATTTGTTGAGTTTGTCAGCATCTCGAAGAAAAGCCGTATTAAACTTTTGTGATGTTTCCAATCAATCGACCTACTAGAGAGTAAAATAAAATCAATTAAAAGCGGTAAGATACAAAGCGTATAGTTTTCTTTACAAGTAAAATTGTAAAATGTTTATTGTAAGCAAACAATGTGCACAAATTTGTTCACCGACTTTCCAGGAAATTCTGTAGCATGTATATGCGTGTCAGACATAAAGTCTACTTGGTAGTAACTTGTCTGATAGCCTTAGAAGTTTGTTTTACCTTGGTGCTCATAAGAAAAAGCTGTTTTCGATTGTAGTCGCTTTAGTTCATGCCATTGATATTTACTTAAAATAGAAATGAACATCTTAAGATAACAAATCGAAAATTTGTTTCCACCAGATTACCTGTCGGATAAGTCCAACTCTAGAATATCAATAGACTGCGGCTAAACAGCCTCAGGATGAAAAAAAACACTTCTCTAATTTTTTTTATGTTTGATGCTATTCTCAAAAACTTCTAAGGGTATCAGACAAGTTACTACCAAGTAGACTTTATGTCTGACACGCATATACATGCTACAGAATTTCCTGGAAAGTCGGTGAACAAATTTGTGCACATTGTTTACTTACAATAAACATTTTACAATTTTCCTTGTAAAGAAAACTATACGCTTTGTATCTTACCGCTTTTAATTGATTTTATTTTACTCTCTAGTAGGTCGATTGATAATAATGCATATTGATCGCTTTCGACAACGGGTCTCTGTTTAGCCATCGCTCATTTTCTTCCCTAATTTTTCTTTCTAAATTGTTTAACTTAAATCTCACTAACCAATCGTATTTCAACAACCATAACCTTGACAGTATCAAACTGGGGATTATTATTTTTTCCATTAGACTTAAAATATATTTTGTCTAACGATGAGTTAGTCATTATAAGATGAATGGCATTCCTGTTTAAGACTGATGTTGTTTAGTAGTGGATGTATTATTGTGTTAGTCTATCTCTTTCTGTCTCCAACAGTTCGTTCACGTAGTAAGTCATCATCTGCCGTACTACATTAAAGTAAACTTTTTGTAATTGTTTTCAATTTTACCAGATAGGGCCGTTTTATCTGAATATTAACAATTCCACTCGATTTGAGCATATTGTAGGATGGGTAAAGTGATCTGAAAGTTTTTGAATAGTCCCTAAGATATAAAAATCCAGGTTACGTGTTCGTCAATGGTTATTTTCCTTCGTGGTGTTTAAACTTGTTTTTTGATAACAGGATTTCGTTAATCATTTCTAGGTTTCATTCTGTAATTAGCTTGATGCTTTCGGGTATAAATAATGAATTAAGATGATGGGCTTATCGTTGAAACACCCAACCACCACAACTTACATTAAATTCCGAATTCAGATGTTATACGCTATGTGAAATATGATTTGATTTGATTTATAATTGATAAGTTGAATAAAATCCAAGGAGCACCAAATTACGAAACAGTTTAACGATCATTTTTTATTAGTTTTAAACTGTGACATCGTAATTTTGAGTTTTTGAAAACTGACTGTTACACAGGGAAGTTCACGCAGTTATCGAAATCGCTTGTCCGACATGTCAATTGTGAACAATGTATCGGCAATACAGACTGTGTTTGACACAAACACCGATTAAGAGAAAGGGTTTTCCAGATCACAGAATTGGTCATTCTAAAAAATTCACATCTACATATATCCGTCCACAGTTTTTTCTATGGTGGTTTTCATGACATTAATTTTGTAGTTAAATTACTCAGTCACTTACAATTTGGTTAGTCTAGTGTACATCATTAACACCAATAAAATCCACTTCCATTCGTGATTATCACGAACTAGCAGTCACTTTAGTTTCGCTGTTGTATTTTCAACGTTTTCCAACTGATGCACACCACTAATCTTATTTTAGCTTGGAACTTTCAATCAGGATTCGAAAAATATCTGTTTTAATTAGCTGTTAATACGACACCATTTTGATAGCACAAACTAATTTAGGTATGTCTTTGACAACTTTTTGGAATGATAATAAATGTCTATTGAAAGACGACATCAGTAAAGTTTATTTGAATAAGAAATTTTCTGTTGATCAATCATCTGGGATTTTCATCTTTAGTGAATGATATAGTTGTCTAATTTATTTGTCAATTTGATTGAATCATGTACCGACATTCATTTTATTAACAAAATATATGTTAGCGGATTGCCTTTTGGACAGCAATTGGTAGGGATCCGATAAATACTTTATTCACCTTATCATCTCAATAAAAACTAAAGGTTAATTTTTAAAGCTATTGATCACAGGGTCTAGTGGTTAGGAATTCAACTTGATGTTTGAATGTGAAATCTTTCAACAAATGAGCTACATGTATCCTCATGCTCTAAAATAAAACCATTGTTTAGAAGGTACAGAGTATGATATCTGAGAGATGATCATCAGGGAAATTCGATTTCTCTTAGTAGCACTTTCTTCAACATTCGTGTTTGTCTGCCCGAATAACACTTGTGTTATATTTAAATAGGAAACTGAGAAAATGTTCAATTCAAATCAACTGTATATGTCCATCAGCATACGAGTGTGTTGAAAGAATACTTTTTTCGTGAAGGACTCTCAACCTTTTGCTAGTAATCAGTAGATGACACACTAATTTTGACTTTTGATTGAACGTGTTTCATTAATATTGGAAGACCTAAGCAACTGTTATCACATACACGTAAGAACCTTAAGAAAATGGGAACTTTTCTATCGTCAGTTCTTTCAATTTAGTTTGCTACCCAGTAATGAAGGCTTTTGACTGAATCACATTCCTCTCTCTGATTATCAGGCGACAGAACCAATATGTAACTCGGTCCTCCTAATTTCATTACTTCATATAGTGTAGAGCATATATTGTGACCATCACATACCATCAGCCATGAATCTCTATCATCCTTCCGAGTTTTCTTTACTTATAACATAATATCTGAAGAAACTATCTTGAAAGCTGAAATTGTTGATTGGCAAATGATTTTCATAACGTCTACATCGTTTAAATTTAACCTGAAATATAAAGTGCATTACACTACTAAATTATAATCACCTTACCTGAACTTCAAAACAAAGAAAATTCAATCTTTTTGAACGATATTTTTATCTAATTAAGACAATGCAGAAACTGAAAGCAGCATGGAAAAATCACTTATTCGTGTGATATTAGAACGTTATAAGCAAAATGGTGTCGTTGGAAGACCTGTGAATAATAGTCGTGTAAAAATGGTAGTTCAGTATGGTCTCCAAATGATTCAGCTGCTTGGGCTTGACGAAAATAAACAAGTTTTAAAGACAAATTGTTGGGCTGTATATGTAAGTTTGGTTATTGTGATCTAATATCTTACTGCGCTTTTTTAAGTTTACCGAATTCCTATTCATCATTGTATTTTGTTTTCTCATTAGTGCTACAAATGATGTGATTTACGTAGACCACTTTCTGGCTATGATGAAGCTAGAGTTAAGCCATCTTAACTCGCTTGTTTATTTGGCTAGCATAATGATCTTTAAATCATGTTAAAATCAAGGTACACCTGATGTGGCATGATAGTAGAAGCTAATTGATATGATTCAATAGATTTAGGTCAAGTGATTGCATACATGAGATTTTAAAAATGGCTTCTCTTGAAGATTTGAAACGTCATCATAGAAAGGAAAAGTGTGAGATGTAATCACTTACTCTTTGCTCTTCCTGCCTATTATTCGAAGCACATATATTCTGATGCAATAAGGCATCATAAAACATAGGCATAACACATATGAAATGATAATATTGTCCAGAAAGAAAAGAGCGGTAGAACAATCAACAAATTGAGTGCAAATACATCGTTTTTGACCAAAGATGAAGTTCACTCAAAAATCAACCTTTTGCTTATGGAGTTCCATCTTATATAAAGAATTTCATAGAAAACTACATCAAGACAACTTGTAATCTTTGACCTGAGCCAGTGTTGTGTGATCTACTTATATCTATATAAGTAGTATATGGTGTTGGTCAGATATAGAATGTATTTTCGCAGAAGACCAATGAAGAAAGAACTGAAATGAAGCGCAATTGTTTGGAAAATGCATGAGCAATGGAATTATAGAAGATACAGTGAAGATTGAAACAATTGGTTGTTAATTTGCAAATTGACGGTTCATTGTTTGGTTATCAGAATTTACTGAGATAGTCTGTAATCTTTGCTTAAATACATTCGATTGTCCCCAACCAGTGTTCTGTTCACTACACCAGGTCTGATAACGTTTTAAGTTACCAAGTAGTGTCATCTCTAGGACTATAACACTAAACTCATGGTGAACCTACAGATACCAGTCTTATACATCTATCCTCTCTATCACAAAGTTATTCTATAGATTGATCACCTCCGTTTTTTCACCCAGTCCCAGGGTTGGAAAAAATACACGGTGTAGGAGACTCTTGAATAAAACGTGTAGGACATTTACAAGCCACCTAGATAGATACAGTTGAACAAAGATTTCTAGACATTAGGATCAAAAGCATTCTCGGTATCGGATGCAGGTACTACACTGCAGAGAGTCGCCGAGTATCCTTAGCTCGAGAGGACCAGATTTCACAAGCTTAGAGTAGAATTACTGTTATGGACTGATTGCAAAACCCGACCTTTCACTCCAGACTAATATCACGAAGGCACTAAAGATACTTCAGATTGGTATAAGTCTCTCATCTAACAAGCCGCCACCAGTAGCGACACAAGTACGTAGATCATAGAACGTTTCAACTATTCTTAACAGTTTACTTCAAAGGGTGCATCTCGAAAGTGCGAAATATATGCAGTACATACGGATATTAATTTTTAAATGATTGAGTATTATTTGCATAGACTGTGTATTATTGGACAATAAAATCATCTCACTTATTCAAACAAGGTCTGAAAGTCTTCTTCAAATTAACAGATCAGACAAGTTTCCAGAACGTTATTAACTGAAAAGTTCAAGATGAGTGGTGTGAATGAGATGTCCTATGTAACACTTCTATTTGATTGAAATATCAGTGGAAGATGGTTGCATATCATCACTCAGCCCGAAGTGCTTTTATACAAAGCCTTCAAGATGTTAATGATCATATCAGACACACTTCTCTTCAAAAATGAATCACACGGCGCAGTCCTATCTACTAAATTAAAAGTGGTTCTGATTTCAAGGAACACGAAGATTGTTGGCCTGAAATGAATAAAGTATCTACGGAGCTCACTAACTAATGTGTTATCAACCTCATAGATCGTTTCACTGATCACTGATGGGTTGAAAAAGCATCCGATAGCTCTTGTTTCCAATTTATTTTCATGCTTTGACTTAACTCTTTTTTCTTCTATTGGTTTTATTTCAAATAATTAGGAATATTCCACACGTATCCCTACATATAGATAGCTCACAGGTAGTCTCTGAAATTGGCACTTTCTGATTGGTGTTCAAATTCGTAATAGGTAAACATATCCCTTATGTGTTCAGGCAAAATGTAAAAGACATTGGTTTAAAAGTTGTTGGCTATAATCTATAAACATTTTAAATCCAATAAAATGTATGGTGTTCTAGAGTCACTTCATCCAGTAAATATGTTACGAATTAGTTTTATAGAATTCGAGTAGCATTGAAGTCTAGACAACATATCATTAACCCCCTCTCAGTATTTAGTTTTCTTACTATTAATCTGTTGGTAAATAGAAAAGAACAGAAATTTAAGTTTGAGAAAGCTATAAAATGTTTCCATTAGGTCAGTAATTAGGAACTATTCTGGAATCTAACACTGGAAACTGAAGTCCCTGAAATTTCGCAGATGATTTAATCATGTGTTAGAATCTAATTTTTGTAATGAAATACAGAATTTCGGATAACGACGATGTAGATTTTGTAAAGTAAGCTTCTCACAGCAAACAATATATCAAAAATTTGTCATAACGTTTGTGGTTTATTAATCGGTAGAATATTTTTCACCATTTTATTTCAATGTAACACAGAGATGGAGTGATTCTTTATTGAAATGGAATGCAAGTCAGTATGGTGGTATTAAAGAATTGAGGATATTTCCACATCAAATATGGACACCTGATATTAAACTCTATAATTTGTAAGTTGTTTTTTCAAAAAAAATACTGGTATCTGTGAAAATTATCTAAATCCTTTAAATTATTTTTAGTTTATTACGCAACCTGTATGGGATTTTTTAAGTTTTATATTATTCTTTTTCTGAAGTATTCTTTCAATGACCAAGCACAGATATTTAGATAAACGTCTCAATAACGCTTCTCATTGTCAGCATTTTAGAAAGGTATATGTGATAATGCACCGTTATGGAACATTTTAGATCAATAAAAAAATCCTTGTTAATTCGATTAAGATTAAAAGTATGATAATTTGAAATAATTTTGTTTCAGTTGTTGTCACTACTTGATTCCAATAACTTTTCAACACTTAAAAAAGGTCCAATTGATCTAATAGTTAAGACTTCTATAAACTCAAGAAGTCACCTTTTCCAGTTAAAATATAAAGATCTCAAAGCTGTAATACGGTCAGTCCTTAAACCTGTTTTAATTATATGTCCAGGTATACGGGTTTTCTGACACTGTTAGTCATGAAAAGTAATTTATTTAAACCATTTTGAAGTACTTTTATAAACTGTTATCCATGAAATAAAAATACATACTACAGTCCATTTACTTGATTAAAGTGAAGGAAATAAGTGATAACAAATTCACCCTTCGATATTTTTTTTAAAACTTTTAGTGCAGATGAACGTTTACAAGAGTTTCGAGAAGGTCGTTTAGTGGTAGATAGCAGTGGCAATATACTGTGGATTCAGCAGGCATTATTCAGAAGCACATGTCAAGTTGAAATTACATACTTTCCATTTGATAGTCAGGTGAGTTGTTAGAGAGAGAAAGATAACTTGGCAAGCATATATTTAAAAAATTACCCAAAAATGTTATTAAATTCATTATTCTTATCTAGAAAAGTATATATTCTTTAAATATTGCAATTATATAATTCACATCAGCTTGAATCAAAAATTACTTTACAAATAACCCAGTTCTTGTAGCCATCGATTTGAATGTTGTAATTAGCATACCGAATAGATACTAAATATGTTTTCCAGCAATGTGAAAAGATTTCATATACATCGAAAATTAACAGAACAGCATAAGCAGCAACGAGGATGGATGCTAGTACTTTGTGTATTTTAATTACATGATTTATTAGATCTAGTTATTACTTTGAACCATTGACTTTTATTTTCTGCTACTACTTCACCTACTTTTGCTTGAATAACCAAGTAGTATCTTTACTATATACATTATAAATCTGATTCAAGGACTGGTCTACAAATATGTGCATTGAATATATTCGAGTCTTTTAGCGATATAGTTTAATGTAATAAAAAAGGCGTTGTGGTTGCATTCTGTCTTCTAAGTTATATAATTTAATGAATGTAATTGTAAATTACGAATCATTAAATTCGAACTCATCGGTCAGGTGGTATAGTGATTGTTGTAAGATTTAAAGATCCTAATACCTATCTAGTCTGTGATTATAGGAACATATTTTCGATACATTTCAAATCAAGACAAAACACCTAGCGGTACTTTCTGATCTGTAATGATTCCTTAATTAATGGTAGTTTCTGCTGAAAAGTATTATCACCTAGTTAATAATTGATTAGGACTGAAAATCCAAATAATAAAATAACCGGTTAGTTTAAAATGCCAATTATCGTATCACAAGATTTAGTCGAGAAAAGAAATTCCAATGAAAATTTGCCTTGAGAATACTATTGAAGATATAAATCGATTTTAAACAACTTGAAAACTTAAAGGATATAAATATCCAGAATAATTTAATAAGGTGGTTAGGAATTAACTTCAAGGAATATGAAAAAGTATCATATTGTCGATACATCCTATGACAACCATAAAGAGCTGCTTTTGAAATGAACCCTTGTTAACAGAATAGTCATTTTAAAAATAATTTTAACAAAAGATTGATTATGCTTTATCGTTAACTTTAATCTTATAGAGTAATGTAAGAACCTGAAATAGAAAAAAAGGTATTTTTAGCTTAAATTAAGTAGGACACTAATTTACAAAGTAATTGAAAATATAAAAGATATAAATGTACATAAGGTCATCTTTGAATAATTCTTTAAATCCAAAGATTGATTAAATGGAGGAAAAAAAAGAAAACCCTTCGAATTTTTAGATAAACTACTTAATTAAATGAGCTCTATGTCATATCATACAAAAAATTGACTAATATCTGAATTTCTAGGTTTACTGAATGTTCAATGAGATTTTTGTTACCATAGAACACAAATGGGCTACAGGCTAGATTATTTTTTATCCATGTTTACTATGTCTTATACTTTAGTACAGAAAATAGTTCAGTCGTGATTGGATGGTCAGTTATTTAATCTTTGTGACTATCAGTTAGTGTTGCCAATCAGTAGATATAGATTCATAAACAGTTATCAAATTGTGAACTAAAATTTAAGTACTTTCATCCCAATGCTTTTTTTATTCTTAACTCACCGTTTTAACAAACAAATTTACTGTTGAATGTGCTTCATCACGAAGTGAGATCAGCTTCCAATCTATCAAAATTTAGGAAGAACTGGATAGACATCTTTCTTGAGTTTCTGGGTTTGTCAAAAGTCAGAACATATTACCCCATATAGGATGGGAACGATGACCTTTAGTTTTAGCACGGAGGATAAAACTATGAATTTTTTAAGATAGAATTTAATAATCCGCACGATACAACTAACCTTAGTTTACACAATCTCCTTGAGATCACCTTTTTCTCCCAGACCGGAATAGAACTTCTTGAGAAATACAATACTTTTTCAGTACTTCAACATACATATAACAAAATTCGAATAGCTTCAAATAATTATTTTAAGATATTTAAAGTAGAGGATCAATTTTTACAAGATCATAATAAGAATTCAAAAACGAATTGTTTGGATTTAATTTACAGGTTTGTATGTTAGAGTTTGGTTCAATGGCGTATGATAAAACCCAATTAGATTTGGACTTTTGGATACCGGATGGCAGTGATACACCAATGCCATATGTTGATTTCTCAGATTATGTACCTGCGAATGATTGGTTTACAGATGGAGAAGCAGAACGACATATTAGACATGAAGATCGAATACATCAGGTAAATTAAAAGATATATTAAGAAGAAAATTATTCTGTATGTGAAGGTAGTTTAGTGAAGAGTCATTCGTATGATAATAATTCATAGGTCAAAATTAAGCTTATAATAAGATGAATATATGCATAGATTAAATCTAATCACTGAATAAATTCAACTTAGTATTGTTTGTTTGAATCTTCCCATCGATTTGTTAGGACTGCAACTGGTCAGTCTCTAATTGGCATATGTGCATACTGTGCGTATTGCCTCGATATACCTTAATTCACAAGCATGGTTAGCAGAGATGGATAGTGGCTAGCAGTGGAATCCAGGACGCGCGTTTCGTCCTATTTGGGACTCGTCAGTTTGAAGCGAGGGTACTGGGTTCGAGTCCCAGAGTGAACATCAACTCTGAGATGCAGGTACATCCAGCTGACGAGTCCCAAATAGGACGAAACGCGCGTCCTGGATTCCATTGCTAGCCACTATCCATCTCTGCTAATCACTGAATAGTTATACAATAACAATATATACAGAATAATAGTCCATTAATAGGTCCCGAAAGTTACCCGTACTTATGTCTTCACTCGGATATAGCAATGACATCTCAAGGTTACTAAGTATTAATAAAGTAACATAATACATAATTGTGCCTCTTCATACTATTTTCTTTTATATGGCATGATTTCATTTTAGTTGGGGAGATCCTTATGTTGACCACAATAATATAATCGCTAAAAACATGTTCATGTACGATTTATATGCCAACCCAAATACATAAACAAGTATGCAGAATTTATATAACATAAGTCTACCAGTTTAATAATAAAAGATCTTTACATCCATTAGGCAATAATGTTTATGAAATAATTGAAGTACAGACACCGTTAAAGATGTGTAAAGACATAAGGCTATTTGCTCAAAGCACTATACTCAAATCATTTTAACTGATTAGTAGTAAATAGTAGAAGAAAATATGTAATAACTTTACCCCAAACATTCAAATCAGTTTCATTAAAATTGGTGCTTTCCAATTTCTTCTTTTAAAATTGTTTACCGTCGCATAAAGGTTTTTTTGGGGATCACCTACACGTAAAATATCCATTACTACTCTACGAATAGTTTCTGAACAATCTGATATTTTGTTAAATTTCTTCATCCTTGTATTAGTCGGTTTAGTTTCATATATCATGAATCATTTTGTACACCTATAAGTTTGTTATTCTCGAAAGAAACAAATAGACTTCCTCAAAGATCACTATTTTATCACAAACAGGAGTGTTTTGTGGTTAATTAATATAACATGTATTCGGATTGATAATTCACACAGTAATTAAAGTCTTCCTAAAATTTAACCGAAATTCTTAATCATTTAGTTTAAGATTATTCATATGTCATGACCCTCATGTTTGTTTATTTAAATCAGTTGGAACTTTTTTTCATTTCCTTGTTTCCAGTTACGGTCTGTAAAACGATATCGAGTTAGAGAACATTTGGTTGGATCAACGAAACATGAAAGATATTATCCAGTTCTACGTTATTTAATACGTATTTATCGTAATCCAAGTTTTCACTTGTTTATTTTAATTGTTCCATGTTTGTTATTATCACTGTTAAGTTTGGTGGTCTTTTGGTTACCACCGGACTCAGCTGCGAAAATGATGCTAGGTAAGTTCAAAAGGATAGATTACTGCTAATAGATTTGACAAATTATATTCAGCCACAAATTTAATGAGTACGGTAGGGGCTGTAGAAGCTTCTTGGTTTTCATTAGTTATCTAACTGAGATCAATACGTTATGTAATCAATGAACAAATTTAAGTATTAATCCTATTAGCATTTTATAATTCGAATCGCTAAAGTATGACTGAATTTTCTTTATTGTAAGGTGAATTTGATATAAATATGCAAGTCAGTAGAACTCTATGTCATGTTCTGCCTTTTAAAGTTCAACATGATGTCTTTTGTATTCTATTACATAAATCCTCTAAAGGTCTATTTATAAAGATACTAAGAGCAACAGAACAACTGGCAAAAGTTGGTTCCTTGTTTTACTTCGTTTTCTGACTGATGCTATCATAGTTACTAAGTGTGATAATTCTAAATAAAATCAAGATTTAATAAATGGCATGAAATTAAGTGCAATCAGTTTAATATGTAGAAATACGGGGATTATTTATCATTATACAGTTTAAATCCAAAGAACCATGGTATACTGAGTGGTCTTATGATGAAGTCAGTAAACTACTGTATAAACTACTAAGTTTCAGTTTAAGATGATAGATATTTTGTCCATGATACTTATAAATAAACAACTGAATTGAAGCTATTCAGTCAATTATTATGAAACAGCAGGAGAATCTTAGTTCAGTAGGATAATACAACACACTTTGAAGTAGTCAGTTTATTCATGAAATTGTCATTATATTCATAGAAAAAAAATCATCGGACTGAACTTCTCCATCTCAAGATTATCATGTCCTATTAGATTTCTCTGTTTCTACTGCTATAGTTAGGATAGCGTGTGAAACTCTTTTTGATGTTTAGTGTTTATTCAGATCTCGAATATATATGAATTTCTCAAATTCGATAGATTAACGCTAAGCTGTTTTGTTTCACTTTTATACATCATCTTCAAGAAATCAATCTAGAAGCCCTACATTAACATTTAGGCTTGTTGATTATTCAGCTAGTTACTGGGAGTATTATCGAAATCATGAACCGATCAGTGTTAGTAGACCACCATTGGAAACTTAGAAGCGCTGGACAGCCGTTTTTTCCTAGTATTAAGAATTTGTTCACGTTACAATTCTGGCACTTTGATTATTAGACGGTTGGAGTTTTACAATTTTACCACATCGCGGTAGCTAAATTCCCCTTTCCTCTTGACATATGAGTAGAAAATAACATTGTTAGTGAGTTATTAATATGAAAGATCGTTTTCTCTTAAACAACGTGCTTGTAAAATTAATTAACATTCGTATAAAAAAACGAAGCCGGTTATGCAAAAGAACTTTTTCTGACGGTTTCACATACTGAAGGTGTACGATAGTAATTTTAGTTAATCTTTATACATAGTTTGCAATGAAGTGGGGAAATGTTACGTCATTCAACTAAATTATCAAGAGTTTTCCTGTACCCCGTATAATTAATGTAATAGCTTGGCGGGTAATGGGAAGTAGTAAGGTAAACATAGTTTGCAGAAGATGGGGAGAAGATAATCACCCACTTAATATTTGTAAAGAAGATTAAAAAAACATGGAACAGTTGGCAAAAAAAGTTTATGAAATCAGATAGGGTGGTAAGATTTCATGTAGATTCATGAAATCATGTATCCAAATCAAATATTCGATTCTATCTTGGGTATTATATATATATATATATATATATACTACTTTTGTATAAACAAAGATTATAAATATATCTCCTGATCCCTTGGAAATTTCTTTCGTTCTAATTACCTTAGGCATAAACATCTTCGTGGGATTTTTCGTATTATTATTACTATTGGCGAAATCAATGCCTAGTGCAATCAAAAATTTCCCCATAATAGGTAAGTTTTGTTTTAATGAATATGCATAAAAATATCGGTATTGATTCATTGTATCAGTTTATACGAATTTCACTTTCAGTATTTATATAAGCTATTCATAAATTATGGAATTAAATAATTCAAGTCGTTCAAAAACTGCGTGATTATAAGATATCTAATAATATCTCAACACTAATGAACCATTATGAAATTCTCATTAAAGATTTCGTAGTTACGATATCCAGATTCGATAATCAAAATATACAATCGTGTGATCAACTTTAAGCCATAGTTTTTAATGTAAGAGATAGTCAGTAATACTGCCAAGCTGTGAAAACTAAAGTTTATGAATAGGTGTTTAAAACTATAGATTACTGATCAAGCCGTCCTGTAGTTCACTAACTGTAATAAGTCAGAGATCTAATGTAATATTATGAATTATATTATTATTTACTAATAATAATTAAAGGATTTGTGACTAGATTGCAAACTAATCCTAGCTAAACCACTATTGAAAACTTGAAACAATGGATAGCTGTTTCGTCCTAGTTTGGGATTGTAAAGCAGTGCGCATCTACGATCCCGCATCCGAGATTGCCATTGTTTAATGGCTACATGTAATGTTGACTCTACCAAATTCAGTATGACAAGTCAATTTGAATCTCAAACACCAACATACCAATTATTCCTTAAAATTTGGATTACCTCTAATCAAGAGACACTTAGGTAATTACGGTATGCAACTTGTGAAATGATCCTGAAATTATCACTTCTGTTTAAAGCAGGGTTTGAGACTAGAGCCCTGGCGAAAGCTGATCTTTCTTCAAGAGGACTGGACATAAAATAAGCAACACAACCGTAGAATTTCTGGCTTTTACCACTGGTATTAGCTGTTGTCATATCACTTTAGTCATACACAATGTTTTAAGGGCGGTTAGTTAACCGTATCTCATTTCTAACAACTAACACACTAGGATCACAGGAAAATATTGTTTGATCGTCATCTCTTTTTCAATGCATTATCGGTTTTGTTTTCGTTGCTTATTTTGATCCCTTTTCTTGATTAGGTATTTTCTTTTGCTTAAATATGGTCATGGTCACATTGTCAATATTTGTGGCTACTTGGGTAGTAAATTTATTTTATAAAGGAAATGAAGGTCGAGCAATTCCATTTTGGATTCGTCGAGTAAGTCATTTACTTTAAATGGTTAAGTACAGCAAATTTCAGTCAACATTTTTACATGTTGTAATCAAAAGAATATAAATAACTTGTCTGATATAAGTTAATTTTGATATAGGAGTGAAATTGCATTGGTTTTTCAATGAATTATATGTCAGAAAGAAACACATTCTAGGTGACACTACAACGTAGATTTTATCTTTAAATACTTTAAATTTTACAATTTATACCAACCGTTTTAATCAAATCTTGAAGACTTCATTTGTCAACATTGAGTACTAAGCATCATAAACTACATATATAATATTTGTATGAAAATTTCTTATTTAAATAGTATGTAACTATTCAGGTGTTACATAGCAATGGAAATCGAAACTCTAAATAGATGTATATCAGGTTTATTGTATTGCGGAGGAAAGACCATAGACATCCGAAGAGCGGAATTGCTGTTTGTTCAGTGAACTTAAGCAGTCATTGCTTACCAATAAGAATTACTGTATTTATCTACTCATAACACTGTCATCTAGTAAGTTTTGCATAAGTTTGCTAGTTTATAGTTTAGAATTAAGTCTTTAGCTAAACTTTTATTTCGTACTTTGATATCTATTCGTTTGAAGACTTCTATGTTAGTAATTCTGGCTTTTGTGATTAAAGATTACTGAGGCACAATTCACATCACTTCATACTGAGAAGTACTCAGTCTGAACCACAATCATGCACTATGTATCACTTAGCTTACATAAGGAACTAGTTTTAGTTAACCATAGAAAACAAAGAAGCTGAAGACGATTGATTCTTCTTAGATAACGTTTAGACTTAATTTTATCTAACAGTATTAAAAAGATGGTCTAAAAACTCATGTTGATCAAACAATGAGATGAATAAATTCATATCTGGTAACCTTCGTACAATGTTTTGCGAATTGTGTATTTAAATTAACATTGTCTTAATTTACTCCTTATAGTTGTATTATGTTTCATAGCAAACATTACAGTGGGAGCTGAAGGTTAAGTTCTGAGACATCTATGATTGTGATTTTCAAGCCAAGGTTCTTATTCTCCTGAAATATAAACTAATACTATATTTTACATCTCTTCACACTGTAATGGAACTTTTTGATGCTTGAAAACACTTTCGATAGCATTTTTTGATAAGTTTCTCGTAAAAGTTTGAAGAAAAGTCTTAAAATCCTGTCTCATTATGCATACATCTTCATAAGTGTCGAAATATCAGAAATCTCAAACACAAACTGAATAATAATGTTATCTATAAGTCGAACGGGTATTTGATATCGAAATAGAATAAAGAAATCAATCAAAAACAGTTGAACAGATATCATAAACTTATATAAATTTGGAAAGGCATCAGAATGTTAGAAATCTCACCGTCCACTTTGATCATTCCAAATTTAAAAGAGTGCATCACTTCCTCTGAGGTCCCAGGTATACCTTTTGGAGATATCCAAGATTTCTTACAGTTCATTTTCAAATATATTTTAAACAAAAAAATAAACCTGTTATTTATTACTTCTTTGAATCAATGAATATCGTAATATAAATTACAAATATCTCCATAAATAAAATCGTCTGATTTGAGTTGATCTGTAATACTCTACAAATTTAGTAGTAATGTTTTCCCAAAATTAACTTGAATAGTTTGTCTTTAAACAAAAAAATTATTAAAACACAGTTATATTACTTATTAATATTTAGTAAAATGAATAAAATCTTTGAATTTGATAATAGGATGTAGTTATGTAGCCAGCGCTAGCATCTTCAATTCAAATACTTCAAAGAGTATTCATGAAGATGTCATTGACAGTTGGTCTTGTAGTGCCGTGTTTCGCTAATCGTTCACCTCGGGTAACCGTTATAATACAAACCAGAAGGCAAAGAGAAGCGGCAACTACAGTTTATTAACAAAAGACAGTCCAGAAAGTTATAAGCACATGAACAAATGTCAGCGAGCGAAGCATAAATGACACGCATTGGAGATGGTGGGTGAGCCAACTCGCTTTAATCAAGCGTTAATCAATATTTATAGTCAGATAAGAATAAGTTACAGACATGTTATGAATAAGATAAAAAAGTTACACACACCTACGCTCACATAAAAAATATTCGGGGTTAATAAGTGAATAAGAAACAAGGTGAAAACCTGACTCAAGTTGGATAAGTAAATTGACTTGTCCAGAAGCTAGAATAAGGTATACGTTAATAGGTCCTTATGATTGTTTATGATATGAATTTGAATCTTATGATGCTAACGTAGTAAGCCGCTGAACTACTGAATTAGTAATAAGGTGAAATTTTCATAGGGATTGTTCACTTCGAAATTGGTTAACATCATGTAATTAATTATAACCGGAATCTTAGAAAACCAAATTGCACTGAATAGTTTTTTTTCTAGTTAGTTGCTCAGGTAAAAAGTGGGACCGCGACCCACCTTAGGATCGACCACATAAGCTAAAGTAGGGTACACGGGCTTAACATATCAACCGGCACTACAATTTCATTTCTATTATATTTCTTATTGTTCTATTTTATTTTTATTTTGGCAGTTTATCATTGATGGATTAGGTCGTATATTAGGAATTCGACAAATCATTCCATTAATTGATAAATCAAAACGTTTAAATCCAGAGATTTCTTCTTTGAAAATTTCAATGAATGAAACCAATTCAATACAAACTAATATTACCAATCATTATTCTTATATCAATAATTCAATCAATAATAATGATAATCAAACTATTCATTCTGAACTATTTACTGATTATACTACTGAAATGAATAATAATAAATTAAAACAACATTCATATAATATAAAAGAATTTTTACAAAATATAAATATGAAACAAATCAAATTAGAATATAAAAATTCATTAGGTACTGAATGGCGTATATTGGCATTAATTATTGATCGTTTATTTTTTATTATTTATTTATTTACATTAATTATTATTGCTGGTATTGTTATTTTAAAAACTGATTTACCTGATACAACTTTACAATTAATTAATCGTAATGTAGTTGATTTACAATAATGTACACTCATTACTAATATTACTGTTTTCGGTTAGATAATCATTCCATTTGATCTGCATTATATTCACGTGTATTATGAACAAAATTGTTTTTCCTTCATATTTTTCTTCTCTGAAGAAGTGGCTTATATTGAGTCACGAAACATCAAAAAATCTAATTTTTCTAACCATTGGGTTATTACAACTATATTATTTATTTATTCTTCCTATTATTATTTATTGATGTTTAACTTACTGATCTTTATCACTCGTAATACAGTGTAATCATACATAAACTAATCAAAGATTAATAACATTTTGTAAAGTATTTACTACTGAATGTATACACTTCCTAACAATGATTAAATCTACTAATAGTCTATGATTAAGTTAGTGATAAATGTCTTTGTTCTGAATATATTTACATCCGAATATTTCTGAAGTTACCTAAGTCAACTGTGATCATTGTTAATAATAAACAATTTGTATTACCATATTCACATATAAAATACCTTCTGTACTATATACGTAATAAAATACGTATTAGTTTGTAATGTTGTGTTCTGGAAACATTTACTGTCTGAAATATATCTAATTGTTTTAATGGATAACATCGAAGAATATCCATTTACTTTCTAATTGCATCCTGATGAATTTTTAAATATAAATAAATGGCTTTACGGATTGTAAAGTTGATTCTTTTTTAAATAAATACCTGTTTAAATCCACTTAGTATTGTTTGTTTGAATCTTCCCATTGATGTTTAGAACTGAAACTGGTCAGCCTCTTATTGTCATATGTACATACTGTGCGCATTGCCTCGATATTATCTTAATTAACAAGCATGGTAAGCAGAGATGGATAGTGGCTAGCAGTGGAATCCTATTTGGGAGGGTACTGGGTTCGAGTCCCAGAGTGAACATCAACTCTGAGATGCAGGTACATCCAGCTGACGAGTCCCAAATAGGACGAAACGCGCGTCCTGGATTCCACTGCCAACCACTATCCATCGCTGCTTCAGTCAATTCAATTAGCGTTTTATGAGTCCGAAAGCTATGGTACCTTAATAATAATAACCATGGTTTTGCTGAGCGTATGTCAATATAGGAAGAATGGCTTGTGTGGAAATTATTTGCACTGATTTCAATACATTATTGGACTTTTGTCGATTAGAGAATTTCAAGTATGATTAGAGACTATTCTTATACTTACGCTATTCTTATACCAACAAAAGCATGAAAATGAAAAGTCTATAAAACTCAACTTTAGTTTTTTTAGTTAAGGGATTTACAGATACTACTTCAATTTCAAAATACTTTTCCTCACAAACTGACATACATCAGCAAATTACTGACAATATGGTATGAATGGATCACTGCTATATCCTTTACTAAGATTCCTGTTACAGAATCAAGCCTAAAACCTTTAGCTATCGAAGTGGAAGTATTAACTTGAAACCGCTAAGTAGAAGTTCAGTGTTTCCCATTTCCAACATGGATTAATTGATGATACAGTATTACAGTCACTCATTGCTATCAATGATGAATGTCTCAATTCTAATTTGGCCGATCACTGTTCGTTTCTTAAATAAAATTCAGAAATCCATCTCATAACTAACCATTAGCAAGTGTGACATTACCATTAATTTGTGAAGATTAGTTTAATTTGAAAGTTATTTTCTTTCCGAACTAACTCAGAGACAAAGTATTTAAGCGTTCTTCACATTTTGAAAAAATGCTATGAATCAGAAGCATAGTAAAGAGGTCAAGCTAATACTTGTTTCGAAAGCGTTCATCGGTATTTAAAGTAATTCTGGACGAACTGTTGTGAATATCATTCATGTACATGCTATAACAATCACAAACCCATAATTGATGGTTTAATTTTATTGCTGTAACAGACTAAAATTCAAGGTTACGGCTGATCACAAAATTTAACCTTTTATGAAATTTTTATTTGGATAAGTGGTGAACAATCTATCTAATTCTAGTAAGCTAAAATTCTAACATCAACTAACAGAGGCGAATTTTATGTCGTTATTGGAGGTTAGAATATGAAAATTATCCCTGACTATGGTACATCGATGAATAACTGCTCACAGTAGCACTCGTTTTATTGATAACGTGATACTGTTAACACCAATGGTCGCGTAAGTAATTGTTAGGTTCAGTAATAAAAGGCGTATGTTATTATCTTAGTTAAAACATTTTATCATCGTGTATGTCCTGCTAAATTGACATAGTACCAAGGCTCGTGTGTCTTTGAAAAAACGTTTATGTACCTATGTTTAATGCCTTAATGTAATCAGATGATCAACAAACAAGTTATAAATGCATTGTCTAGTGATCACAAATTTAATAGGACTGGAAAAAGAGGAGTTTTATCGATTGTTTTGTAACCTTCATCCTCAACCTATATTATTCATATTTTATCTATCAAACAATCTCAACATATCATTTTACGTATAATCCATACTGATCATTTCAATGGTGACTTGAGTAGTAGTCAGTAGTTCTGAAATTTGTTCATTTGGGAATTGTGGCTAGTTTTCGTTGTCGAATCAGTACTTCAGTCGCTTCAATGTTGCTATCGATTCGAGGTCCCGCCACAAAATCATCAGTGTAAATAATCAGCTGAAATATACACTGTGTTCCCAACATAGTTTTCCCATAGGGTCTTATAAATTACATCACACTTTTAAAAAATTCAGTTATTTTACACATTGTGAACAAAACTTGTCAGTTTAGTTTTCGAACGACAGTATTATACGATTATTTAGAAATCCTATCGCGTCAAAACAAAAAGGGCCACCGGGTTTGTGATAAAAATAATTGGTCGATGTAGGAAAAATCTGATAAAGCGAAAGAACCCCTACACTTTATTCTCTTTCTATTGTTTTTCTAGAAAATGAAAGCAGTGAGTTTAAAGGTGGATGTGAGAAAAAGTATTCTTTTGACGATTTTAAAATTTAGTTGTTGACAGAGCTAAAACAATTAACGAATCATATTCATTTCAAGAACTGATTTCTAATAATCAGAGCAAACTACCGAATTCAGACTCGAATTCTTCATTATATCTCTGGATTTTTTTAAGAGACCGGACTTTGTGTTGCAACCAGTTACAAACAAAAGTCTCATCTAATCATGTTTCCAATTATTCTACATAGTTTAAGTCAATAATACAGGGGAAGACTATCCAGCGTGTTGCCTATTTTACTGTAGCCTGTACAAAAATCAACGAACACTGAGTCATAGAAAACGAGTGATTTATAATACAGTATGTTTCCAACTAGTATTTCGGAAATGACAGTTTTTTTCTGTAGAGATTGTCTCACTTCATTATTCTACATACTTCCATCTAACTTCATTCAGCATAGCAAAAGAGTCAAGGAATAATTGATTTTTTCTCCTTATCCCAAGAAATTTTCTCTCTTACTAATTTGTAAAAGGGGATGAAAAGAAAACAAAAATGCCAAACAAAATAAAGCTAATGAAAATTAGGTCAATTCTCATATAAATCTGATCGAAATTTCCCACTGTTCTTTTTTCCTCTTCATCTCTTTGAATTTGTAATTTTATTCTGTTTTAATCAACCATCTTTAGGTTATGTTATTTCCTTCAACTTTTCAGATAACTTATTATTTAGAAAGTGAGAGAGAAGGACCAGAGTTTCCTTTTATGTGGTTATATGTATGTAAATGGACGTTCATATGCATTTGAAAAATATTTCCCGCTGGTTTAAGACAAATTGAATCAAAGTATTTTAATTGAGGCTTTCTATTATGAAAAATTTCAAACCAATCAATGAGGAAAATAAACTGGAATTCAGTATGTATTTCATTAAAATCATGAAGCACGTTTTCAAGAAGCACTGGACAGCCATTTTATCCTAGCATGGGAATTCCCTTCATTGCGCATGCACGATCTCACACGCGTAATCCGAACATAGGACTTCGGCCACAGGTGTGAGTATTCAACCTTTAGACCACTGAGTCGGCTTTCATTAGTGTTAATCTTTGACTCCAATCAATCTAAGACATTGCACAACCATCTTCTATTGTCTTTAGTGTGTTACTACCTCACATCCGACACGGATTAGCTCCATTGTTCACATCTTCTCACTAGAACTCTGATAATTAGCTCTCAAAGCTGGTCACTTATGAGCATATTGCTGGTATGTATACTGATAAATTAAACACTATTCATGGATATGTATGAGTTTTGAGTTATTATTGTATTATAAAATAACAGATATTTTTCATATATTTATTAACTCATTCACTAGACATAGATTTGTGTGCTTGGCTTCAAGTCATAATGTAAGTGTGAGATCCTAATCCTACTATTCAGCTTGTTCATATAAAAGTAAGTGTACCGGGGTCCAAACCTTTGACTTAGTGAGTGAAGTTAAAAGCCTTCACACTAAACCACTTTTCCATATTCAAAATAATAAGTAATCTAAATCTATATTTATTCCCCTCAATAATCATAAAATTTTCAATAGGCAATCAAAATAACGGCAGAATTAGAGGAATAATGAAGTAGGTAAAGAACAATGCAAAGAAGATGTGCAAATGATGTATTCAATGTTTGATTTTCATATTTTGCTAAGCAACCATGTGATATTACATAAAACAATAAATTGATCTTCCCCTACTGAGTTTTCGTTCACTACAAGTATAGTTTAATTATACACTAACTATTTTTCACACAACCATGGATTCCTGTTGTAGTCAGTAAATTACTTGTCAGAAATCGCAATAGCTGAAGACTGTTAACTTATACTTTTAATCATATTTTTTAAATTTAATGTATCTTTTGGGGATACCTCATCATTTCCTTGAATTTTCATTACTTATTTTATTGCTGAAACGTTTTTCATCATGCCAAAACTACTTAATAATAAAAGTTAATTAAGTAGAATCTAATAACTGCGAATGATGTAATTTCCTTGCAATATAGAGACTGTAAAACGTTTAGATAACGTTGGCAAACGCACCAGTGAATAGATATTCTATGTGAGCTGATAATTGAACATTCTGTAAATGTACGTCCAAATTAACATGGAAATAAATAGATTTTAAAATACGTGATCGGTCTCATTATTTTCTGTTCAGCAACAGATGTGATCGTATGAATGTAAGACAGATAAATAAAGATATCGATTGAAGGGCGTGGTGTACGCTACTTATGCGGACAGATATAAATAGTATGTAGCAGGAATTGGGAGTTGACTGTTTGCCGACAGAAGATCGAAATAAAGAGAAGAAGGAAAGCAGAGAATAATCAAACTAACAACAAGATTGGAAGAATTATGAGGTGCGTAAAGGAAAATTGAGGAAAGATATGCAGATTATGTATTTAGTGTATGATTTCATATTTTAGAAAGGCGCTTTGTGACTCTGTTCATTATGCAGAGATTGTACACAAAAAATTGGACTGTCCGATTTCTACTGAAAGTGCACTAAACAAGATTTGACTAAATTTGGATGTCGATGCAAAATTCTCCATCTACTTGAATCTTACCCTGGGTAGATTAGACACTTTTAACAAATTCATTGAATCCCTTCTAAGTTATACCCGGAGTTTCACAAAGTTATCTAAGAAATTCTTTGTATTCAAATAAGTCGTCTGTTAATCCTAATGAATAACTTGATTCAGTGTAAAGTTTGGGTATGAGAAAATTTACCGATTTTAAACAGGATTTAACCGGACCATGAAGCTTGATTCTATGATGAATTGATTGATTAATATCCTGTAGGTAATTGGTAAAGTGATCTTGGTAGTGAGCGTGACTACAATGTGAGCGACAAAGGAAAACAACATTAAATTTAGAAAATCTAAATGTTAAGACAGTATATAAGGCATTACCGACTAAATAAAAGTAATCTTAACCAATGAACAGTATTATGGCATGAAATCTGTTTAGGAATGCTAAAGAATTTTCATCGGACATACCGGAAACCTGGTGATGTTTTTCAATTCTTAAAACCTACAGAACTAGATTAAGTTCAACTTTGTTTAAATTTTCTCAATAAAATTCCAATGTTCTTCTTTCAAAAAGCTTCTTTAAATTCAGTTATTACTTCTTTCAATATATTACTCGGTTTTGAATGAACCTCGTATAATTTTGTAATGGAATTCTGTTAATCCTCACTTCAAAGTACTCTACATATATATTAAATTCCTACTTAGATTTCACCATTAAACAAAAAATCACACTACATTGAAATGCAAAGTAAACATCTGTTCAACTTCTTTTATTGTCATTAATTAAAAGTTGGCTTTTATGCAGTATTCTACCTGGATGAGGTAAATACACTTTGTTTCGTCCGATATTTTATTTTCTATAAATATTAAAAACACAGCTCTGTTATATCCACTGTCATTTGTTTGTTACCTTGTGTAGAATACAATTGCTCTGTATTTCAAATGCTATCAACTAAACAATAATAAAATTTGAACTGACCCCTTCAATTTCCTTTACAATTGAAGTTACTTACTTTGTGACTGCTTGAGGTTTCTCCTGACTATATGAATGTGATATATGACCAAGTTGGTGTGTTGTTATACCACTGAAATGTTATAAGTTATGTATGAGAAATAGATCGAAAAATTGTCAAATACTTTTCATAATTTTAGCAAAAAATTGTTTCGTTGAATACCCAGAATAATTGAGTTTTATTATTTTAGGAAAAGAAATCAGAAAGCCACACAACAAAGCGTCAATTTTAATGTGGGTTTGTTACATTCATTCTTCTGTAGTTAAAAGTATGATATGAACCACTTTATAAGTCAACCTGAGGTCCATCGGGAGAATTTCTCAATCTTACTGCAATTCTGATATATAAAGTGAAATGCCCCTGAAGTTACGATATTAAGTTACTTAGTACTCTTACCGTGTTTGTAATAATTGATGTGAGAGGAGCTTCCACAAAACATTGGTTAGCTCGTAGGCACAATGCTTTGATTTATAATCCAATACACTAACCTATGAAGGGTTAATGAATAACATTTTAATGTCTGGTTAATGAAGTAAACCGATTTCGCTACGTTTAACTCAATCTTGAAGAAACATTGAAGTTCTGAAATTTCTACTTGTTCATTAATTTACTGTTAATTGATTTCTTACGCTAAATTTTTTGAGCAGCCTAAATAAGTTTACTCATCAAACTCAATTACTTTTGCTCAGATACACTTGAGTAATATGTTAAGATAATGAGTGAACTGATAAAGTTGTTACGTGGAAGACAGTGTAGAGTAGGATTGTTTTTGTGATCAAATATTCACTCGCACCCATTCACTGAGCAACTGCATTTCATGCTCACATGATGATCTCAGAGGATGAAAGGAACTTGCATATTTTACACATTGATAAACATAAATTCATTGTGTGTATCCCAACTGAATCTGTAACCCTTATTTAAAAGTGATTTTCATGATTTCAACTATATATAAAAGCAATTATGTTGGATAGTTAGACATACTTAGTTGACCAATCACAAATTGGTCTGTTTGGTCGATTCAACATTTATCTAGTATAGATAACATATTAAACAGAGGGAATAAGCAGATTGGTTGAGACAGATTGGTAATGAAGATGAAAGTAAGCTAGTTGAATTTCAACATTCGGATATGTTGGATAAAATGGAGATTTAGTAAAGCAGAACTTAACCTTTTGAAGAAATGGATTTAAAATACTGTTTTATATTACTTTTTGGTATCATAAATGAAGTACTACAAGTATCAGGAATTGCACCTAAAGGTCATCCTAGAGGTAAGTGATCAAACAAATTTATAATTGTGCTGCGTCGATCAAACATGCAACATTTAACAGCTTTTTTTCTATTAAGTGGAGATATCAATACAGTTTTTTTATCTGTGAAGCTCGTAATGTTAAAACGTTAATCGACATAACTCATAGACTTCCGAAAAAATTTCTGGTTATGGTTGTTTTCTAGAATAAAATTGTTACCTTAGAAATAAACTGTATAGTACTTTGGTGGGTTAATATGCTTGGATACATTACTTTTTGAAAGTGGATGTTTAGCATAATCAGAGGAAATGAATTGATCAGTAGTAAAAAATATGGAGAGAAACGTCAAAAAACAGCTTTATCATACTAAATACAGAACTGGGAAATCGGATGAAGAGAATTCAGCGATGACAACTTTATTTCTGACGATATACTTTATTAATGCTGTACAGCTGTTTTAACATTTGTTTAGTATATATAGTAGTCTGTTGAAAAAAGAGAAGCCATCTTCATAAAGTGTTTGAAAATTTTATTTACCACAAGAGGTTTTGTAATACACTAAAGATCCAAGAAAAGTGGTAAAATATGTTGATTCAGGGATCAGTGTTATAAAAAATAACTATCCATTTGAGAAATTCGACGGAAATAAGTGATATTGGAAAGCGAGGGTTGATTATAACGACTGACGGATAGGTTTGGAAAATTTAAAGAGGGCGGTAAAAACTGGTTAAGCTGAAGTAAACTATGTAGACGACTTTGATACTACCAATCAGATTAAAAGTGGCGCTTGTTAGCTTCTGACATATAGTTCTAAACACAAAACCAGATAGTTGTAACTTGTCAAGAGCGAAAATTCGGAAAAAATTATGGATAATTCTCCACTTATAAGCTGAAAACTGACAATCGTGATGAGACTAAAAACTAGGAAGACATTTGAATAACTCTTGATATGAAAGTAGGAAATGGTTATTTTCAGGAAGAAACAGTAAGATATTAATGGATCTAATATTAATAACGTGCTAACGGGACTTTTAAATTCTTTAGTGTTACCTGAAAGCCCCTAATGGAATAACTAAATAGATTTAAGTTAGTGTCTTTAGGATATTTGGGCGTAGTTCATTCACTTATATAAGTAGATAGCAAGAATGTTTTGTATCCAAGCCTTGTAACCCTAATGCTTCCATTAAAGTTGATATCACTTCACTACGAATACCCTAATCCTAATTCCTATTTCTTAAAACTAATATCAACTCCAAAACCCAACTCTAAACCCTAAAACGTAGTCCCAACTTCTAACCCTAATTGTTATCTGGAGCTTTTAAGCCTGACGAATTTTCTTCTTACGTAAGAAATAATACATAAAACAGTTCATCGTTTATGTCAAAACTCCTTATCCTTTGCAATTTTTTCAATTTCTTATTACAAATCGTTTAATAAACGCACAAACTCTTCTGATCGGTTAAGACGTCACCTAAGGTTATTCGAAAATTCCAAGGTCGTTAATATGGTTTATTTCTGCCCTGATAATTATAAAAATTTAAAAGAATGTAAGGACTATGGTTGAATGAGAGCGTTGCTTTTTCAGGAAGTGTTCGATCTGAAACTGTTGAATCACTAAGATCTCTAGTATACTCAGGATATTGATTCGAACTCTTTTTGAGCCATGCAAGATCGTTTGGAAAGATAATTTCGGTGTAACAAAGTGATCGGAATCGACGAGATGATTTAGAATTATGTTGTTGATTGTTTTCCATCTTCCATTTGAAAACTAGAGAGGATGATTCACGATGTGCGCTTTGTGAGCTCTATATAACCTGCTCCTCATGAGCAAATAAGCTTACAGATGGACCTTAAAGAAGACCAATACAATCTTGATCTGTCAGTTAGCTGAAGTACCATCATCTCGTAAAAAAACGTATCATCAATTGTAATGCTGTTCACTAATTACTAAATGAATCTTTGAGTTGATAAAATCTTGGAGATAAACCAGTTTAGAGAGCGAAAAAGTTATGTTTTCTCAAATTCGAATAAGTTTCTTAGTGTCAACAAGTATGACGTTTATTTTAGCTCTTATTAGTAACAACTTGTACACGCCCCGTATCCTTCAGGATGTTTTCATTTGCAAACCTTCTTGATGGTTCATTTTGTAACTTAAATGGTCAGACTCCTTACCCTGATTATTACCAATCTCAAATATGCCAGGCAAAAGCACTTCTAGAAATATACTACAAATTGACTTGTATACTTGGTTGGGAATATTTATTAACCGAATCAACATGGTAATCTTTTCATCTGGAAACGATAAATTTATTCACATCATTTGACTTCTGGTTAGCTATTTGAGGCGATTATTGATCAGTGAAATCAAGGCAATTATTTGTAAGATTCAAAACTTCAAATGGAAAGCGTGGATATAAATAAAATTGAGTGAAATTACATAAATCTAAGTTTATAAATGAGAGAAGCATTTAGTTCGCTGTTCATAGAACCTATCAAACAAAGTAGGGTGTTAAGGTGTAAATTATAACATATTTCGTCCTTTATACTTCTTCAATTAATTTGTTTTTAAAATCACATTACTGAATCACTTTCGGGTCCACTTCGATTCCATGTAAAATATCCGCCGCATACGTTTTAAAAACTTTTACAATTGTCAACTACATCTCGTCTTCTTTGTCCAGACTAATCATGAAATTTGTGTTTACATCACTTTTCTCCAGAAATTAAATTCATGATCCTCATCAGTAAGGTCTATTTTCTTTTCGTTTTGATAGTAATAAACCAAGGATAGATACCGTACAATACAGGATATTGAAACACTACTGTTGTTCGCTCTTTGTTCTGATATCGACATTTGTTCAGCTTGGCTTATTGATCTGAGGAGTTAATCTCAGTCATCATTTAATATTATAAACAGAGGAAATTTTTGGCCATTTTAGAAACTGACTGAACTAATGATAGAAAAAAGCAATATTTTCAGGATAGGATTTTAACTAAAAATACTAAAGCTTTCTAATAAAACTTTGATGCTTGCATTCTTGCTTATATGATCAAGTGTGAAACTACATCATCTCAGAATTGTTTAGTACATCCCTAAACCTATTTGAAAGCTTTCTAACCGAGGAATAATTTGACAGGCAACCTTTTGAACTAGTTATATAAAATACCCTTGTGGGCCAGGGTAATTTTGCAATGGTTTTCAGGAGAACCAGACACCATCCAGACTTTCACGTGACAACCCAAACAGTACAGCTCGATCGCGTTTCGAAGGAGAGCCAGATACCGCTCAGGCTTAACCTCTAGAACTAGCTGAGTACATCAGGTAATTGCATTATCCTAGCGCTTATCAACAACTCAGCTTTTTAACTTTCAAGCTATCAATACATGTTTACTTACGTTTCCAGTTAACTTCATTTTGTATTTCTCAATATTTTGGAAACTTTTTCACTTAATTTATTTACCAGAGATGAAAACAAAATCAGTGGAAAAAAATCTTATCAGAATGTTATTAAATCGATATGAACAGTTTGGTGTAATTGGACGACCAGTAAATGATAGTAAAATTAAAGTTGATGTTCGTTATGGATTACAACTTTTTCAAATCTTGGATTTAGATGAAAATAAACAAATTTTACGAACTAATTGTTGGTCAATGTATGTAAGTTAAATGTGAAATAATTACCAGATTTAAAACAATGTCTTAATGAGCAATTGATTCTGAGGTATATAAATAGTTTTTGTGGAGTTCTGTAGTTCAAAATAAAGTAAAATATTATGACAATAACTTGGTAACTTCAGCAAGCATAGTAGTCTGAAAAAATCGAAAGGTGTGATGGGTTAACAAACCGTTTTTCCCAACAAATGTAGCATAAACATACTATGGAGGGGATGTAGCTAGTACTTGATTGGTGTTTTAAGGTCTGTCCTCAGTTTGATTAGTCCGCCAGAAAACAAGAAACCAACACAAAGCTTTGAATTCTTCATTATATAAAGTTTATTATTTTGACGGAAAATGTTTTACTGATAGAGAATAAATAAAGACTTAAAATTTTTGATAAATGAAAAAGGTCATGTAACACTCACAACATATGTATCCTATCGATATTTACCAAAATATGTTCAGCTTATCTGTAGTGAGTGGTCAAATGTATTAATAAATTAACAGCCAATTGGGCTTTGTTCTAGAATTACTAACTGAGCGATGGGATAAAGATCCCTGTTTAAATTGTGTGAAGCGTTTTTATACTACTTATAGTAGTAAACGTTTGAAACAGAAATATTTCTCTCACGAATGTAGATAAACGGTGTTGGAAACGTTGTCCATGGGTGTTCACCGATAATGAACTGAGAAAATTCATACATAATAGATCTAAACTAAATTACGTTTTCTATAAGTTTCTATACAAAACAACCAGGTATAATCTAATTAGTGACATAAATTTTACCCTAAATCTGAATCCTTTAGGTCTTTATTAAATACGTGATCAATCTTCCACGTTTCATTACTGTTTTACTGAAGTCATATTTATAAATTCCCAGAAATACAAGCAAATATTTTGTAGCTGAATCATGTGTTCTATCTTTATTTATACTGTTTAATCTTTCTGTTTGAAATGGATATCAGTTACTGTGCGCTCAGTTTATAATAAACGAAGGCGAGGTCGTCATGCTAGTGATTATCATAAAAGTAGAAAATATTGTCACCAGAGTTGCACAGTGCATATGCATAGTCCTTGAAGAATGGAATTCAATCTATATTAAGTGTTTGAAGAGTTCATTAATATGTACTCAGTTATCTGAAAGTAATGCTTGAATGTCGTAGTTTCTAAAGAAAATATATCAGTTAACAAGCTAAACTAGGATCTCAACTCCACAAAATTCTCATGAAGTCTTAAAAATCCACCTTTATGAGCTAAAATATGGAGATGTTTTCTTGAGCAGATTCGTTTTGTTATTGCAAAGAAATGAACGTATCTCTGTTCCTCAAGTTACTTAGATAGGAAATAAAATTTCCCTTGTAGTTCCATTTCCTAAGGTTATAGTATAGAGCGTCATGTGTTCTTCGAAAAACTCCAGATTATTGCGATTAACATAGCTTTTATGAATATCACACAAGTCAAATAGTGAGTGATAACCCGTTCTAGGACGATATTATTGTTGTCACTTGTGTAGTTTCAAATATACTTATACTCCTGGAAAGTTGACTGCTAGTGAGGGATGGTAGATCACAATAGAAGCACAAAACTCAATCTATTAACTTTTATTTACATTCATTTATAAGGATTATAAGTTTTTGTTTATTCAACTTGATAATAATTTACTTTTACGATTAGACTACTTATTAGTAGTACGCAAATGACTACAATAATGTTTTTAGAAATGGACAGATTCTCTTCTTCGTTGGAATGAAAGTGATTATGGAGATATTAAAACAGTTCGAATATTCCCTTCACAGATTTGGACGCCGGACATCAAACTGTATAATTTGTAAGAATATTTACCGGTTTTATTTTTATTAAAATAGTTGGTAAAGAGAAGACATTAAATATAAAATCACTTGGTTAAATTTAATTAGTTGTTATTACCATGTATATTCTTAGAACAACTCATGACGCTTATTTTACATTATCATAAGATGAGTAACCTTGTCTAGTCTTTGAACATGCCACTCTCTAGGGAAGTCATTTTACATAGAAATTCTTGCTGACATACATTCTAAATGTCCAGCATATTTGTAGTAATCATATGATCTTAGGGAAAAACAGTCTATAAAAATTCATTTCTAAATTAAAATAAATTTATAGCAAAAATGGATAGTGGCTAGTAGTGGAATACGCACAGTATGCACATATGCTAACAAGAGACTGACCAGTTGCAGTCCTAAAACATCAATGGGAAGATTTGAACAAACAATACTAAGTATAATAAATTTAGTTTAAATATGATTTTCTAAAGTTATTTATTGACTATGTTTTCTCTGATACTTTAATTTAAAGTTTCATTTGATGACTTCAAAATGCTATGATGAAGTCTCATATGCATAACTATTGTTCATTGATTGAATGAGTGACTGTATGTTCTGAAACTGTATTTGATAGTCGTTATTCAATGTTTTGTTTAGTACCATTGAACGAATTAGTCTATTACCCTTCTTCTATTAAAACTGCTGGTGTAACCAAATGTTAAATCTAATGATATATTCATGATAGCCCAATTAGTAGAAATTAGAATTTCTCACGTTTCATGACTCTGTGTAGTCCACTTCTTCGAAATAAATTGATAACCAAACAAAATTAACACAGGTTTAAATAATATCAAAGAATAAACAAGAAAGGTACTGGGTTCGAGTCCTAGAGTGAACATCAACTCTGAGATGCAGGTACATCCAGCTGAGGAGTTCCATCTTTGCTTACCATACTTGTGAATTTAGGCTATATCGAGGCAATACGCACAGTATGCACATATGCTAATTAGAGACTGACCAGTTGCAGTCTTAAAACATCAATGGTAAGTTTGAAACAAACAATGCTAAGTGGAAATAAAGTAGAATATTTGGTTGAAACATTCATTTCCGAAGTTTATATGCTTTAAATGTATTTGACAAAGCTTTTGTTGACTTTCAACAGTCTACTTATAACATAAATTCTCATTAAATGATCAGGTAATTAGGAAATTGTTTTTTTCTTTTTTGCTATTGAAGCAATAGATCAAGTTTTAATTTCTTATTATATTTTGAACTCTGTCAAATAATTCTTTAGACAATCTATGAGATGAAGCCAATCAACTAGGTTTAAATAGTATGCGTATTCAACTAACGAATTTTAACCTGATTATATTATCATGTCAACAGCTCTGATAATTAAATTCACTTAGTATTGTTTATTTCAATCTTCCAATTGATGTTTAGGACTGCAACTCGTCAGTCCCTAATTGGCATATGTGCATACTGTGCGTATCGCCTCGATATAGCCTTATTTCACAAGCATGGTAAGCAAAGATGGATAGTGGCTGACAGTGAAATCCAGGACGCGCGTGGCTTTTGAAGCGAAAGGTACTAGGTTCGAGTCCCAGAGTGGACATCAATTCTAAGATGCAGGTACATCCAGCTGAGGAGTCCTAAATAGGATTCCACTGCTAGCCGCTATCCATCTTTGCTTACAAAGCTCTGATAATTATTTGATTATTAATCTTAGTTTACTTATAGTTAATAGCATATTTTAAAATACTTTATATTCTAGTGCTGATGAACGCTTACGTGAACACAGAGATGCTCGTGTTGTAGTGTCAAGTAATGGAGAAATGTTATGGGTTCCACAAGCACTGTTTAAAAGTACATGCGAAGTTGAAATCACATACTTCCCATTTGATACACAAGTAATTTTAAACTTATATTACTAATACTTTTATTGTAAATTCGAATAATTGCTTATGAAGTTTTGATAATTAGTAATTAAAAGTAATCAGTTTTACGACAACAACCAACTGGTAGAAGTCCATGTATGCAGATTACTAATTTTAAACGTAGTGACTCAACGACAACTTATTCTTAATTAAAGCTAAAAGTGTTGTTTTCCCGTCTTTATATGGATGGAAGTTATTCATTATTGTGGAGTAGCATACTCAGACAGAACATTTATTAATAATGTAGTTATATTTCAAAAACTACTTTCAAACTAAGTAGCTCTTTAAGGTATTAAATAGAATAATATGATTTAGTGTATGGAGTATTCTTTACAGTTTTCTTACAGTCACTGAGGTGTTTCAAAACCAGTAGTTTCAAGACGATCTAATCATATTTCAGTTAATCAATACAATTTCCTGTTCGTTTTTTTGCACCGAATGATTCACTGTTTATGTTTAATTGTTTTTCAATGTTTTTATTTGGTGAACTTGGCATTTCTTATAAATAGTTGTGGACTTGATAAGTTCTGCTTTATCTAGAAAATTTATCTTCAATTTGGTCACTGTATTATAGATAGCAAACATTTTTGAATGTCACTGGTAATAAAAAATAGTTTTTGAACTAAGTAATATCATTCCTCTTAAGCTGAAATATTTTTTTCATAACAATTTGGACAAGGAAATCTTCTGTTCATATCATTGACCCCAAATGACTATTCAGATGGCACAGGCATTTTTACACTGATTTCGGGTAATCAGAAAGCAGGTAGTACTTTCCTACCACCTTGAAGTTGAAGAACATCTTTTGTTGTAAGACATTTAAGTGCTGCGAATCTTGTTCTTTCCTGCATTGTACATTTTTCAAAAATACCGTTTCTTCTGCTTGAAAAAATCTCCTTATTCTATCAGCAATAGTGGTCACTATTAAAATTTAGGTGTACATTTATTTAACATAGTAAAAGCTCTACACTTTAGTTGGATCTGTCATGCCTTTTGAAGCCAGTGCAGTGGTGACTGGCGTCCATATAATTCAGTGAGACACAACTAACATGATTTGTCTAGATTTAAATTTAGACTGAATCTAAGAAGTTGTTTTTGACAGATTGTTGTTGACAACGTATATTACAATGATATGTCACTTCACCTCGCGTATGTCTTTGCCAACATTTCATGTCCACAATTACTGACTATGTGTAAGGACGGCTCGTTGGTAAACTCTAGGAAGCCTCAAGAAGCCCAGAAGGAGCCGCAGACATTCCATCCAATCACTGCTAGGGGAATATTCTAGAATGTCGACGTGTAGCTTCCCCATTAGATGGATAAGGATGACCCCTATGTGCCTATTGGTTGACCGAAATGATGATTTACATTCAGCCAATAACTATAAATACATGAGATTTCTGTACTATATTTTGACACTGTTTTGTGGAATAAAAGTTCCTACTTACTAGTCTTTTGTCTTCTCTTGTGACGTTGCGGGTTCTATCGTTCAAGTATTCTAGTAGTACGCGGCATAGTAAAAAGCAAAGCTCTAAGTATAACACTATGGTTTTCTTAACAGTTCGATGTGCTGAAGATAATTTATGTTCGGTTCACCGGAATTAATCATACAACTGATAGTGAACGTTCTTTTTCGATCTATGTACAGTTGTTTTGATGTCATAATTTAGATTGTGATTAGTTAATCATCATAATTAAAAGTGATATGATGAAATAAAAAGGAGAAATCACATTTTTAACTTATTATGATTCTTGTTCAACATTACTTACGTTTTTATTTGAATACGATGATTATTCAGTGCGATGTTTGCTTTATCTTCAGTGTGACACTTTAGTCAGTATAATATTGATTTACTTCAATGTGTTATTTATTCAAGATGTTGTATACTTTGTATCTAATCAATGTGAATTATCTTCAACATGATATGTAGTGAGTGATATGTTATAATTCCGAGCACTCTTCATAGATGTGACGTTTTACTAATTAATAATTAAATGAGTATACAAATCAATATATAAATGAGTATATTTTTGATGAGAGTCATCATCATGTTTCGGTGGTGATTAAATCTACACTTCTATTAGTCTTTCATATTGTTACTTTACATCATGGGAATTGAAGTGGTTTCTTGTTTTTAAAATATAAGTAATAAGCAACGTGAATATAACCAAAATCAATTGTGTTTTCTTAGCAATTAAAATGTGATTAGTTTTTTTCTTACTTATTAAGAAGTTACCAAATTTTATGAGAGTGTTGTTACAATGAATTTACCCACATATAATAATATTCTGTAATTGATTTTTATACTTAACTCAAGATAATTGACATTAGGTATCTCAAGCTACGCTGACAATCATTAATAACTGACACTGACCATTGATTTCTATTTCCAATCGATTATTAATGAAGTAAAGGAAATGATACAAATATATAGTTATATTTAGGTTATATTAGCGATAATTAAAACATTGATGTCATTTCCAGTCTACCATTAATTTCATACCATTTGGTTGTCTATGGTTTTTATGTTTGGTTGATAATTAAAGAACATGTTTTCTTTTTTAGTGCTTCAATAGTTATTTTTGAAAGCACTATTACTAAGTTAGATAATCTATCTATAGAATATGTGCAGTAAATAGGTTATCTAGTACAGTGATATGACATTTATAATCACATATTGAAAGCATTATTTCAAGTAACAAATCATCTCCGCTTCTGTAGGATTCCCTATCCTTTTATGAAACCACTAGAAATAGCATTTATTTAATAGTTTAAATGAGATTCTCATCGACAGCAGTTTCTGTGAAATCATATGACGAATACAGTATTAAACAGTATATTTTGTTTACAGTGTGAAAGTTTGATGAGGATAGATCTTACTTTAAGCAAAGTGGTATCGAGTTTATGTTTTGTTAGATGTCACATTGAGCAAGATATAAATAGTTAACTGAATTAAACAATACGGTCATAGAAAAATCCTAATTGAATGGAATCGACGAGTTACGGTCTAACGCCAGACTTGATTGATGTTATATGTTACAGTTTTTTACTAAAACTCAAGGAATAAACTGTAATGTCTTTATATTGTGATTTTCGTATTTGTTATTTTAAAACAAAACTCAAGTGTAATATTTTTTAAATCACATTTCAGGATTACTTAAAATGAAAGAAGTTAATATTAAATTGTCTCATTAGTCTAATACATGTGAACTATTTTATAGATATGTATGCTAGAATTCGGATCTTGGACGTACGATAAGACACAAATGGACATATTATGGTGGATTCCAGATTCACCTCCCATAGAAGAAATGCCATACTTAGATTTCTCAGATTACGTACCAAGTAATGAATGGCGTACGGATGGCGAGAAAGAACGTGAAGTACACCATGTCAACCGTACTATACAAATTCGATCAGTTAAGAAACATCGACGTCGAAGTCAAACTGTTGGTAACGAAGTCATCACAAGAGAATATCCAGTTTTACGATACTTGATACGTTTGAGAAGGAACCCTAGTTTTTATGTATTTATGTTAGTGATTCCATGTGTATTGTTATCATCTTTAACATTGGTTGTATTTTGGTTACCTCCAGAATCTCCAGCAAAAATGATGCTTGGTAAGAATAACAACATATGTATCGTTTTGCTGATATTTTGATTTCATTGTGACTTACTTTTGTTATCTATTTTAATTAACCTGAATACTAAATGTTTCTTTTAGGTAGTTTAGAATTTACAGCAAAATTATATAAGAAAAAGTAGAACAATATCTTAATAAAGAATTCCAATAAAATATTCAGTTTTCTTTCGAAAATTTAGCTTGAAATGGCATTACAAAGATGCTTTGCTTTAGGATTTAGAAAATGAATGTATTGTCGCCATAAATTTTCATATGAACAAATGAATTAGTTTCTGTCATTCCTTTGACATGAATGTAACTCTCATTTTTTCTCGACTAAATGTATGAGGTATTTCAAAATACCAGATTCCTTTATTCGTTAGTTCAGTATTCCCAATCTGTATATCTTAACAAAGGTTTATTTTCTATTTTCACTGATGAAATGAGCGTTAGTTCTTACAATTTAATCACTGAAACATTCTGTATTTAGCCTTAAAAATATTTTATTAAGATATCATCCTGATATTAATAAATCATATAGCGTAGTAATAGTTACAAACATATGTATCTTTCATGATATTTTTTTCTCCATCAGTCAGTCAGTCAGCTACAACGTAGAACCAGGCACATATATACATCGGTCCACGTAGCCATACCTCATTAGCACAACAAGATGAACACCGAATTCATAGAAGTAGTTAATTTAGTGGTGATAATATATAAAAGAAAGGTTGTATATAAGGATATAGTATAGGAAGGAAGACAGATATGAAGCAATTTTAATCTCAAGGTTTGAGGGAAGATAAGTAGTGTATACACCTACGCCATTGTAATCGATTCTGAGCCATGTCATTCAGTGTCTCCAAACATAGGTTACGATAGTCACGCGGACCCCAACCAAGTAAATTTATTGAATCTATTTCATTATGTAATTTGGTAAATATTTCGATTTTTTTAAATTCAAATCAGGTATGAATATATTTGTTGCATTCTTCGTTTTACTCTTACTATTGGCTGAGTCGACACCTAGTGCTGTGAAAAATTTCCCACTGATTGGTAAGTTTATTCACTTATTTACTTTGCTTTCTTTTTCCAATATAATTACTTAATACAAAATGTTATTACTTAAAAAAAATCTATCACTTATTCGAGTTTACTGGATATTTACATAACAAGTAGTAAGTGAATATATGAATGATTATATCATATTGAATGAAATATTTCTTTGTTACTTTTGTACGTGATATGAATTAATACAGCATTGTATGCCGATGAATTACATTCAAGTGATATGACTAGTAATACTAATGATCATCCAACAACACGAGAATTTTTCATAGTTGAAAGCGTGAGTGGATTGAAGCTAGACAACCAAGGAAACCCTGAAAGCACTGGACGAACGTTTCGTCCTACAGTGGAATTCCTCGGCTTCAATCGACTCACGCTTTCAACTATGAAAATACTAAATCTCCATAAACCCCTTCTGACAAGAATTTTTATTGCATGTATATTAGTAGTAAATCGTAACACAATACATACTGCACAAATATCCTAATGCTTCATGTCAATAAGCGTTTCTGCTAAGAAGCTATCTATTACCATTTTAACAGGATCATTTACTTTCCGAAATGTTATAAATACAGTTGCTTTCCACTAAATAATAATAAATTTTATATTGATTAAAGTTTACTGTAAATAACAAGGACAGTCTTTTTATTATTATTTCTTCAATTTCAGGAGTATATTTTTGTTTGAATATGATTATGATCACACTGTCCACTTTCTTGGCAACTTTGGTAATTCACCTTTATTTCCGAGGTGATCGTAATGGTTCGGTTCCATATGTTTTGAGAAGAGTAAGTGTTTTTATGAATAACTTAGTAAAATTAAATAAAAATACGATGTATAAGTATCAACGCCAATGTTGGACTAGACAGTTTCAAATAAATTGAACATTGAGTAGAAAGTTAATAATAAATGTATTTCTTTTATGTCCCAATGAGTAAAAAAATTGTATTTCAGACGTTTTGCGACTTGATGTAAACCACTTCTTCAGAGTGAATAAATAACCGAATTAAATTAACACTATTTGTGTATATTTAAAACAAGTTTGATTCCCGCATGTAGGATCGTGGATGCTCAGTTCTGAGAAGTCTCTCACTAGAACGAGACGGTCGTCGAGTGCTTTCAGTTTTTCAGTGATTGTATAGCTTAGATCGATTTGTGAGTTCAACTGTTAAAATAAATAAAGACTTTACTTAAATATATTTACTTAGCTTAGAGAGACAATGTTTAATTATGTAAAATGGTAGGTGATATTTATAAATAATATGATAATCAGTTGTATGAATGATTTGGATTTTCAATTAACTTATCAAACAGCTTAGAGTTTCATCATACTGTTTATACCAAATATGGAAAATATGATTATTAGAAAAGTATAGCATTGAAAGATTATATTTATATTTTAGACTTAGTACAATTGCACAACTTATTGAGTCACTAGTTGTGACAATTTGTCATTGTAAATTAACAGTTTAGGAAAAATGTGATGAAGCGCTAACAAATTTTCTTGTGTTTAACATAATTACGTGCTATACACTTTAGGTGTTCGTTGATATTTTAGACTAAATCGCATGATCACAATCTGTTGTTGATAAACTCAGTGTTCAAGATCATTGTGTATATGTTTCTAATAAACTAGATACTGATACAAATTAGGGTTCAATGTGATATGGCTGACACAACTAATAATAAAGCGAAGTTATGTAATTGGTTTTATTTGGCACAGGTGGTAGTACTTATTAACTAGTCGAGTATATTACTAAGTTTGGTATGTCTCATATTCAAAAAATTGTATATTTCTCCTGCTTTTACAGATTATTATAGAGGGTATTGGACGACTCACATTGGTAAGACAGCGAATTCCTCTACCAGAAATGAAAAAGCCAATTAGGCCTTCAATAATAAAACCTCATAAGAAGATTCAAATTCCAGGTATTTCACCCAATAAAATTCCAGTAAATGAAGAGACATACTGTGAGAATGAACGTATTAGACATTTTGGAGGTGGTGCGTTTCAACAATGCAATATGGTTGGTAGTCATTTTTTGTACGGAGAAGAGCAATTAGGAGGAGCTGCTAGTAATTGGTTTGCTCCAAATGAACATCGTTCTGTTCCAAGATACCCTAATCAATTCGATTCTTATCCAACGGCCACACAGATCAATAATATATCTCAAATACCGGGAAGTGCAGGAAAATCATCAGAAAATGAGCCAGATAATACAGCTAATCATAATGAATCACCATCAGTTTTAAATTCAACCACTACACTGGAGCGTGATGTGAGAGAGTTAAAAAAATACGTCAAAATGTTAGTAAATAGACAAAAAGAAACAGCTCGTAAAAGTTTGGTGGCTATGGAATGGCGCACTTTGGCTATTGTTTTAGACCGTTTATTTTTCTTTATTTACATTACCACCATAGTAATTGCAGTAGTTGTCTCAGTACCGCGAAGTACTGAACCAGAAGTTCCACCAGCATTTCGCGATGATTAAAAATGTCGACTGCATCAAGAAATGTTAAGGAACGACTTTTTGCTCAGAAAAAAAATCACTTGATGAAATTGAATTAGACATAATTAGTTAATGTATTTCTATTTTCTAGGTCTCTTGGCCAGCAAAACAACATTGATTCTTTCTTGTTAACTGTTAATAATTTGTTTCTTCGACATTATTTTGCGAAAAAAATTTTAAACATGAAGGGGGATACTATTTACAACTTTTGAATTATCATTTTCATTGAGTATCAGCTAGTGTAGAATAATCTCTTCACAATAGATTTTTTTAGATATTGTCTAATGCAAATATTCTTCTCTTGTTTCAAAAATTGTATCACAACATTTTCCAGTTTAACTGTTCATACGTCTGAATTGTTTCTGGTTTCATAATCCGTATTCATTCTGTTTTTTTTCAAAGATTGTCATATATTTTATTTGTGTATAAGTTTCAGTAACTTTCATGCAACTTGATGCGGGAAGACATTTCAATATATGTTTTCATGAACTGTTTGTTGGTCAGTTTTACTATTGTAGTGGATTATTGTAAAGTGCACAAATTTCATTTAACTTACACAATGAACTGGTTTTTTTTCTTTTTTTCTAATATTTCGTTTTAACTGTGTTTGTCTTATTTTGAAATGATGAACTCATTCATTAATAATAAATTATTAACCTGTTCAACAATAAGTTTTATATTTATGGTAGAATAAGAAAAATTTAATGAAGTTACATTTAATTATTATAAATAATTATCAGAAGGGGGTTTGTGGAGATTTTAGGTCCTGAGTTCGAATCTCGCGAGGCGAGATCGTGGATGCTCACTTCTGAGGAGTCCCACAATAGGACGAAACGGCCGTCCAGTGCTTCCAGATTTTCCATGGTGATCTAGCTTCAATTGACTCATGATTTCAACCATAAATAATTACTTTCCTCATCAATTTAGTATATTTTCTTAAGGGATTTTCTTTAATAATACGTAGGATCGACGAATCTGAAAGGTTGTTTGTTATATTGATAATAAAATTTATGATTTTAATACAAATGATATGGCGTAAAGGTATGACTGATACCACTAATTCTCTCATCTAATATAAAGGATTATTTCATATTAAAATGAAAGAACAAAAACTATTCATTTCTTCATTATATGTGAAAAAATTATATTTGAAATAGTCTCAGCGATTGAAATATAAATAATTCCAACGTTTCGTCCAGCTAACTTGTCTGGACTTCTTCAGGGAAATACTCAAAATCATCAAAGAAATATATAGTGTTTTTTTAACAATCATATCAAAATCTCTACTACTTTTTAATCCAATCATATTTGGATGTCGAATTTTTGTAAACAGGATAATATGAGTCAGTTGAATGAGAATCAAGTGAAAAGTTCCACGATGTGAATTAAAGGAGACTGCATAAATTGTGTGTATGTATGTATGTGTAAGATGAGTTATTAATGAATGATATTCAGTGTTGATGTGTTTCTATGTGAAGTAAAAATAAGAATAAAAGTGCAAAATGAAGGTTGAAAAGTTTTTTCTGAATCATCGAAATTGCAATTAAATGAGAATCATCAAGTACATAATTGTAAGGCTAAACATAACTCATATTGATTTCAGTCATAACAACGATTCATTTGAAGTTGACAGGTTGAATAAAAGAGAAGGTCAAATTACTTGTTGATGAATATTCGCCAAGTGATAGCTATCAGAATACCATCCTTTCTGTTTAGGCTGTTCTTATTCGCCCATATATACAGCGCTTCTGCTGTCAATCTTTCTTTATGAGTGTTGAATCCTTTCTGAAGTATTTCGGCCCCTTCAAAATTAATCATGTGTCCCGTTTCCAACGTATGTAACGCTATTGCAGACTTATTCTCAAGTTTCCTTAAGTCAACCGAAGTTTGGGGAACATTTTTAAACATTGTTTGTGTTCCTTCAACCTTACCTTCAATTGTCTGGATGTTTCTCCAATATGAGCCGCATTAAAATCATGACAATTGATCTCGTAGACAATATTTTGTTGTTCTTCCTTTGGTAACCTATCCTTAACCTTCACCAATGACGATCTTATAGTGTCACATGTTCTTTTTGTCATATTTTTGAAAACGATATGGTTTGTTTGTATACTATTAAAGGGTGAAAGTATTTTTAATGTGCATGTTAGACTGAATAAAAAAATACATAGAATATTCAGAAAAGCATAAAGATTTGGAGAAGAGTAAGGCTCTAGTATTGATTTTTAGATTACGTAGAAGGCCAAGCTAGGTGATGCGGATTAAACGTCAGTAGGAGCATCATTTTATTCATCTATAATGAAACCTAAATCAATGGCTTTTTCCTAGCTGTATTTAATCGATTAGCAAGAATAAACCAGTCAATAATTTGCATAATGAAAAAAACAACAAATGAATATATAATAAAACGAAAAGAAAGTGTACTTTTAAGAAAGCAAATATTAAATGAGTAAATTTCTACGAAACGTATCAATTGAGTAAAGTCGTACTTTTATTTTATAAAGAGTAAAATAGTCAGATTGTAAGTTTGTAATAGATGGTATATCTATTAAATAATTTATGTAATTTAGATTTTTTGATAGACAATTTGTTCTTTATTGTCATCTGTTAATATTTTGAATTGGTTATTTTTTCTGAATTTAACAAATTCAGCTATTTCTTTACGGTTATTATCGGTCTTAGGAAAGGTATGTTATTCGAAATATTTTACCGGGAAAATTGGAACAACTCTGGAATGTTTCAATATACATTAATTTTGCAATAGAATTGATTATAATTGATAATACTGTTAACATATATCTAAACAAGCTGAGAAATATAACTGGACTGGCAGTTTGCCACTAATCTCTGTTAAGCCGAGAAATTTATTGATTTGATTATATACTTTCACTACAAAGCGTAAGCAGCTTTCAGAATGTTTATTAAGTAGTCCTTATATAAACAGTCTTTACTTTAGAGTTAACAGTGGGTACAAACATAAACAAATATTTTTTGTTTAAAAAAGTGGCAAGAAATGAAAAAAGATAATACAAGTGTAGTAAAGACAGGTAGTTTTATTCATGTAGTATATGATGGAACAGAATACAGGGCAGCATTTATCTGTATTTCTTATTTAAAATAAGAACTAGCCTTATTCCTTTCACAGTATCATAGTTATTCACTTCAGCCATCTGACAAATAGGATCCTAGTCTTTTTAAATCATATTCTATTTTGTGCGTTACCTATGACTTCCGATCACTCGTCGATTTAAATGAAAACATATACGGTTCTCAGTTGGAAGGTTTTAAGGAACCACAATTGATTGATCACTGGGTGGTGATCAATCTCATGCGTGTCAGGTCCTTAACGCTGATCGAATGCTATCGATCAAGTTGCAATGTGGCCACCAGTCTAGGTGGCTCGACACTGCGAGCACTATATATATTAGGGTAACATGGTGGTTGGAGGTGGTCAACAGGAAACCCTGGACCCGCAACTTGAACTTGCAACTTGATCGATAGCATTCGATCAGCGTTAAGGACCTGACACGCATGAGATTGATCACCACCCAGTGATCAATCAATTGTGATTAGATCTCAGTCCTACAGGAGGTCGGTTGCGGCCCGAATAGCTCAGTGGTAACGTCTCTGACTGTGAAGCTGAGTGGCGCGGGATCGAATCCGCCAGGGAGCATCAGTTCCCTCAAGATTACAGGTACACCTTGCTGAGGAGTGCCAAGTAGCACGAAACCCGGGTCCAGGGTTTCCTGCTGACCACCTCCAACCACCAGGTTTTAAGGAACGTCAGAGTGCTTTTTTTATCTATAAGTGCTATGTGAAGCTTACTGAATTTATCTGCATTTCAACACAGCATATTTAAATGAATTCAAGTTCTTTCCCTGTTTCCTAGATTGATTTTTTGTGACTGTTAGGTTGCGATTAAGAGAGTTTGGAAATTTCTTTATTGGTTAATACTGAGCACACTGTTAGTTATTCTGAGAAGCCACGTGATCGATAAGTCTGAACTTCCAAGGGATATAAGATTAGTAACAGTGTTTGATGTCAACTAGTTTGGAATGAAAACTGCAATTTAAAAGTTTACTTAACATTGAAATTCCTAACAAACTGACAGTAATATGTGTACAGCTACATATTCTTTGATCGATTTATTGATTTTGTTTGCAAATTAAAGATTTTACTTTATTACTTACTTACTTAGGCCTGTTACTCCCAATGGAGCATAGGCCGCCGACCAGCTTTCTTCAACCCACTCTGTCCTGGGCTTCCTTTCTAGTTCTATCCAGTTCTTGTTCATTCTTCTCATGTCTGTCTCTATTTCTCGGCGTAATGTGTTCTTTGGTCTCCCTCTTCTCCTTTGACCTTCAGGATTCCATGTGAGGGCTTGTCTTGTGACGCAATCAGGTGATTTCCTCAAGGTGTGCCCAATCCACTTCCAGCGCTTCTTCCTGATTTCTTCCTCCGCTGGAATCTGGTTTGTTGTCTCCCACAGTAACTTGTTGCTGATAGTGTCTGGCCATCGGATCCGAAGTATCTTGCGTAGACAGCTGTTAATAAACACTTGTATCTTCTGGATAATGGCTTTCGTAGTTATCCAAGTCTCTGCCCCATACAGTAGAACTGTCTTGACATTTGTATTGAAAATTCTAACCTTGGTGTTGGTTGACAATTGTTTTGAGCTCCAGATGTTTTTCAGCTGTAAGTACGCTGCTCTTGCTTTGCCGATCCGCGTCCTCACATCTGCATCTGATCCACCGTGTTCATCAATGATGCTGCCAGATATGTAAAGGTTTTCACATCCTCCAAAGCTTCTCCGTCAAGTGTAATTTGATTGGTGCATATTGTATTGTATCGGAGAGTCTTGCTTTTCTCTTTGTTTATATTGAGACCTACTGCTGCTGAGGCTGCTGCTACACTGGTCGTATTCTCCTGCATTTGTTGTTGCGTTTGTGATAGAAGAGCCAGATCATCCGCGAAGTCTAAATCATCAAGCTGCATCCTGCCTGTCCACCGTATCCCGTGATTTCCTCCAGTCGTTGACGTCTTCATGATCCAGTCGATCACCAGGAGAAAGAGAAAGGGTGAGAGTAAGCAACCTTGCCTTACACCAGTCTTTACTTGAAACGAGTCGGTGAGTTGTCCTCCGTGGACAATTTGGCAGTTTAGTCCATCATAGGAGTTCCGTATGATATTTACTATCTTCTCAAGCACGCCGTAGTGTCGAAGAAGCTTCCATAGTGTCGTCCTGTCCACGCTATCAAATGCCTTCTCGTAGTCGATGAAGTTGATGTAGAGTGATGAATTCCATTCGATTGATTGTTCCACAATGATACGTAGAGTTGCGATTTGATCTGTGCACGATCTATCCTTACGAAATCCAGCTTGTTGATCTCGAAGTTGGGCGTCCACGGAATCCTTCATCCTGTTTAACAATACTCTGTTGAAGACTTTTCGATGTTTCGATGTTGGGTAGGTTCAGTGGAGCTGGTCGATTCAAGAGTTCTTTGAAGTGTTCTACCCACCTGTTTCGTTGTTCTTCAATGTCGGTGATTACTTTGCCTTCCTTGTTTTTCACTGGTCTTTCTGGCTTACGGTAATTTCCAGCAAGTTTCTTTGTTGTGTCATACAGTTATCTCATGTTTCCCTCTCTTGCAGCCTTTTCCGCTGTCGTTGCTAAATCTTCCACATATTTACGTTTGTCGGTTCTAATGCTCCTCTTCACTTGCTTGTTTGCCTCTGTGTATTCGGCTTGTGCCTTGGCTTTTTCCGCTCTGGTTCGGCTGATATTGATTGCTGCCTTCTTGTTCCTCCTTTCTTCAATATTATCCAGTGTACCAACAGTGATCCATTCCTTGTGATGGTGCTTCTTTTGGCCCAGAACCTCTTGACATGTTGAAACGATTTCCTCCTTGATACCTTTCCAGTTGCTCTCCATGGTAGTCCCCTCTCCATTGAGTAGATCATGAAAGGCCTCGAACCTGTTGCTGAGGGCTATGTTGAATTTGTTGAGTTTGTCAGCATCTCGAAGAATTAAACTTTTGTGATGTTGTCCGCGCCGTTGTCCAGTGCTTCTTGAGTTTTAGTTTCATCTTGGCGACCAGCAAATGATGATCGGATGCTATATCAGCTCCTCTTCTGGTTCTCACATCCTCCATCGTCCTCCTGAACGTTTTGTTGATGCAGATATGGTCGATTTGGGTTCTGTGTAGTGTGATCCGGTGAAATCCAAGTGGCTTTGTGTATGTTTTTGTGTGAGAATATGGTGCCACCTATGACCAGTTTATTGAAGGCACATAGGTTTGCAAATCTCTCACCATTTTCGTTCCTTTCTCCCAGTCCATGTTGTCCCATGACGTCTTCGTATCCAGTGTTATCCATTCCAACCTTAGCATTGAGATCTCCCATCAGAATTGTCAGGTCCTTGGTTGGGCACTTCTCGACGATCGAATGCAATCTGTCGTAGAATTGGTCTTTAGCGTCTTCATCGTAGTCGTTGGTCGGCGCATAGCATTGGATGACGTTCATTGTAATGCTCTTTCTCTTTGTTTTGACGAAGGCTTTGATGATCCTTGGTCCATGAGATTCCCATCCTATAAGTGCATTTTGTGCTTTCCTGGACAGCATCAATGCAACTCCTTGTGTATGTGGGGCATTTTCTTCTTCATGACTGGAGTATAACAGAAGTTCTCCTGAAGACAGACGTTGTTGTCCGACCTGCGTCCAATGTGTTTCGCTGATTCCAAGCACTTCTAGGTTGTATTTTCTCATTTCTGCAGCAATTTGGAAGACTCTTCCGGTCTCCCACATTGTTCGGACATTTCATGTACCTATAAAAAATTGTCGCTCTGGTTGTAAGAAGGTGCATCGGCCTCATGACTTCCGAGGGAGCTCGGCTTTCATCATGAGACGTCATAATTATTCCTTCTACTCCCAGGGCAGAGTTTGAAAGGTTTGAATGATTTTTTCTGGTTAGTGTTTTTTTAGCGAGTTGATTTTCTACGGGATGGGGTCGCTAACCCCATGCCCAACCCTCCTCCTTTACCCGGGCTTGGGACCGGCAGTAACCCCCAGAGGAGCTACAGGCGGAGTTTTACTTTATACAAACAGAAAATAAATAAATGACAATGTCACTGTACAACTATTATTAAGAGAAATAGTTTAAAAATAAAAAATGAGAGTATTTATGAAGTTTTTTTCTTGCTCTATGCGAAATCTCATCGATTTCTAATATCAAGGGAATCAAAAGAACACAAAAATCTTACAACTTTGAAAACACTGTATAGAAATATAGAAAATGAAAAAAAAGCGTGTGATATGAAAAGTGTATGAAATGGGCAGATGATATTACTCATTATTTGAAAGGCCCTACTGATATAAACAAATCAGTTGTTTTCTAGTAAATCTAACTATATATACATATATATTTATCACTAAGATGAAGTGTAACATTATTATACAAATGTAATAAAGACAATTGGTCAGGATTTAGTATTTTTTAATACAACAAATGTAGCTATATGATGTAATGTACAGATAATTCTTGAATAAAAATAGTGGAGTTCAACCAGGTCTGTTGGAAGATATCAACTCACTGAAGACATTGGTGAATGATTGCTCAATTTTGTGGATTGCTTGAAGTTAGAAATCAACACCGTTGGATGCCGATTTAGTGGTCTCGTGGTTAAGCGCTCGCGCTTGAGACTGATCGGTCGTGAGTTCGAATTTCGTGAGGCAACACTGAAGCAACAATGAAGCCAATCATCAGTATAAAATTTCTAGTCTTACTAAGATATTGCGACCCAAATATAACAAATAATTTGACAAGCTGCAAAAAATAAAGCATATAAACATAACGTCTATGCCATCCTGATCTGAAATTCAATCATTAGTTTGTCGTTGAAAAATTTTCATAATATTAAAACAGATATATGAAAGAAAAATGTTCCTTTCAGAAAATTCTCATACCTCTTAAGCAACGATTTTGATATCGACGAGCAGTGTAATCTCGGACCCATGTTTCATTCTACCTAGGGCTCATCGGTTGGATTCACTTTCACCCTATTGTTAATGTGTACACGGATTCAACAATCGAATTCTGGTACATCCGACTGGTAGACTCTAAACAGGAATTCCACTATATGTCAATATCAGGAACTTCGCCTATAAAAAATCCTTGTAACTTTATGTCAATATCAAGGGAATCCTCTGGGGGTCCACGTATGCCAAAAAAGACTGATCGATTATGATCTCTAACATTGATAAACAGAAAGATTCAAATCCTTTTTTATAATCCTGACAACATTAGTCATTTTTAATGTAAATGTTATGATCTATAGCGTAAGGTCTTCTAACTAATCAATAATCTAAGTAATCTATTCGACAAGGCCAACACAAATAGGATTAAATTAACTATTGGAAAATATCACAGATGAGTCTTAAAAATACCAATCAGCCGACTTTGATTTATATTTAGAATAAGGGCATGTGATAAATTTAAACTAAGTATTCAAAATATTCTTTACAAGCCTAGAAATGTTAACGAAGATATTTTGACATAAGTAAAAACATTTATGACGATCTAGTTGTATACAATTATTGATGTGAAAAATTAGTAAGAATCAAATGATACTCTTTATCAATAATAATAAATAAAATGAAGAAGTAGTGACAGAAAGACTATTTAAGTGGTTGGATGAATGAACAAAACAAGGCCTAAAGGAGCATGATATAGCAGTTTCAGTAGTAAAGAAAACTAGATAGCTGTTCCGTTTCAGTACAAGACGTTTATGAAGTTTCTTCAGATAGAATTCTAGACAGTCATATCTAGTTCGTTACTTTCAAGCTACTGGGTTAATATTCAACGGCTTCAATCGTAATATTCTTAAAATTTGTATAGTTCTGAGTGATTCTGATGAACAGAATTCCCAACCAATGAGACTACTTTTTGTTTTGTTGAAAATGAACGCTAAGTTCCTGTGTATTTAAGAAAACTTCCAATTAATCATTAATTGTTGCTTTGTGTGTAAACCTAGTATACCATGATTTAAAAAGTGAATATATGCATAGGTAGATAACACTAAAATTTTGTGTATTTATCACGATGCCTCGTCATTAGTGAAACTAGATAACACTCAGTATAGTGAAACAAAAATAACCAAATATCTAGCCAAATATTTCTTATACTTACCAATATGCCATCGACCTTTCAATGGCTCAGACACCTTCTTTGAACTATCTTTCGATCAAATGAAGCATAACCTTTTTATAATACTTATAAGATTATTCTTCTAACAGTGAGTGACAAATAAAAATGATTGAATGAATGTCACGGGAATTTAAATCAACTACAAATGTAATAACAACGTATCTGTATGTTAGCTTTTAGTGAATAGTTAGCTCAAAGAAAGATATTTTTGACTAAAAAGTAACCAAACATTTAATAGAAGTTTTAAGTTATATATAAACTATTTATTTATTTATTTGAACACATAAATATTGGAACAAGGAAGCACCAGATACATATGTGCCACACAAATCTCATTTCATTTGTGTGAGGTCCCAGGTGCCTAAACTGAAGCAGATGGTTTTCTTAGGGGACCACACCTGGAGCCTTTGATCTGAAGATCTGATCCACAAGGCACTGGAGCATCGTGAGGAGATGCAGTCTCATGCTAGCTGTTGACCAACGATTGATTCATATACCATTTGTTCCCTCAAGATAGTGGAACCCATGTTCACCATTGGTTTGGAATCAGGGTTTTCCAACTCCGCTAGGTGAACTCGCCATGTCCATCAACCCGGCTACTGCGTTGGATATTCGCTTTTCGTCCTCTCAATTTCGTAAACAAACCCCCCCCCACGAGAAGGTAGTGAGTAGGACTTCCCTGTAAGAGGCTATCCACGCATGGCCATGAAAGAGCATTTCGAGAGGGAGAGCGGACTCTCCTCACTCTCGGCCCTACCAGAGCATTTGGGAGCAAATATCCTTAAGTGATTTATTATACTTCAGTGGATTTCAAAGAAGAGACTTGATGACTTTTCAATTATAAAAAACAGTTCACTTTTGTTTGTGATTGTCATTATACATATTTATAATAAACATTTTCTAGGTTGATTTGTAGTAAGATAACACGTCATTACAATCCACAAATCTGTTATAGTACATTATAATTGATTTAGAAGAAGTAAAATAAAATCCAAATAAATTGTTACTTCCCAGTTTCTTCACATTATTCTAACACCCTCAAGAAAAATAAATATTTCTATCCTATTTAGTTTTAAAGGAGATGACTTTTTCCCAAATTATTAAAATTTTACATCTAAAATAACTAGTCAGTCTATAGGATTATCATAAATTCATTAGATGTGGAAGGGAACTTTCGATTAAACTTCATCTTATTTTAATAACGAACCTAAAAGTAATCCGTCTATTAAAGATAAAATAGATAAATTGAATAATAATCAAATATCTGAACAAAAAGCCAAGACTGATATCTAGCAGAGATATTAATGATAACTATGTTTATAGAGTTTAAATCATGATTCAATTGAAGCTCGATCACCATGCAAAACCTGGAAGCACTGAACAATAATATCAATCTAGTACGAAAATTTAACACACGATATGTACATTTTACGCGATATGACCGCCAGCTTTTTGCTATAATATAGTTTCTGACGAGATTTTGGTTACTTTACAAAGGAAGTTCACTTTAATTTGTCAATAGTGTGATAGATTACACAAGCACGATTCCCTACATGTATATAGCTTAACTTCTATATCTTTGGGTGGTTTAACAACAATATAAAGGTTTAAATTCATTTAGTATTGTTCGCTTGAATCTTCCCATCGATGTGTTAGGACTGCAACTGGTCAGACTCTAATTGGCATATGTGCATACTGTCCCAAAGTGAACATCAACTCTGAGATGCAGGTACATCTAGCTGACGAGTCCCAAATGAGACGAAACGCGCGTCCTGGATTCCACTGCTAGCCACCATCCATCTTTGCTTATATAAAGGTTTTTTCATATTTTGTGTCAAGCGAATAATTCTAGTAGCATATTTTACCAATATGAATTAATCTGAAATTCACATTGCGGTGTTGGAAAGCACAATATAACTGAATACATCTTTTCTTCGACTTCCCATCATGTTTTATAATGACAAATGTGAGCGAAAGATGTTAAAGATATTGATCAAAACAAGTTTTTGTTGATTGACTTTGTTGATTACTATTGCTTCTTTTATGATCAGTAAATATGAATAGCATTTAACTATGAACGACTAATATCTATATTGTCTCATAATAAGAAAAAATAATTATATCTATCGTAGTATATCATGACAGTTTTGAAGTGTACTTACATGCATACACCAACAGTTGGTTCGCAGAATTTGTTTATTCTCATCTAAATCCAAAATTTGAAAAAGTTGTAATCCATAACGAACATCAACTTTAATTTTACTGTCATTTACTGGTCGTCCAATTATACCAAATTGTTCATATCGATTTAATAACATTCTTATAAGATCTTTCTCCACTGATTTAGTCTTCAGTACTGTTCAACAAAATCACGAGAGGATATAAGTAATATCGAGAACATCATCTATTGCATATTATTTCTTTACAAAAGTGGAGACTATGTTCTTGAAAATCAATCAGATGAAACCTTATGGTTAATTTGCTGAAGACTGTAATCAACTAGTATTCCATCTTGGAGACTGAAAGAAAGTTTACGTACGAAGCGTGCATGTACAAAGCGAATAAATGTATGAAGAGATCACTCGAAATAATACCAAAACAGGACATCAGTTTCAATAGATAAATATTCACAGAGTGTTCGTGAAAACTAGAGATAAAGATTTAGGGTATTTCGCACAGCAAACATATTGTTGTTTGTGCTATGAAAGTAATTGCTAGACATGCTAATGGTTTTATTCATTTACAAAATAATGGCCTACAAATAAACTGTTAAATATATGGTAGTCACACATTGAATAAGGATTAAATGCTAATTTTAATCAGGAAAATTAGCTCCAGAATATTATCAATAACGGGTTGTACTTCACTACACTTTCTGACATTTTTTGACTTTTCACTAAGAATGTGACATATTATGAAGTAGCTTCACGGATTCCGATCTCCCTCCCAATTACTTCTGCGCTTATTTGAGATTTAAATCGTATCGTATTGCAAAACACCCACGGTTTATTATCAGAACGTATTTTAGCTTATTTCTAAGTAAAACCATGAAAACTATTAGTGACTGCGTCCTAACCACTATAATTGTGAGTCATATTTATTTGTACGAAGTGTAAATTATCATACTTTTCATAAGTCATTCAAAACTGCTGTGTCATATATAATTTTATATAGTTGAGATCATGAGTCGATTGAAGCTAGACCACTATGGAAAACCTGGAAGCACTGGACAGCCGTTTCGTCCTTTTGTGGGACTCCTCAGCAGTGCACATCCACGATCCCGCCTCACGAGATTCGAACCCACGACCTATCAGTCTCACGCGCGATCGCTTAACCACTAGACCACTGAGCTGGCATCCAACGGTGTTAATGTCTAACTTCAACTGATCCACGAAGTTGAGCAAGCATTCAACAATGTCTTCAGTGAGTTGATATCTCACAACAGACCTGGTTGAACTCCATTGGTTACTGTTTCTCACTAGAACTCCACGAGTCCCACAATAGGACGAAACGGCTGTCCAGTGCTTCAGGTTTTCTATGGTGGTCTAACTTCAATTCACTCATGATTTCAACTATGTAAAATTGCAGTATTCTAATAAAATATGCAAGTTAAAAAGCTTTTTATGTTTATAATGTATGGTCTTAAAAAATTTTCAACTCAGGGTAAATTCATTTGAAAAGAGAAACGAGATCATCTACAATACCCCTTTTTAAAATTTTCTAATTTAACAGAAAAGAAAAAAGTAATCTACAGTAAGGATTTAGGAATTCATTGGATAAATTTTATCTAATGCTAATGTGATCAGTATTTACTGTATTTATAAGAGTGGACTGATAAACTCAGCTGAGCATATTTTTTTACAAATAAATTATGCAAAAGTAATTAACAAACGACCATATATATATAACACTTTAGCTTTGAAACAATGGAGGAAGTTGCCTTCTACCCTGGTTGCACAGTTAGCTAGTCGAGTAAAACAGCTGAGATGCGTTGCTGATTTTCCGAATAAAACGGCTTTGACATCCCAGATATTAACGTTTGTACATGTTTTTATTCCCTCTTCTCTATTTCTATCACTTTGTTATCCTTTATTAACTATGACTAAATATCTTAGCACTAGACTGTTCAATGTAAATATTTACTGTTAATTTACTATTTATAGCCCATGTATGACGTAAAGAATTTTTTTAACCAAACAGTCTCTAATTTGTACCAAACTAACAAACTGGTTTCAATAGTTATGCTAAAATCTCTAAATGATGGCATAGGGACTGAAATGTAATCATAAAAACCTGATAATGTCAGTGATGTTGGAACTTCATTTTTTCATCAGTAATATTCTTTCCACCATAGATTAATAAGAAAGAAATGTGAAGTCATTACTGGGTTAACTTTCATTAAGCAATAACTAATGAAGAGACTGATGAAGTAACTTTTTATTCTGTGACTGTTTCTCTGTACACTTTTGACTTGAACTAATATTTCTTCTTTATAGATCAAGATAAAAGATGAATTTGAAGACTGATAATAAAAAACACATTTGTGATGTATTAGTCTACAATTCAAAATAGTTATCTTTTCAATAAAATTAAAGTTGACTACTTTTCACCTAGTTTTTCACTAATATAACTAAATGTGAATTAGCAACCTAGCATCACCATCAATAGCGTCATTTGTGCAAATACAATGAAGCCTGTTAAATAGGCACCTTATCAAACCTCGTTTCTATTGTACAGGGCAATAAATATAATAACTAAGGTATTGGCCTGCCACGTTGGTTTTCGAAAAATGGATTGTTTGATTAAGCCATCTTTAACAGGCTTGATCGTATTTGCACAAATGACGCTATTGATGATGATGTTAAGTTATTAAACAAGACATTAATGGGGAATGGCTATTCACTTAAACTCGTAAATAGATGGGAAGTTCATGGTACAGTGAGACCTATTGTAGCCTCGGTGGAAAAAAGCCTGTATACATCACTTTACCATTTAGAGATGATTCAAATAGCCTTTTATTCATTATGAATTAATCTATTTTGTATTTATTGTTTGAATCTTCCCATTGGTGTATAGGACTGCAATTGTTCAGTCTCTTATCGGCACATGAACCAGTTCTAAAACTCCAGCTTCGTTAAGTAACAAAACATTTGTAATATGTTTTTAAAAAATTATGAAATAACATCTGAATTCAATAGGAACTTTACATTACAAACAAAAATTCTATATAATTATCTGAGAGCTGTTCACAAAACAGCTCCGCAGAATGTAACTCACATATAAGTTGGGATTATTATACAAATTAACTTAGCCACCTAAGCAATAACTCCTGTTATGGTTTGATATTATCAGTAATAATGAAAATGTGGAAGACACTTACACTTAGTTTCGGCACGTATTATTCTATCTAGTTTGAACATAACTGCAACTACATTCTGTGGTCACTGTAAGAGGAAGTGAACAAAACTACTGTCTTCTAGGCGGAATACAATATTGGTATAGGGTTACGGAGATTTTTAAATTTTTACTGAAATCATGAACTGATCAGTTCTAAATCACAATTAACATCAACACAGTCAGATCCCACCTCAGTGGTCTAGAGGTTAAGTGTTCTTCACGAGACGGGAGGTCTGGTGTTCGAGTCCTGAGTGCGGAATCGTAGATGCGCACTGCTGAGAAGTACCATAGTGAGACGAAACAGCTGTTCAATACTTCCAGGTTTTTATCAAGAGTCTAACATTGATCGTTTCATGATCTCAATGAACATAATATCATGACCATAGGAATTATATTAACAACAGACTTCCATTACTCTATATAAATTGAACAAAAACAATGAGCGAGTTTTTACAAATTGAGATGAGTACTTATAAAATCTTAAATAAAAAAATATCTTGTTCAAATTAATCTACTTGTATCATGTTTTGTTCATGATGTCTAACTCAATATAATTAACCACTTATTAAGAATTCGCTACTGTTTTTAAAGTAAGAGATATATACAAACATACAAGACATGATTTGATTAACGGAAATCATTTTCTTTGAAGAAGAAAATAGTTAAGTGACACAAGTTGATAAAGTAAACCAGTAAATGTTGGAAACTATGTTTAAAGTAAACCGATAACGAAAATAAAAGTGTTTTTACTTTTCCATCCCTAAGGTATTAGGTAGTTGGTAACAAGCAAATAATTCTAACTATACGGTAGTAGAAAACTATGATCAATAAGACATCTTATTCAGTTTTCATTTCAACTTTGTACTTAATTTTAGTCAGATTTAAAGATAAGTGATCAGATTTCATCGATTAACAATGTTTGCTGTACATAAAAACAAACGAGAATACTCTAAGTAATAAAAATAAAATTCATGCATACCAATTACTAGAACTCTTAGTTTCTAGGAAGCATATATAGTTGCACATTTTGTACAACTTTTCTGATATTCTATCTTATTATGTTGTATATTTTATCTCATTTTAAATCCAAACAGATCTTCAAATGTTGATAGGACCTAAATAATTTTGTACAGAAATAATGAATATGTAAGTGATTGTTTACATTTTTCAAATTAAAGAGAAAAAAAGAATTACACCTTCTAGTCAAATAGTTCATCATTTAGATCTAGTTATTCTAATGTGTATCCTATCAAGTTTTGTATATGTCTGGTAAATTTTGTTTTAACCAGTTAAAATTCAATAAAATTCAATCAATAATAGTTTATCCCCATAAGGGTATATAATATGAATGTGGTTGTGAAAAATTTGGAGAGCTATTTTTGTTATTAGATAGACAGATAGAAGAGAGACATAGACTTGTATAAGAATAATAATAATAATAGTAATAATAATAATAATAGTAATAAAATTTATCCCATTTTTTCATCTTTTTATAAATATATATAAATGTGATTTGAATTTAAAAGAATATGGAAATTACCTTTCCATAGAAATGAACCAATATCTTTGTTTTAATTTATCAGTTATTTTTATTATTATGATTATTATTTATTGTGGATTATTACAAATTTCAGCAATTGCTCCAAAAGGTCATCCTAAAGGTAAAAGTTCAAAACATGATTTTGATTTATACTATTTTTAAATTATATTGTTATTATTAAGTAGTATATTATGTAATGGTTGAACTCATTATATATCTCTTATAGGAAAATATTTGGATTTGAATTAGATTTTTTCTAAAAGTTTATAGATCAGTTGTTTGTGAATTTTCAAGATTTTTGTATGATTAGAAAATTGTGAGTAATTCTGAAAAAAAACGATTTAATTCTGTCAATGATTAATGTCAAAAAATATATAAGTATTATTAATTTTAATAGTTGAGATCATGAATCAATTGAAGATAGGCCACTATAGAAAACCTGGAAGCACTGGACAGCCGTTTCGTTCTATTGTGGGACTACTCAGCGGTGCGCAGTTTTCCATGGTGGTCCAGCTTTCATTGATTCATGATCTCAACGATTAAAATTATCATAGTATCCACAAAACCTTTTCTGATATTAATAATTTGTAAGCAAATATGGATAGTGGCTAGCAGTGGAATCCAGGAAGCACGTTTCACCCTATTTGGGACTTGTCCGTTGTATGTACGTGCATCTCTGGGTTAATGTTCCCTCTGGGATGCAAACCCAGTACTATTTGCTTCAAACTCCATCGCGTTATCCATCTTTGCTTATAATGCTTGTGAATTAAGACTATATCGAGGCAATACACACAGTATGCACATATGCCAATAAGAGACTGATCAATCGCAGTTCTAAACATCGATGTAAAGTTTCAAATAAACAATACCAAATAAATTTTTTAATAATTTGATTAGAACAACATAAGTGATATTAAACTCCATCCGCTTCTCATTAATCGTTAACATGGTATGATATTTTAGTATCAAAAGTTTCCAGTTAAGTTGAATATACTTAGAAAAATGAAGTTGATCAGAAGTTAGAGTGGATATGCATTAGGGAAATGTTATGAACTTTTAACGAGAGCTTAAAATAATAAATTAAATGTTGTATCAAGAAACTGAAACTTATCAAAAACATTGTGATAGGTTAGTGCAATGAATTTCGAACAATCTGATCGTACATATACTTGGTAAGACTATATATATATCTGTAAAATGTATGGTCGACCATACAAAATTGAAGGTAAAAGGAAACATATATATTACTGACATTATTCATTGTGGTGTGTTTCATGTGGTTTCACATTGTCACCTTCGTTCGCTTTTGCTTTTCACTTGTCGACTTAACCTTTTATTTTTTTATGTATAATTGTTGTAACAAGTAAATGTGTGCTGAAATTGTTCGAAATGTATTGCACTAATATATATCACATAGTCCGGATTATCTTCGTTCTCTAACTAACTTTTCTAAAGTTATCAAATAGACCAATTGTTTTAAATGTTTCCGTTAGACATCATATTTAAAAAAAATTTTCTTAAATATCTATCAGAACAGTAGAAAAATAGTACGGAACTTGACTTAAGTAATTAAATAAATAAGTTGAAGACTAGTAAAATTGAAGATGTATGCTGAATGCAGTTTCCAGTTAGTTAAGAGATTAAAGGGTTTGAAAATGTATGTAACCAAGTATTAGTTCTTTTATTAGGATAACCGCTTTCCTCTTAAAAGGAAAGTCAGATTATGACCATATTATTACTAAAGAGTATTAAAGATTTAAAAAGATTATAGTTAAAGTGTAAGAGTAATTTTAAGATTTTCAAAAATGCAATAATTAGTGCTCTATTGTACTGGAATATATACCGGTAGAAATATTACAGAATACTCTATCTATGCGTCGTATATAATCGCTTTCATGTTTTGTTTTAATGTAGAAAGATAGCTAGAGATGGTTCGCACGTTGATTGATTATATTCAACATATTAGAATAACTTAAATTATTCAGTTTTACAAAAGCAACTTAAGTTATAACTTCCGTGAATAACTTAGGACTTGTTCGAAAAAATGTACTGAAGAGATTATTGACAGAAAATAAGAAATACTTTTATGCTGTTTCGTTGTTTAAAAGACATTGATTTAAACAGAACAAAGATATTAGGGAAGTATGTTAAATGGTAAAGGGTAAAATATATCAGTTGACAATGGAGCATTTAATTGAAAGCTTGACAGTATTAAGATTCAATTTAAAGATAGATTTGTCAAAGGCTGATATTAATTGTGCATCACTGATAATCGGTTGACATTAAACAGTGTTTTCATTTTTTTATAAAAATGAATTAATCTCTATGGATTACCAAATCTGATAGTGATTATGTATTCACCAGTGGCTAGTTTTAACTTAGATTCCAGTGAGAAACCGCAAATCATAGAATAAACCAAGTGTGCCAAGATATAGTTATTCATCAATGGGTATCACATTATATTATAACCTGGTGGAAGTTATAAATATAGACAGCTGAGTTGACATTTAATTTCCTAAGTGTACTGTGGTAGTTCCAGGACTTTAGGGTGTTGTATTTCGATCCTTGGTGTAGTCATGGTTTGGCATGCTTTGATTTTACTCACACAGACTACAGTAATACACACTATAATTTATACTTGAGAGCCGTTTTGTGAACAGCTCTCAGATAATTATATAGAATTTTTGTTTGTAATGTAAAGTTCCTATTGAATTCAGATGTTATTTCATAATTTTTTAAAAACATATTACAAATGTTTTGTTACTTAACGAAGCTGGAGTTTTAGAACTGGTTCATGTGCCGATAAGAGACTGAACAATTGCAGTCCTATACACCAATGGGAAGATTCAAACAATAAATACAAAATAGATTAATTCATAATGAATAAAAGGCTATTTGAATCATCTCTAAATGGTAAAGTGATGTATACAGGCTTTTTTCCACCGAGGCTACAATAGGTCTCACTGTACCATGAACTTCCCATCTATTTACGAGTTTAAGTGAATAGCCATTCCCCATTAATGTCTTGTTTAATAACTTAACATCATCATCAATAGCGTCATTTGTGCAAATACGATCAAGCCTGTTAAAGATGGCTTAATCAAACAATCCATTTTTCGAAAACCAACGTGGCAGGCCAATACCTTAGTTATTATATTTATTGCCCTGTACAATAGAAACGAGGTTTGATAAGGTGCCTATTTAACAGGCTTCATTGTATTTGCACAAATGACGCTATTGATGGTGATGCTAGGTTGCTAATTCACATTTAGTTATATTAGTGAAAAACTAGGTGAAAAGTAGTCAACTTTAATTTTATTGAAAAGATAACTATTTTGAATTGTAGACTAATACATCACAAATGTGTTTTTTATTATCAGTCTTCAAATTCATCTTTTATCTTGATCTATAAAGAAGAAATATTAGTTCAAGTCAAAAGTGTACAGAGAAACAGTCACAGAATAAAAAGTTACTTCATCAGTCTCTTCATTAGTTATTGCTTAATGAAAGTTAACCCAGTAATGACTTCACATTTCTTTCTTATTAATCTATGGTGGAAAGAATATTACTGATGAAAAAATGAAGTTCCAACATCACTGACATTATCAGGTTTTTATGATTACATTTCAGTCCCTATGCCATCATTTAGAGATTTTAGCATAACTATTGAAACCAGTTTGTTAGTTTGGTACAAATTAGAGACTGTTTGGTTAAAAAAATTCTTTACGTCATACATGGGCTATAAATAGTAAATTAACAGTAAATATTTACATTGAACAGTCTAGTGCTAAGATATTTAGTCATAGTTAATAAAGGATAACAAAGTGATAGAAATAGAGAAGAGGGAATAAAAACATGTACAAACGTTAATATCTGGGATGTCAAAGCCGTTTTATTCGGAAAATCAGCAACGCATCTCAGCTGTTTTACTCGACTAGCTAACTGTGCAACCAGGGTAGAAGGCAACTTCCTCCATTGTTTCAAAGCTAAAGTGTTATATATATATGGTCGTTTGTTAATTACTTTTGCATAATTTATTTGTAAAAAAATATGCTCAGCTGAGTTTATCAGTCCACTCTTATAAATACAGTAAATACTGATCACATTAGCATTAGATAAAATTTATCCAATGAATTCCTAAATCCTTACTGTAGATTACTTTTTTCTTTTCTGTTAAATTAGAAAATTTTAAAAAGGGGTATTGTAGATGATCTCGTTTCTCTTTTCAAATGAATTTACCCTGAGTTGAAAATTTTTTAAGACCATACATTATAAACATAAAAAGCTTTTTAACTTGCATATTTTATTAGAATACTGCAATTTTACATAGTTGAAATCATGAGTGAATTGAAGTTAGACCACCATAGAAAACCTGAAGCACTGGACAGCCGTTTCGTCCTATTGTGGGACTCGTGGAGTTCTAGTGAGAAACAGTAACCAATGGAGTTCAACCAGGTCTGTTGTGAGATATCAACTCACTGAAGACATTGTTGAATGCTTGCTCAACTTCGTGGATCAGTTGAAGTTAGACATTAACACCGTTGGATGCCAGCTCAGTGGTCTAGTGGTTAAGCGATCGCGCGTGAGACTGATAGGTCGTGGGTTCGAATCTCGTGAGGCGGGATCGTGGATGTGCACTGCTGAGGAGTCCCACAAAAGGACGAAACGGCTGTCCAGTGCTTCCAGGTTTTCCATAGTGGTCTAGCTTCAATCGACTCATGATCTCAACTATATAAAATTATATATGACACAGCAGTTTTGAATGACTTATGAAAAGTATGATAATTTACACTTCGTACAAATAAATATGACTCACAATTATAGTGGTTAGGACGCAGTCACTAATAGTTTTCATGGTTTTACTTAGAAATAAGCTAAAATACGTTCTGATAATAAACCGTGGGTGTTTTGCAATACGATACGATTTAAATCTCAAATAAGCGCAGAAGTAATTGGGAGGGAGATCGGAATCCGTGAAGCTACTTCATAATATGTCACATTCTTAGTGAAAAGTCAAAAAATGTCAGAAAGTGTAGTGAAGTACAACCCGTTATTGATAATATTCTGGAGCTAATTTTCCTGATTAAAATTAGCATTTAATCCTTATTCAATGTGTGACTACCATATATTTAACAGTTTATTTGTAGGCCATTATTTTGTAAATGAATAAAACCATTAGCATGTCTAGCAATTACTTTCATAGCACAAACAACAATATGTTTGCTGTGCGAAATACCCTAAATCTTTATCTCTAGTTTTCACGAACACTCTGTGAATATTTATCTATTGAAACTGATGTCCTGTTTTGGTATTATTTCGAGTGATCTCTTCATACATTTATTCGCTTTGTACATGCACGCTTCGTACGTAAACTTTCTTTCAGTCTCCAAGATGGAATACTAGTTGATTACAGTCTTCAGCAAATTAACCATAAGGTTTCATCTGATTGATTTTCAAGAACATAGTCTCCACTTTTGTAAAGAAATAATATGCAATAGATGATGTTCTCGATATTACTTATATCCTCTCGTGATTTTGTTGAACAGTACTGAAGACTAAATCAGTGGAGAAAGATCTTATAAGAATGTTATTAAATCGATATGAACAATTTGGTATAATTGGACGACCAGTAAATGACAGTAAAATTAAAGTTGATGTTCGTTATGGATTACAACTTTTTCAAATTTTGGATTTAGATGAGAATAAACAAATTCTGCGAACCAACTGTTGGTGTATGCATGTAAGTACACTTCAAAACTGTCATGATATACTACGATAGATATAATTATTTTTTCTTATTATGAGACAATATAGATATTAGTCGTTCATAGTTAAATGCTATTCATATTTACTGATCATAAAAGAAGCAATAGTAATCAACAAAGTCAATCAACAAAAACTTGTTTTGATCAATATCTTTAACATCTTTCGCTCACATTTGTCATTATAAAACATGATGGGAAGTCGAAGAAAAGATGTATTCAGTTATATTGTGCTTTCCAACACCGCAATGTGAATTTCAGATTAATTCATATTGGTAAAATATGCTACTAGAATTATTCGCTTGACACAAAATATGAAAAAACCTTTATATAAGCAAAGATGGATGGTGGCTAGCAGTGGAATCCAGGACGCGCGTTTCGTCTCATTTGGGACTCGTCAGCTAGATGTACCTGCATCTCAGAGTTGATGTTCACTTTGGGACAGTATGCACATATGCCAATTAGAGTCTGACCAGTTGCAGTCCTAACACATCGATGGGAAGATTCAAGCGAACAATACTAAATGAATTTAAACCTTTATATTGTTGTTAAACCACCCAAAGATATAGAAGTTAAGCTATATACATGTAGGGAATCGTGCTTGTGTAATCTATCACACTATTGACAAATTAAAGTGAACTTCCTTTGTAAAGTAACCAAAATCTCGTCAGAAACTATATTATAGCAAAAGGCTGGCGGTCATATCGCGTAAAATGTACATATCGTGTGTTAAATTTTCGTACTAGCTTGATATTATTGTTGATCACCATGTCTGATGATCGAGTTATACCAGAGTAGATATAAATATTCAGTGATATGAATTTATGTTCCATGTTTCCTGTTGACAGTGAAGAGCAAATCTTGGTTGTTTTATTTTAGTTAAAACATTTTAACACTTTAAGATTGACAACACTAAGTGAATCAGTATCGCTGTATTTTGTCTTATGTCGGTGCTGCTCACTGTTAAGAAGAACCATTTACAAATGAGACAAAAACAGTTTTGCCTTTATCTTCCCGGATTACTGGGTCTTTTCTTCTTCACCATAAAATGAAGGTGGTGTCATTCGAAAACACTCGAATTAAGTGATGAGTGAAACGTATATATCATTTGGAATACTTTAAAATTAACATCTGTTTGCTAATCCTAGATGTTGTGTCGCATTATCTATGAAACGAGAACGCGACTAATTTGTTACGATGACTTCAGTTTGATATAATTCAAGAGGCAGAGGATTGTATCATCAGTATTTAAGTCTGGCTTTTTATTATAAGTAGCCAGTCTTGTCAAATAGAATATTGATTTGTATCACGGAAAATTTGATAAAAATTCAGTGAAATATTCTGATAAATACGTAACTAAAATAACTACCTTCCAATAAACTCATATCTTAGAGTGACACCTATATCCAGAATACAGTAATTTAAGTAAAGATGTAATATTTTATAGTTGAATGTAATTAGCTCTCAACTTTCTAGTTACAATTTTAAAAACTCTCTACTAGCTGAGTTTAGGGCATTTGAATAGTTTTATTGAACCCAAAGATCAAATGTTGCTTAAATTCCAGTGCTTATGCACTATGACGCATTACTTATTCTGATGGATATTATTATATTTGCTGACAGATATGTACGTTGAGAAAGTCACGCACATATCTAAGTTAGACAGCCACTGAAAACACTAAGCACTGAATGGCCGCTTCTTTCTAGTATGGGATGACTTAAGAGCATTCACGACGTTCACTAACTTTTCTGTTACTTTGTAAGTATATATACATTTTGGTTAATTCTAAATTATTCTGATGAAAAACGTCAAAAGTTAGTCAAATTGTTGAAACAGATAAGAGTATCTTTTGTTAAACTGCAAAAAAACAATTAAAATTCCGAACATCAAACAGACAATTCTTTAAAATCAATTGAAACAGTACCTTCTCTTTAAATGTATAGAATGAAGATTATTGGGGATTGTTGATTTATAGGTAAAATTTTAGATAGATAAATGTTTGGTTCATCAAATGGAATTGTTGCAGAAAACAATTTGTGGTCAGGATTCACAGTTGTATTGAATGTGTTTGTAAACAATTATTCATCATTTCTCGCTACAGGTACTCATCTCTAATTTTAAGATTTATGCAGTTGGAAAAGTTTCAGAAAGTCGTAATATAATGTTGGTAATATTTTAAGTGGTTGAATTATATGATTGACATATATAACTACAGTATCTGTAAATTATTTTAGAAATGGACTGATTCTCTCCTTCGTTGGAATGAAAGTGAATATGGAAATATTAAAACAGTTAGTATATTTCCATCACAGATTTGGACTCCTGACATTAAATTGTATAATTTGTGAGTAATGTAATTTCTACATAAAACAGTTATTTTGCAAGTGAACCAATTGATATTTTGGTTTATCCACATTCTTTACTGTAACATTTAAAAACCGATTGAATCCCAGTGATGGATCTTTAGCAAATGAGTGTAATGGTACAAACAGTATCATCGACATAATAATATGTGCTTGTTTATTTGAAGAGTTCATTAAGATGATGAATCAATCTAAGTTAGATTGCCGTTGGAAAACTGGAATCACTGGATAGTCGTATAGAACTCCTCCTGATTCAAGATTAAATTTTTGTGAGGCATTGAAATTTCAATTTCTGAAACATTTTTAACCTAAGAATTATATTAACAGAAAGTGTAAAGTTACCTTTCTAATTTACTGTGTAAAAATCAACTTGATGAAGTTAAAAGTTGTATAAATCATCTTTACTACTCGAAGGGGTATGTTTATTATTGGTCTCGATAATGCAATGAGAAGACGAAGTTTATCAGAATTATGTGATATATTAGCGCAATACATTTCGAACAATCTGATCACACATATACTTGTTAAGACATTTTTATATGAAAATTAAAAGGTTAACTAGACAGGTTAAGGTAAGAAAATAAATAAAGTACACAAAAACAATGTGATGACTATTCTGGATAATAAATCAGCATTACCAGGGTAGGTTAAGGGTAAGAACAAATTGTTTTTGAACACATAAAGGGGATTTCAATTTCCGTATAGCCAAGACTTCAATAAACCCTAGTATACGTCCTTGAAGGCTTTTGTACAACATTACAAACGCTGATTTGATATCAACCTTATGACCAGTTTCAACCAAATGTTTCGCAATGGAGGAAGATGTTTGTCTATCCTGTGATCTTATTTGACCATTGGTTTCATAGAATGTTTCATCCCCCTAGCCTTAATAGAAAGGAAAGCCCGACTATCTATCCAACTTAAATCGTTTATCCAAACAACCGTATTTAATTTCATTCACTTCTCACACCATTAGCACACATAAACACACAATTTTTAGCTCTAATCTTTCATAATACATATTTTACACTTTATTTATTCATCAGCCAATACACAAATGCACTCGATGATATCTCCTACAGAATCACCTTGACCACATGACAATAATGATATAACCAGACATTTTTTATTTTTGATTGATTTAAATATTTTATGTTCCTTCATGATACCTAATTTAATTTGGTTATTCATTTATTCCATAGAAGTGGACTTCACTGAGTCCAAATATTAAATTACATTACAAATATTATCATCATTTTACTACTGATTATTATTAATTTTATTTTACTCTACTTTAATACCTTAATGAATTTTGAAAAGCTACCTTAAATCTTTATCTGTTAAGGTGCTCAGTTAAGATTTACCTGCACAAATATCTGATATTCTATATTTCTTTTTAAAAGCAATTACATATTACTGTTACGAGCTATGGAAACTATCTTTTTTCATGTAGATGAATCATGTTCAAATCATTCAGTTATATAATTTAATTATTCTTCGTCTGAATTCGATAAATAAGTTGCTGATATGTACATAATGTGTATACGAATAGATCTATTTCTCTATAGTATTAGAGTTATTTAAATTCTAATTGATGATTGCAGTGTTAGAAATGACATAACTAGTCTCCAAATAACTGTTACGATAAGCGTTTCTTTTCGATGCTTATTCTTTTTTAATATCAGATAATTATTATAGACAGGTGAATACTAGTCAATATGTTAATAAGCCGGGAATCCATTGAGAAATACTTGATTTCAATATGTCGTCTTAGAGTTTACTCAGATATAGAATTTATATACATATGTATTTCTTACTTGTCAACTGAAATAGCTACGCTGTATTTATTAGTGCTAGATTCAATGTATATCCAAAAATAGTTTATCATTTTTGCATCTGCATATATATATATATATATATATATATATATATATATATATATATATATATATATGATTTTTTAGCGCTGATGAACGTTTACGCGAATATAGAGACGCTCGTGTTGTGGTTTCAAGTAATGGAGAAACACTATGGCTTCCACAAGCATTGTTTAAAAGTACATGTGAAGTTGAGATCACATATTTCCCATTTGATACACAGGTTAGCTATCTTTGTAATTCGCCCGGTGATTCACTTGTTGTTAATCTTTTCATATTGAGTATATAAGCACTTAAAGAATTGCATCGATTGGTGTTTGAGTAATGTGTGACCAAGGTCATATTTGTCCACTTCTATTCAAATTCTATCACGTTATGTGCAACGGTACTACTAATCTGAGTCAACCAACATCATATACACGATGCTTCGATGTAAAGTGGTTGGAGGTAGACTATAAGTAACCCCGAGTGTAGGATTATTATTAGTTAAGACTTGTCAGTAAATATCACCCATAATCTCCAGAGAACTAATGCTTCCTGTGGGGTTCCAACTGTTGCCACAAAGTTCCACAGTTCGAGACGCAATTCAAGATTTCCTGCTGGCCAATATGAATCACTTGACATTATCTATTGGTCTATCTTTGAGCCATAAGCATTGAGTTTTTGATGATACATTAAGAGTTCCAGGTGGATGTCATCCATGGAATCCATTTTCATAATTTGCGGGATTAGTTCAACATATGGAGGTTATATAAATTGATTTTTCTCTAGCCAAAATAAAGTATAATACATCATTTCCACCATGTAACTACTATTGGTATGTAGAATTTAATTGTTTGTCAATGAACTTACTTCCAGTGGCAAGTTCAAAAACTAAAATGTTCTTTGTTAATGAGAGAAAACAATTACTTTTTTCAAAAACATCACCCTGATTGACTATATTTGGGAATTAAATCATTAGTAAGTTAATCGAAAATTCGAAACTGTTTGCATGAATATTGTTTTTTTGCTATTCATCGGAGAAAATGTAAGATAGTACTTATAATATAATCAATGCCAGATTTTGACGATTAAGGTCCTTTGAGAAGAAAGGATATTCAACAAAAACTTGTACTTGAATATTTTAACATCAATAGAATAACTAACCTCAGAAATGAATCGACTCATTTTCGTGACAAATTTAGTTAATACTGATTAATTACTCGTTCACATTAGTAACCTGAAAAGAAGCAACAAAGATGAATCTAATCACGATAACATTAATTCTCTGATTTAATTGCCAAATAAAACAGAAAACTTAAGTAAAATGACTCTTGACTTCTTTTTTTAAAATTATTATTTCATACAGACCAACAGTTGTCAAACAGTCACACGAACCTTGGAAATCACATGAAAAAGGAAGATGTTTATTACTTTCTAGACATTACGAAGTTCCAAATTATTTTATCATATTTGATCCTTTCTTTTGCAAACGGTAGTTAATTAACTGAGGTTAGGACAGACTTCTTTAAAATTGTTATCGAAGTCAAAGATTCTAAGTATTTAGGTTTTTAGAAAATCAGTTGTATATGCTGTTCTTAAACGTAGAATTAAGTCAATCAGGAGCCAAATTGCTAATATATTCGGCCGAATTATTTAATTTAAAGAGAAGACAAGTGAAAGCTAGGTAAATCCATCGGTTGATCACCTGAAATGAATCTGCGGCACTTTTTAGGAGAACATTGAATAGAAATGTTTGATCATTCAAATCAAAATTATACTTTCCTGTAATCCTGATTACCAATGAAATTCAAATTTGTGTTAATATGTCATTTTTGGGTAATTTAAGTACTGTTAACAGTTGATAAATAACCTACTAGTTGTGATGATTTGTGACCAGCTGTAAAATGTGAAACTAAACAGCTACGCTCTACGTATTCAGTTGAAAATCAGTTCTTAATGTGTCTCTTAGAACATACTTTTCAACAATTAATCAATATTACAACCCTAAGAACGTAGAAATATTTCAGTAGAATAAAGACCATATCATGTTGGCTGAGTCAGTGTGACAAAATGTTTCAGCAATTATAACTATCACCTAAGTATGATGCTTTTTGGTTGTAGAAGTTACAAATTCTATTTATTTCTAGTGAATGTATCATTTGCTTAGAATGGATCAAATGAGCCATCTCTGAATTACTATTGGGAAAACTGGACCTAACAACTAATGAGCCCCAGAAAGTGAGCATTCTAAACACCTAAACTGTTCAAGCAATTTACTATCTGGTTGAATCTAGCTTCCCACATCGGTTACTGAATAGTTAAGCGTGTATCACAATTATTTGGAGTAATTGATTTATTTCAACTGAACATAGGCAAACGAGATTGACTGTTATCGGTCTAGCCTTTTTCTACAAATTTTCTTAGTTTCCTATCTATTGCCTTTTTCATCCAGTATTTAATAAATGAAAAAATAATTATCGCAGATAAGTGTATGCAATGAACTCTCCATGTAATTTTATAGAAACCCTTTGTATACTTTAAAATACTTCCTGTTAAAGACTTCTTATCCCAAACAAGATTAAACCTAATAACGAATTTTACAAAAATAGTTCAAACAAAAATTTTTTTAAATAGAGATTTTTCTTTTCTTTATTCATTTGTCACTTTCGTTCATGCTAATCAACAGCTAGGATATCTAATATCCTTCATTTATTAGTACAGTGTATATCTTTTAAGTTCCCAGATCTAACATTCTATTAGAAGCTTTGAATTATATTGGTTGTACTCCTTCGAATGTCATACATATACTTTTCATTAATTTTTAATTTAATTACTTTTCCACCATAAATCTTTCACTCCAATCAATCTAAACAATATTTTAATTCGAAAATAATAGAGATCTTTTTAGTGATTCTAAAATGAGTTATTGTCATGTACAGGAAATTCATTTATTTAGTTAGCTAAAACTTGTCTCTCATTAAATCACACCAAACTTCATTCTGACAATGAGTCAATTGAAATGACTATTTGATAAAAAATCAGTTCCATGGAATCCCATTAAATATCATTTGTCATTGTATATTAGGATTTTCATTTTTAATAATTTAAGTTTAAATGAAGTTATTATAACCTGGGTCACATAATCTCTTTTACATTATTCTTAAGATTACATTAGATGTTTCATAATTGTAGACGAATGAATATTAAGCTGATCAGAATTCAATCTTCAATATAACTAATGAGAAAATACTAACTCTTATGAATAATTATAGATATCACTCTTGTTTGAAGTTAAACGCAAACTGAAAGAGTAACAAGAAACTTAGAGTGACACCTATAAACGTATTTTATGCGTATAAGGATAACTTTGATTTTGATAGTTGAGATCATGAATTAGTTGAAGCTAGACCCCTTGGAAGCACTGAACGACCGTTTTTCCCTATCATAGGACTCTTCAGCAATGCGCATCCACAATCCCGCTTCACGAGATTAGAACCCACTATCTATCAGTTTTGCGTGCGAACACTCAACCGATAGACCACTGAGCTGGCATTCAACGGCGTTAATGTCTAACTTCAACCGATCCACGAAATTGAGCGACATATCCACCAATATCTTCAGTGAGTTGATATCTCACAACAGACCTGGTTGAACTCCACTTGTCACTTTGATTTTGTTTAGAAAAAATGTTTCATATCTTTGGTTAAATAAATTTTATCTCAGATATCTTTCTAGTTAATAATAGTTTCTGATCAATAAAATGAGATATAAAATATTAGTATAGGAATAGCGCAAAACAATTTCTTTTTTATCACATTTGTGTTGAAGTGAATAATCCTTATCTGTGGTCATTGTTAGGTTATTCATCTGAATGCATATCGAGGTTAAAATAGTTAATCTATTGGTTTTCTCATTGTAGACTTGATTGATTAATGTGTGAGTGAGGACAACTGGGAATTAATATTTGGATAACATTAGGTCTTTACCTTGGTCTGATGACTTTCAGTGACTGCTTCTTAATCAGCGTTTGAGCAAATAAGAGAGATAAAATTATAATAACTGAATTTTTATTTTTCCAAATCACTGTGAGTTTAGAAGATAATTTAGTAATTAATAACACATTAAAATATAGTATAATACCAAAATATGACTAGGTTAGCACATGTACCAAGATATCATTGACATGTGGTTATGATGGCTTTATTAGATTACCTATCATCACATTTAAAAAATATCAAAGTTTATCTATTTAAACAATATTTTTTTCTTATTAACATAGATTTGTATGTTAGAATTTGGATCCCTAACGTATGATAGAACTCAAATGGACATATTATGGTGGATTCCAGATTCACCTCCCATAGAAGAAATGCCATACTTAGATTTCTCAGATTACGTACCAAGTAATGAATGGCGTACGGATGGCGAGAAAGAACGTGAAGTACACCATGTCAACCGTACTATACAAATTCGATCAGTTAAGAAACATCGACGTCGAAGTCAAACTGTTGGTAACGAAGTCATTACAAGAGAATATCCAGTTTTACGATACTTGATACGTTTGAGAAGGAACCCTAGTTTTTATGTATTTATGTTAGTGATTCCATGTGTATTGTTATCATCTTTAACATTGGTTGTATTTTGGTTACCTCCAGAATCTCCAGCAAAAATGATGCTTGGTAAGTGTACTTAATCACAAGCATATAATTTCTCAAAAGAATGAATACTTTAATATAATTTATTAGTGAAATAATATTTCTCCTAAAATTGTGGTCCAGTTATTTAAAGCATCTTTACTTACACGTTTGAGTTCACGGCCAATTTACTAATGGTTACAATTACTGACTGTAAGTTGGTCAACTTTTAAAAAGCATCAGTAATAAATTTGGGTTGGAATGTTAATTACCCGTCACCTTATTTGTACAATGTCAAGATTCTATAACAACTAAAGAGAAGCAAGTTTTCAGCCTATTTTCCCATTTGTATAAATATAGAATCTGAACATTTATTTTGTAAGATGTTCATGAAGGTGTTTATTTCAGTGAGTGTAATTTCAGCTGGATTAACAGATATGATTATTACTCACTGAATGATGATGAAATTGATTGTGAAGATGCACGTCATGCCAAATTAGTTTTATTTAGGCGTCAATTGTGTCTTCAGGTTATTTTTGAGGAAAATACTGTTTTTGTTCATGTCCACCGTAGTAGAAGAAAGGGATGTATCACTTTTAAACCTACCCAATAAGACTTATGATCAACATTTTTACCACTAGTTAGATAATTGCCGGTGGAAACTGCATAATACGGTTATTTTGTAGTGTTGCATTGTAAAATGATCAACTTTGGAACAGACTGTCCCTTATATTAAAAAACACGCAGATGACGTAAGCAAAATTTCTTCCTTTACCTTCTCCGTTCTTCAAAAAAGACTTCATCCAAACAGCATCGGTATTCACTTTGTTTGAATGTGTCTCATTTCATTTGAGTCGCAGTTTACAATCATTTTATTAGGCGTTGATGAATGATCAGTGTTATTAATTTCTCAATAGGATTTCTTAATCTAAGTAGTTCTCATTTAAGATACTTCTTCGGATAAACCAGAATGAGTCATATTAAAAGATTAACAAAATGTTAAGAACTGAGACCAAGGAAATGTTTGGCTTTCACTAGATTTCAGCTTTAATCTTCAGGAAATTTATAGACGGTTTAGAAACTAATTTTAAATGCATATATGCTAATCCTGTTGAAAACAAAAAATGTAAAAATCAACTAATTAGCAATACCTATGGTTACAAATCTACATACCACTATTTCAAATTCCTTAAAAGTTGGGGCGATCCTGAAAATTTCTCGCAATAGACAATAAAGGCTCAGGAAACATTAGGAAGCATTTTATCCAATCAGCGTTGACTATAAGTTTTGCTAGAAACATCACGAAAGTGAAAAGTCACATGTAGAGTTTTTGATTGGCTGATTATTATACTGCTAATATGCTTAGTAGCATTCCAGAACTTTCAGGAAAACCGGACTTCTAAAATACTATAAAAACCCTACATTTCCTGTACATAAATGAACCTTTGAAGTAAAAGGCTTCTCGCATACTTTGCGCCTTTTCTCTCGTGCTCAACCCGCTGTGTAGTTTTGGATTGGGGGTAACGAGACTAGCTTAAGATCAGTGTATAGCGTTCAATTAGCAAGACATATCATTAATAATTATTTACCTATGGATATTCAGTCAGAAGCTGAAAAACAGCATCGCCGAATCTTTAGTTTTATCAAAGTTATATGGCTAATTAAGCGACTGGATATTAACTTTCACATGTCAACTCAAGTTGAAAATCAAATAAATTTGTGGTTAATAAGCTGTAAATATCTTAGTCATTAGGTTTAATGAACACCGACAAGTTTGACTGAAATATTTCATATTTTTCTATATTTTCTTTAGTTTATTAGTACAGAAGGTATGCTAATAATGTTAACTACCACTACCTTATTAAAGCTAATTATTGAAGAAATAATTAATTAATTTGACTTCACGGAACGTTCTTTACGATTGATTGTGATAGAATCATAGAACTTTCAGAAAATGAAATGATCTAAGTATTTTTTTTACATTAGTAGATTGGTTATTGTAACCTATTACAGAAATAGATCGCTATTCTTAGAAAATTATTGATTTGTTAACTGAAACAGTTAAATTAATATGAGCACTATACGTTCACACTGAGCACAATTATTGATCGTACCAAGATTTATAAATATTCAAAACACTGATGTAGCTCAAAAGGCTTTCTCTACTGTCTGTCATATTTAAAGTGGTTTTCACTTAGGTAAGATATGTTAATGAATAGTTATGTATGTGAATAATCTTAGTATTATATTTTACATTGAAATCTGACTTGAGTTCATGTTTTTTGCGAACAGTGAAATGACTATGTTCTAGTTACATATTTAGAAGTCTTATAAGGGATAAATAGTGTGTTGGGAATAGTGTCCTCTGCCTACACAAAACAACTTTGTTATTCATCAAATTCTAAGAGTAAGAAAAACCAGATTCGGATTGTAAAAGTGAATTAATGAATAAAAGAAGTTCATTTGTAAAATTTGAGAAGAAACACACTATGAATAAATAATAAAAGCTTAGATCTCAAATCAGTCTAAAATTGTAAGGCGTCGATATTTGTTTATATGTTTCAAGGCTAACTATTGTCGATAACGAAACCTTATAAGGAAATATCAAGGCTTCCTAGAGTAACTAAATACTATCAATTTCATCCAGAAAAATAAGTTCAAAATTGGTGTAGATATTCACATCGACCACACTTGTTTTAAATTAAAGCTGAAAATCTCTATCAATAGTTCATAACCATTTGATTAATTCAATCAGCTTAGAGAATCTAACATAACTAAAAATATTTATGTAGGCTGCAGAAGTTTTTTTCTAAACTTTAGAATTGAATCGCTTTCATGACTTTGCAAAGCCACTTCCATTGATGATAAGTAAATATCAACTACTGAGTGTTTTTGTAGGATATAACCAAAAAAATGAACGTAAAAGTCCTTCACATACCTCACATTCTAGAACAATTGATTTCCATATTCCTGTAAAACATCTGGGTTTTAATTCATTTTCATCATTAATAATCTAAGTTCAATATGGTAAATATTTCTTTGGTACATTTACTGTTCATATTGTTTATAAATGTCCTAATATTTCGTTTTAAAAATTTCATCTGAGTTTTTAACCATAATGAGTACGAGGGTCATTGTCTTGTCTATACAGTAAAATGGATGTTTACGAGAACCCGAAAATTTAGGATTTATATCGGAACATTTAAATAAATGGTATTAATCTATGAAAAAACTGTGATCTAGTAAACATATTTTAATTAGAGGAATCTAAAGTTTATTTTGGCATTGCTTACACGTAATAACTAGTTAGCTATCTTGGTATATAATAATGACTAGAATAGGATTTGATTAGAAATAACAAATAATATTCGAATACGGAAAGTGGCATCGGTCGATTAAACCAGGTACGTTTGATGTAAGTTGTCTAGGAAAACTGTTTGCTGATCGTTCAAGGACCTAAAAATGTAATTTGACAATAGTTTACAACTATTACCATAAAGAAAAAGTAGGTGATGGTAGGTGATATATAGGAGTCGGCGAGTAGCCTTTGGGATAGATGTGTGCCATTTTGGGTTAAAAAAATTAAACAAATATATTTTTTTACGAGATTTGAATTAGTAATATTTGGATTGGTAATCTGAGATATTATGCGGAATTATCCAGATAGTCAGTAAATCAGTCGCAACATAGAACTTCGTACGTACATACATCAGTTCTAGCTGCCTTACCTAATTAGCACAGAGATGCAGTTGTCAATCCAAATCCCATAATAGTAGAATTAGTAAGAGTATAAGCAGTAATCCAAAAGATTAGGGTTCGAAGATATTATTCAAGGAGTATAATCCAGTGAAAGAAATTTGGAAAGAGAAAAGGATAGGGATATGAAGAATTGAGATGATTAGAGTTTGAGAGAACACAAAGAGTGGACGCACCTTCGCCATTGCAAACGATTATGAGCCATGTCTAGATAGACTGAAACGTGTACATTCAATAGGCTGTGTATAACATAATCGATGAAAAACAATCCTTTTATTAATGCTTTACTGATCCCTGTTTTCCTAATTCAAAATAATTCACAAACATTTTATTTTTATACCGAAGAAAGCATCAGCCTAAATAAATTTCAAAAGTTTCAACATAGTTCTAAAATCTGTTTGTACGTGAAAAATAATGAGATTTAGTTTGTTGGTAATTCATGCGAGGAATATGCATCGAATCCAATAAGTCTGAACAATTAAGAAACTAAAAGTTCTTTTTATAAACGTATTGCATTCATAGTTACACAATCATAAGTGTCACAAGACGTAGTTGACTGTGTATGATGGCAATAAAAAGAAGTTTCTTGGATAATATTTATGGCTGACGATTAATTCACGGGCTGAAACATACACAACTGTTGTAGATGTCCTAGATACTTTAGACTGTAAGATTTCGCAGTACACATTACTGGCACTTTAAAAAAAGGTTAATAAGTCTAACAACTGTTTGAGTAGTACGATTGATAAGAAACCATGAAATAAAATGAATTCATGTTATTCTGTCATATTTATCGTTCTTGCTTTAGTCAAATTCGTCGATAGGAGAAATTATATGTAATTAAATAGTACGATCTGATCAGTTTTCGATAGTACTTATGTGAACATTGTTCGAAACACAATATAGATAGGTTTGTGGTGAGTTAACAAAACGTAAAACAATAGTTTTTTTTAGTGTGAGGATAATTTGTAAGTGCGGCATTAATCTGGCCTTTAATTGTGGTATATAATACGAAGCTAAAATGCCGATTTCTGATTTTCATAAATATATTTTAAAACTAGATAGTGTTTTATATACTGATGTTATAATATGAATGGAGCTTGTGGTGGTGCTTAGTAGAGCTTCCAACATGCCATTATTGGATTAAAAGGGATAAAATGTGACCTTAACGAAAGAGCAATCTCCCTGTACAAAAATATGTTGAATACAATTAAATGTGAGTTATGTCAGCCATCTGGTGAATGAAGAGAATCAAAAAGCAGTTCATGTATATGTAATCTCCGCAGTTAACTTTATTGACCTTTATATCATTTTTTGCTGTTCATGCAATGTTGATCTACAATGAAAATTATTTTTGCTTTGCTAGTGTCCTTGTTAACTATTCAAATGTAGAAAAAATTTTAATACCTATCAGTGATTATAAGAGTGCTCTTTCAATGCGCTGCACAGAGCACATAACTTGTGAGACCATTTGCATTTTCAATAATTTCTTTGAATGATGATCCTGTCAGATAGAAAATTGGGTGAAGCTAAAAATAAACAGAAATACATGTCAATAGACTTGATTTTCAATCTGATCTTGGGTAGGGAATGTGAGAGAACACTACTAAATATTAACAAACTAAAGTGAAATGATTTTTTATTAAGTTTTACCATGTTAAATGATCTTTTATAGGGATGAATATATTTGTGGCATTTTTTGTCTTATTATTACTACTTGCTGAGTCTACACCAAGTGCTGTGAAAAATTTCCCATTGATCGGTAAGTAATTTAAATAATACAGCAAAACCTTTGATCCGTTCTATTAATATTCGTTTACTTTTACCATTTATATCTTTTTGAAGTTATAAAGTAAAATAATTCTGCTTAGTTAACTTAAATTCACAGTATCATTCAGTAGTATATCTTCATTATTTTTAAAAACTTCATATTAACTCTCAACTGATTACCACATTCTATATTAATATTCTTGAATTAATGAATGATAAATGAAAAGGAACAATAATCAATTTCAATTATTGAAAATCGAAGCGATTTTGTCATTTTAATAGTTGAGATCATGAATCAATTGAAGTTAAACCATCATGAAAAACCTAGAAGCACTGGACGGCCGTTTCGTCCGGATTTCCCATGATGGTCTAGCTTCAATTCATTCATGAGATCTCAACTATCAAAACTATTATAATATCCACAAAACCCCTTCTGATTATTTTGTAATTATTAACATATAGTGATTTGGAAATTGACAATAGTCAAGTACAATTTGGCTTATTATAGTTTGTTTTTCTTAACTGGTTTATATAGATATTAAATAGATCTATAATTCCATATTTTTGTTATTGAAGTGAATACTTACTAATTTCAAATAAAGAATGGATTCATTGTTTTCTCTATATAGCTTAATAAGATATTAAATATATTCAAGACATTCAATAGATTTATTCCTTGAATGATTTAAAATGAAAAGGATTATAGTTTTTTCTAATTTTAAACTGTTATATATTTATGTCCATTTAATTTCATCTAGATAAAGTCAATTTAAATTCAACAATATGTTTAACAAAGATAAATGGAGAAATATAAAAATACCCGATATTAATCCCATTTCTTTAATTCGTTATTTAAGTAGTAAACGAAAATAATTTTAATATTTCTAGAAAAAAAAAGATTTTAATATTTTACTTGAAAATAAAATAATGATGATTGAACTTAGATTCAAGAAAAAAACTGATATAAATCAAATAATCTCATGAGGCGGGATCGTGGATGCGTACTGTTGATGAGTCCCACAATAGGACGAAACGGCCATCCAGTGTCTCCACAGTTTTCCATGGTAGTTTAGTTTGAATTGACTCATGATCGAAACTATTGAAATAACAATAGTTTGTTAATAAATTGTCTAATCGAATAACTGAAACTTTTATAAGTCAGTCAGTCATAACGTAGAACTTCGTACGTACGTACATCAGTTCGAGTTGCCATACCACATTAGCACAGAGATGCAGTTGTCGATTCAATTCCCATAGTGGTAGAAGTAGTAGGAGTATAATCAGAAATCCAAAAGATTAGGGTTTGAAGAAATTATTGAAGGAGTATAGTACAGTGAAATAAATTTGGAAAGAGAAAAATATAAATACATGAGGAATTCAGAAGATTAGAATTTGGTAGAACACAGGGAGTGGATGCACCTTCGCCATTGCAAACGATTTTGAGCCATGTCATTCAAGGTCTCTAACCATCGGTTGCTGTCATCTCGCGAATCCCAACCAGGTAGTCTACACCTACCAACATGGCCCAGTCCACTTGTCAGTGACTTCATGGATTTGTGCCACGTTTTGGTCTGGCCACCCCTAGCTTTCTTCCAACCTACTCCTACACCATGAAACATTGCACGTCGGGGCAGTCGGTGGTCGGGCATACGTAACACATGTCCCAGCCATCTCAACTGATGAAGTTTCACTACTTCATCAATCGATTTGCCATCCCTACCTAGTACCCGTTTCCTAACGACTGCATTACTTACCCGGTGGTCCCAGGATATACGAGCAATGCGTCGAAGACACCTATGATCGAACACTAGTAGCCTACGAATATCCTCTACTCTTATTGGCCATGTTCACTGCCATAGAGTAGGACGGAGCAAACTGCTGCACAGTAAACCCGTCCTTTTGTTGCTAAAAGGATATCTCGCCTACTCCATAAATGACGCAAGTTGGCAAAAGCTAGACGAGCCTTCTGTATCCGTGCTGAGATTTCGTCACATACCAGACCACAAGGGCTGATGAGACTCCCAAGATAAGTGAAGTGGTCTACACGCTCAACTACTTCACTCCCTATCATTAGTTCAGGTGTCGATGTAACCCAATCCTGAAGTAACATTTTGCACTTCGAGGGAGAGAATCGCATCCCGAACATACCTGCATAGTTGCTTATAGTGGTCAGAAGACTCTGCATGTTGTCAGCGTCTTCACCGAGTAAAACTATGTCGTCCGCGTATTCTAAGTCAACAAGTGAGCCTCCCGGTAAAAGTTCAACTCCTGGAGGTTTAGCTGATGAAAGTGCTATCTCTAAAAGTATGTCAATGACAAAGTTAAACAAGAATGGTGAGAGTGGACAGCCCTGACGAACGCCACTTGTGGTAATCAGTTCTGATGACAGTTCGCCATAGGCTCTAACTCGACCAGTTGTGTTCGAGTAGAGAGCCTTTATGAGATTAATGTACTTCTTTGGTACTCCTTTCAGTGACAAACACTGCCATAGAACCTCACGATCAACGGAGTCAAATGCCGCCTTAAGGTCAAGAAATACTACTATTGTGGGACGTCTGAATGTATGTCTATGTTCTATGACCTGACGTAGAGTGAATATCTGGTCTATGCAACCACGTCCAGGTCGAAAACCAGACTGGTTTTCTCTAGTCTGCTCTTCACGAGCTTTGGTTAGGCGACCTAGTATTATTGAAGCTAATATTTTAGACACTATATTAGTCAAACTGATCCCTCTGTGATTGTCACAGGAGGACTTTTGTCCTTTCTTATAGACTGGCACAATCAGTGATTGGGACCAGTCAGATGGAATTACGTCCAGTTCCCAGATTCTACCTAAGACCTCAGTCAATCTCACTGCTAGTACTGGACCACCATCCTTAAAAATCTCAGGGGTCAACCTGTCAGGGCCTGCTGCTCTCCCTCGCTTCAGATTTCCTATAGCTTTTTCAACCTCACAGAGGGTTGGAGGACTTACATCAATTTGCCATTCAGGACGACTGGGGATCGTGGGTAATTGAAGTGTGGCTGAAGGCCAGTTGAACTGATCCCTAAAGTGTTCTGCTCATCGATCCAATCTCCTGGATTGAGAATGAATAATATGCCCATCTTTATCTGAGATGGTTTCACTGATATTCGGGTTCCTAATGCCGGTTTCTTTAACGAGTCTGAATAGCTGCCTACTGTTACCTATTGCCGCTGCCTTTTCCATCTCTCTTGCTTTCGCTACCCACCACTGTTCACGATCATTACGTAGGCTACTTATAAGCCTGCGCTTAAGTTGACTCCGCTCTTCGTTATGCTCAGAGCCAGGTGGGATGAGTTTACGAGCATCTATAAGTGCGGTAGATGCTGCCGAGATCCATTGTTTCTCCCTAACGTTATGGTTTACCTTACTAGCGGATATCACTGCTGTTTCCACAGCTTTTCGGATGTCATTCCACGCTGCCTCGGGGTGGACACAACTTACATGGCTGCCTAACTGTTTTCCTAGTTGTTCCTGAAATATATTCTTAGCTTGCCTATCATTAAGTAGAACCCTTAGAGGCTTCCCTGCAGTGTCTTTCCTACGACCAGTAAGACGCAGACAGATACGTGCTCGCACTAGAGCATGATCTGAATCTAAACATGTGCCCCAGAATGAGCGACAGTCTTCTATCGAGCCCCTCCATCGGTGGCTGATAGCGATGTGATCTAGTTGGGTCCAACGTTGGGACGAATTCGGGGGTCGCCATGTCAAAAGATGTTTTTCCTTATGCTTAAAGTTAGTATTTGCAAGAAATAGGCGGTTATCTGAGCATAGCTGCAACAGACGGTCGCCATTATTTGTTCTTTTCGCCATGACACCATAAGATCCACCCAGGTGTCTTTCCCTTTCACTTAGTTTACCTACTTGAGCATTAAAGTCACCTGCTACTATTACTACATCAGAACGCCTAGCTTCTCGGAGAAGGTCAGAAAGTTTCCTGTAGAACTCATCTTTTATATCGTCTGAGCTGCAGTCAGTGGGAGAGTAGGCAGAGACGACGAAGAGGCAACGACGAGTTTCCCTATCTTTCCGGGTCCTTACTGATCCGTTTAGTCGGACAGCGCATAGACGACTGTCTACTGGGATCCAGTCTAAAAGAGCTAGTTCTGCCCTAGGACTTAATGCTATACCTACTCCAGCGAGGCCACGGGAAGCAGCATCAGAGCTTCCAGATACACGAAGCGTGTATCGAGATGAAACTTTATTTTGATTAGGTGCGGTCAAATGAATGACACTACTCGGATCTTGTATGCGCGTTTCGGAGACGCAGCACACATCGATGGTGTAAGATTCTAGAGTCCTAGCTAAGGAAGCCTGTTGTCCTATTTGGCACAATGTTCGGACATTAAAAGTTCCTATATGTAGTTTAGAGCGTGGTTTCAGGAGACCAGGAATAACGTTCTGTGTACTCGAATCGTTTGCCCTAGCGGTGCGAGGTGATAAAAGGACGTGGGAAGGGTTAGTCGTGGAGATGACAGAGTTATTAGGTGTAGGAAAGATTTGAAAGCGACCAACTTGGTCTTGTGTGCAGTTAAGGGTATGAGGGCTAGTATCACTTCCCGGCTGCCCACACCGTGGAAGGGTATTTCTTGAGGGACCTGAAAAAGAAGTTGGATTAGTGTTGGTCTTAACGACCTGGGAGCGTGACCGCAGTGCCCAAGGGACATCTGCTTGAGGCCGGTCACGCACGGCCTTTTTGTGGGGGATTTTTGATGTGTTAGCTCCGTTCTTCAAAAGTCCTTACCGCCGGAGACGGAAATCCGTGGGATAAGGCGAGGTGTGCATTTTTAGGGTCGACCTTTTCTAACCCCACCCCTCCTTGTGGGAAGGCAGCATCGCTGTCATGCTGGTTGTCTGAAGGAAACACCTTACTGCTTTCACACCTCTGTACAGTCAGCAGTACGACTTCGCCTTCGGACCTTGGGATTACTGCTTTTAGTCTCACCGCTCTTCAACCGACCTGTCTGGCATGGTAGGACCTTGAGGAACGATTGTTCCAGCCAGCATAGCTCGATTGGATCATCACGATAGGCAAGCCCGACCATCACGTCAAGGTAGCAGCAACGGTCGGGGAAACTTTTATAAAATATAGACTTTTAAACATCAAGAGATATTGAAAAATCTATGATTGAATTGGAATTAATACATAAATTTATATTATTTATCTTATTCCATTGTAGGTGTATTTTTCTGTTTAAATATGATCATGATCACTTTATCAACATTTTTAGCTACCATGGTAATCCATCTTTATTTTCGTGGTGATCGTAAAGGTGCAGTACCATATTTTCTACGTCGGGTAAATGATATGTTTCATACATCTATGTGATATAATGCATCATTCACTGAAAAATGACATTAAAAGGAATATATATTTCAGTGAAATAAGACCGATTTGATTAATATGTAAACTTATAATCTACGTTTCATTTAATTTTTCTGTTAAATATTCTCATGATTCTATTTCTACTAAGCTTTTTATTATTTTTTCAATACTAACGGACAGAAAGTTTAGAGTAAGTAGATAACTCATTTCTGTTATACAAGTGAAGTATACTAATGTTCTATATGTACGCAATACAGAAAATGAATCAGAAAATCAGTTAATAATATCAATGTTTACCATTTGATCAATATAAAGATACGTCGCATTACAAGTTGAAGTTAGTTATACACCAATTAAAATCTAAGGGACGCTGGAAAGCTGTTAGTTTATCAACAAATATCCTAGTACTGCTAGGCTAAGTGGAAAGCACATTACTATTGATTTACTGAGTAGCATACAGTAGTCTATATTTCTCACTTTTCAATTAGCGAAATAGTTCGAATATCATCCTCTGATATAGGTGATGTCTCACTCTCATCATTGATGAACTTGATTATTCAAGGACTCTTATTAGAACTTCAAGAACTTCTTCAACGTTTTATTTCCAACGCTCACAAGTAAGGAAGACTTGTTGAAACTGTTCAACTCGTAATTTACAGCAAATCAAAAATTGGAGGTCTTGAATTCATTTCCCAGTGGGGACGTGAATACGCACTTTTGAGGAATCCTATATTTCGATGAGGTTGATGTCTTTCGTATCATGGGCTCCATTAGGGTTCTATCTAAAATCAAGCTCCACAAACTTCCCAAACTAATGAATGTCATACTTTTGATTTTTGACTAATTATCAAAAGAGTGAAAGTGAAGTGGATTATCACTTGTCTACATGTATCTCGAATGTTCGTATTAATAAATAAGCAACTAAAAGATAATTTACATACTGTTTACAACTAAACATAGATTAGGTAAAGTGTGATACGATAAGAACACTAGTTCAGTTTCGAACAAGTAATTCCACTATATTTTAAACGATCAGATTCATTGATAAGTTCAGTCAGAGAAAGAACAACAAGGTTTAAAGAATAATATGAATTTATTTTAGACTGTATGAAGCTGATGAGAATCCGTTAAATAGAATTAATTCATTTTATTCTACAAACCTTGTAATTTTCGCTGTTTATGTTTCATAATATTTAGGCGTTGAATGTTTAAGGAAGATATTAACAATAACATGATATAAAAATATGGGTGAATGAAATCAAAAAAGTTTACTTTTCCATTTTTAGATTATAATAGAAGGGATTGGGAGACTAACATTAGTAAGACAAAGAATCCCACTATCAGATGTAAAGAATTCAAAAAGAAATGTTTTTGCAAAATATCACAAAAAGACTCTTATCTCACAAATATCTCCTGCTAAAACCAAACAGGCTTGCCAAAACAGATATTTCGGGGGTGGATTTTTCCCTCAATGTAATGATTCAGTCAATCACCCGGCTTGTGGAGATCAATATTTGGAAAATATCACGACTAACTGGTCTGGTTCAGCTGAATTTCAAACGCTTAAAGAATATTCTGGAAAATCCTGTCCACATATGATGAGAACGTCAATCAAAGTTAATAATCAAATACCGGAAATTTTACAGCAAATTATGCATAATGATAATCAGATAAATAATTATCCTTTCAGAACGATAAACTATGATGAATCAGGTTTTAATTCAACAACTACACTTGAACGTGACGTAAGAGAACTGAAAAAATATGTTAAAATTGTAGTTAATCGACAGAAAGAGACAACCCATAAAAGTTTAATAGCTATGGAGTGGCGTACTTTAGCAATTGTTTTAGATCGTTTATTTTTCTTCATATATATTACTACTATTTTGATTGCGGTTGTTGTCTCAGTACCGTATAACATCGAAATAGAAATACCAGCAGAGTTTCGAGATTCAGAAGAATGAGTAAAAATCTGATGAGTTGAATTTATTTGAGGAATATACACTATTTGATAATTCATTTCCTCATCATTACTAGATTTTTTGAAAGGAATAAGGAAAAACACAGTCATCACATCGCTTTTCCCCGTTATTCAACTTATTAAATAATACATGATAGTTAGATTCTTGACAATCAGCCAACATGCTGCCATACAATGTTGAGCGTATTCGGAAGAGAAAGTTCGGTTTTGAAATGACATCCAACCGCAATTAACCAATTTTAGTTATTCAGTACATATATTTGAAATTTTCATTTTTTCGTCAAACACATTAAAACGACTTACTCTCTTTTTTCCCAACTGAATTGAAGAATTCCCGCAACGCAGACATTTTTTTCCTAATAAGCATTTTTTATAATGATTTATTTTCTTTAAAATGCTGAGAATTACATGTGCTTTTAATAAGAAAATTGAACATTTTCATTCTTAAAACTACTTACAACAATATGGATTTATCGATTGGAGAGACTATGTAAGCGCCTAAGTTGTAGTTCTATTTGTTCCAAGGATATATCAAAATGACGATTATCTAATTTGACTGTCTCGGGGATGCTTCAAATTGTTGTGAATTGACTTGAGTGAGTGAATCATTAGGAATTAAGCGAATTCCCATCCTAAAGTGAGACACTTTAAAAGTGATGATCTAGAGCCCCGAAATGTATAAATTTTCGAACTTTTAGGTTTCGAGACGATTTCTTCCGACTAACATTTTGTTATGAATTGAATGTTATTTATGTATTACCTTTCAACGAAATCTTCTATAAACTATTGGGTGTAAAACTTGGAAAACTATATTACGAAATATTGGTGACAGTTTCCATTCACCCTTAAAGTATAGCGACAAACATCTCAGTTGTGGTATTAACTATACATTTAAGAATATCGAAATTGAGCAACTTCGACTTCACAAATCATTATAATACTTCATTGATGCCTTTTTAATAACTACAAAGGACTCAGTATCATTTTCTTCTCCAACCACGAATGTCGGTGTGAAACATGTTAGAAAACATACAAAGAGAGCTGATTAAATATAATCGAAACAATTTAATTTCATATGAACTTTATGCTATCCGAAATCTGACTCGTATGGTCGATTATTATCGAAATATACATTCTGGCTACCGTCATATATAGTCATCGTCTTAACTCGCATTAGTGAAAAACGGAAATAAATAAGTCAAATACGGGAATGAATTTCGAATAAGTATATTTCACACAATCGTTGATCTGGACAGACAATCAGGGAAGCGAAACAAATAAGAGAGAGTGAAGCGAAATGACGCGCAGTATAGTAGGCGAGTGAGCCAACTCAACTTAACCAAGCGTTTCTCAATATACATAGTCAGACAAAAGTAAGTTACAGACATGTGACGAGTAGGGTGAGAGATACTGCTGGGGATGCTAGACCACCAGAAATCACTTGGTAAACGTCTTATTTTTGTAATTTTATTTTGAAAACTTGAATTCCTCATTCCCGCACCCAAAGCGCCCATTCTCACCCTCATACTATATTTCCAGCTCGGAAGGACCCTAAATGTCATTGGTTGCCTCTTTTAATAAGCTATTTTGTGACATTTTCCGAGGACATTTCTGTGCTGTATATACACTTGAGTTGTGTGCTTGTTGGTGTTCGTGCTTCTGGCCCCTTGCGGAATACACTTTAACTAATCTGAACCCAGTTAACGATGCTGGGACGAATTGGAATAGTTTAGCTGTCTTGTCGCTGATCCTTCGTTCCGTTTGACGATTTTCAGGTAATTTCGTAATCTGGATTACGCAGGCACAGTTAAATAGTTTTTATTTGTCACAAGTGAACTTTGACAACCTTAGTCAAAGAAACAAGTGTGCGAAGTATTATCTTGAACCTCGCCACAACTAGTTTATCAAGCTTGAGATATATCACTGCTAATTTTTTTACACTATGAACAACCAACCATAATGACAATCAACGGGGAAAGTTAGCAATCTACATTAGCAATCAATCGACATGGATCCACATAGGTCATTTGAAAATAGGTCGGGAAATTCCATTTTCCAAAGAATAATAGACCAATTCAGTTACAAATTTCTGACATTAGAAAGACACTATTGTAAATTTGCTTATTCTCACTTCCCCTTTAGTTTTTGATTACTACAAAACTCCAGTTCAATGAGATAGAATGTAATGTATTTCATGTAGTGGAGAACACGTTCACCAACTTTTATAGATTTCCCATATAATCAAACTGTAATCCTCAAAAGCGTAATCAAAGTGTGTGTTAAGTATGAAATAGTAGTATTCCAGCACTTACACAAATCGAATGATTTATGTGGCACATATCTATTTGGTGTCTCCTTGTACCATTGCCTATGTGTTTAAATAAATAAATAAGTATTGTATCAAGCTGACTCGGTAACTAGCGATTATTCTTATATACTGTTTTATTAACGAATTCTGGGATCATAAAGTTAATAAATCTAGAGTATTGATAACTGAATTAATAATCTATCAAAGTGGAATTCTTATATCTCAGTAGTAATAAAACTAGTTGAAGTCCTGTACTTTTACAGCTTTTTCAGTTCTGTCTCCGTCAATAAGCTAACAGTTATATTTCGAACGCTAAATCAATTTGATGATTAGATATTTCGACATTCGCGTCCACTATAAAATGGATAGGCAATATTAATATTCATTTGAACTGTAAAGCTGTCCCATTAACCTTAATTTTTGGATTCGAAAGGACCGAAAACAAAGTAGGTAAAGCTTTGACAAAATACTGTTTATCATTACGAAGTAGAAAAACAAAAACAAAAATGTAACAATGAACACTAGTAAAGAATGACAATGGTGAACAGAAAATACACAAAAAACAGTAGATACGTAATAAATGATGATGACAATGAAACTGCGTATACAAAACGAATTACAATTTGTGATTCAGTCAACAGAAAACAAAACATTTATGGTTGTATAGCTGAAATCATAAGAACACAGTTTCGTAAGTTGTTACAGATGTTGAACAAGAGAGTTTAGCTGAAACAGTAAGCACGTTGACCTTAAGTAGGGTGTACTGATAAAGTGGTTGGCAATGATAGTCCACAATTACAACCATTATTTAGTCCGTCAGTCGGAGCTAAAAGCAAATGAAAAGTCCGATTGATTAATGCAGTAAATCAACTGTGTCAAAAGAATATCTTTATCTGTTATATATACAAATACGTTAAATAAGATCTCTCTACATAAGTATGTCACCATAAACTGAACTCCATTACGATCATGTTACTCTAATGGTCCCCGGTAGGTCAAACATGACACCGTAAAATAAACTGATAAGTTGTTGGCAATCTTTTGGCAAGAGAGTAAGTTGTCAAGTATGTGTGATGCTAAATGTTTCTGAGTTAAGGAAATGCGAAAGATATCTTGGAATTTTCCTCTAAGAGCACTAAACTAGATTCGACTCAAAGTGTATGCATAATATTAAGGTTTCATGTCATTTCCGTACATCGATCGTTACCTTACAAACAAAATACGCTGAAAAAATGTATCTTTTTTTTAACAAATGTCAGTAAAAATGTTCACTATATAACCAATAAGGACGAATTAATTTAATGTTATCACTGGTAAGAAAAGTAAATATCCGCAGACTTTATAAATATGGACAAAAAGTACAAAGCACGGTAACCTATGCTTTTTATAGACAGTTTCATGCGTTAACAGAGTTAGTGTAGGAACGAATATAATCGCAAGGCAATAAAAAGATAGTGTAACCTGCATTATAAGGCTTGGTTAAGTTTTTCGTACATAATTACTACATCTATCTATCTAACTGAATTGTGAACTAACTGGAAATCATATTACAATAAGAAATCATATAAACAATGACATTTCTCAGTGTTACTAACTACGAGACGGTAAAAAAAGAAACCATCAACAGGATATATATCATATATTAAAATATCTACGATACATTTGATAAAAGTAGACTTACCAACTATTCATCAAAAGAAATAGGCATGTTGATTGTTTTTCTCGCGTGTAAATGATGGATATTATGGGTATGATTTCCTCAAGCTACCTAGAGGTACTAATTGATCAATCCATTTACCACGTGATCCTCGAGATCGAGCAATTAAAAATTAACTTTGTAGTGAAAATTGGAGCATATTAGTGAATCACTTGCAGAAATTCATACCCATGCCGTCCATCCTTCATACATGAGAGCAAGATTATCAACATTAGTGGCCTCATGAATACAGGCATCTATTTGAGCACTGATGGACATTGATTGATTCGTGTTAGCCGTAGGTAAAAACGAATCAAATCCATGCAAACGACTGTAGATACGATTCCAAACAGACAAAGCCGCCATGTTTAAAGATCTTCCTGGAAGTATAACCTAGAGATGAAAGGAAATAATCATGATATAGTTTAACACATCGGACTAGTAGAAAAGACAAAGTTAAGACATACGGTTCACAAGAAACGAAGTACAAAAGTCAAAACTTGGTTAATTACTTTTTCCACATTCTGGGTTGCTTTAGGTTCAATGATTTCTACCTCAGAATCCTTCATTTGAATAAACATAGTCTCTCTGATATTTCTGTAGTGCTCATTAAGCATATCCAGGAAACCTTCTAGAGAATGATATAGATATGGATTAGAAGAAACATTTTCATTAATCCCATTAAGCAGAGGTTTGATCAGTTCTTCCATAAGCTTAAATTTAACAAGTAAACAATCTTTATTGAGAGAAGTTGCAAATTCAGTTTCATCCAATGTTTCACAAGGTTCACATGATTCCGAAGTAGATCTTCTGACTGAACGTGAGAATGAACTAATAAATTTGGTTAATCTTTTTAGAACACTTAAAACAATAGTAGTCCAATTTTGATGTCCGTCTAACCAAGTGCTCCAGAGGGATGTAGTACATGTTTCACTGAGCGACATCTGATCGGAACGTAGTAAATTGAGTCGAATAGAAT